CCCAAACAGTCAAGCAAGAATTTGAGGCCTACTCTACAGCTAATCTCAGCCCCAAGGGAACAGACATACTTGGGTTCTGGATGGTAAGCATCCCATATATCTACAATTAAAATATTTATTGACCATGAGGAGGTCTCGGAGACCTTATTTCCGACGCTTTATGGTATCGCGATGGACTACCTCCCTATACAGGCATCTGCTGTTCCATGCGAGTGAGTATTTTCGTCCAGTAGTGAGACGGACACGAAGAAACGTAATCACATGAGCCCAGTCCTGATGGAGGCCCTGCAGGTGGTAAAGTTTCTCGTGAAAAAAGAACGACTTAACTTTACGAAAGGTTGGGCAGCGTCGCAAAAGGCTATGGAGTATCAGGCGTTGGGTGAGGGAGAGGAGACTAACACTCTTTTGACATCTTCCAGCAGCGAAATGACAGGTGATGTTTATGACACCCTTCTCAGAGTTATTGCAGAGGAGGAGTGTGATGATGTTGATGATACTCCTATTACCTACGACTTGTGATGTTTGCTGTTACTCTTTGTTTCTTCTTTGCGCTACTTTGCAATGCCTCTCGCATGGTATTATGATTTCAGTTTTCAACTATATATTCTCTCTTTGCTTGACTGTCTTTCTTTCACCACTTTCATTTGCTGAGTGTCACCTCGCTCTGATGATTTATGACATTGTGAGGGTGACGGTATCTACCATGCATCTTCTGCGCTATAATCCTCTCAGTACTAGGTGCACCTTTTTTTCTCCCATCTTTATGATTGCTAAACCATTGCTATTAGAGTAGAACGGCTGATACGAGTGTAAGTCCCTCACCACTGGGAGAGTCGATGGGTGTTGCTCACCATACTCAGCCTGATCTATGGCGGCATTGGATATATCATCATGTTGTCCGGTCTCGTTGTCTTCTTTCGTGCCACCCCATTGGCATTCATCGCCTTGCACTTGGTGCACCGCACTGAGCCCCCCTTAGTTGCGCCTTCAGATGGCAATTGGGGCATGAGTCCCCGGCTGAAATCTTGGTTATGACCAGCATGCTGCTGCATGATCAGCGCCTGAAGTTCTTCCAGGATAGACGACTCTAACATTGATTGCTGATGTCATGCTGAACACCTTCTAGATTTACAACAATGTCTCGACTGAGCTCTATCACAACAAGACCTGCGCTCACTGTCTTCCCCTGCATTGGTTGAGCAGGATCGTGGAATCGCTGACTACCATGAAAATGGCATCTTCACGGACAAGTAAGTCAGTGGTATTGGTCACCGTGAGCCGATTTCGATTCAAGCACACTCTTCACCGCTAATCCTATCATTGTTCAGTGGCTGGCTGCACGATCCTCCATGCAGTTTTGAGCTCTCTCCAGCGCATTGCATTCAACAGCGACCTTGCCAAACTCTGCACCACCCACTTACCATGATCGAGTCTTATGGAGTCACGTGCTTGGCCTTGGGTCCGAAATGTTTGTCACTTTGAGGCAGCACGTGCTATTTGCGAGATGAAGAATGTTAATGCTTCACAACTCACCAAACCAATAGCGGGTTTGTAGCTCTTGGACTCTCTTCGCATAGCAATCTTCAACTAAACTTGGCTGTTGGGAAGTAACATCTTCCTTGGTGGCTTACACTGCACGAGCTCAGATCGTGCAGTTCTGGGAGCTTACCAGGCCTGCTCCCAGACCTCACCGTGAGTCCTACACATCTTTTTCATCATCTCTTCCTGAACGTTTTTAGGAGCGCCCATATTTTCACCATCATTCCCACCACAGCTTGCTGCGATACCACCTGTTCCGCAGATACCGAGGAGTACTTGAATGGCCAGCACCTCCCGTTCTATCTGACAAGTGTCATAGCGCCATTCCTCCTCTGCCACTCCTGTCCCCATGTCACTCGCGTTGCTCGTCAGTTTGAACCTCGTCATATGGGCCAGAGAAAGGATCGACTACACATTCCAATGAACTCGATCCTTTGCACTTCGAATTCTAATGGTTGTTTGGCTGTCCTGCAGATATTCTGCTTGAATTGGTGCATGCACAATCTCCTCATATGATTTCCGTTTGTTGATATGATCTACTCCAACAGTCCTAACGCATACATCTACCCGCTTCCCTAAAGACAAGGAACTCCCCCTCCCTCCTTCCACTCTGCCCCTCTCCCTACCAATGAAATCAAGGCCACGAACCGACAACCGTCTTGAGCTATCAGAAGATCGGGGAGTGACGACAAGTCAACAACACTCAGAGGAAGATCTGATGACAACATCATCTTCCATCCCTACACCTGCACCAGCCCTCACGAAACGCCGACATGCTCTGCTCGAGCTTACCTCTGAACGTGCCTATGCAAACGATTTGGCGCTCCTCAGGGATGCTAATCGTCGAAAACGACGAGGGTGAAATCGTTCGTGAATTCATGAAGGAATCAGATTCCATTGTCCTTTGAAAGCAGATGCAGGAGCTACTGGTCTATCTTACGCATCTTGACGTTGTTGCGCTATCGCATCCTTCATTCACAGCCTTCACAGCGATCGCCCTACTCCCCCACCCTGCGACCCAATGCTTTCAACACCCAGTGTCGCAACTTCGATTTCCACAGCCCCTGAACGGCCCTTTCGGCTCCTTGTCCTCCACCACCTCCCTCAACGACCCTTTCGACTACTTGCCCTCGACCACCTCCCTCAACGACTCTTCGCGATGCCATATCAGCGTCGCGTAACGCTTGATCAATTTTTCTCGCTCGAGCGAGGCTGCAGTATTGCTAACGTTTGTTTTAGACTTTGATCGAACATTAACGGGAATACTCACGTCATTTTGGGGCCCCATGTATCTGTTAATTGTAGAAGTATGTGTGTTTGTGTAGTTGGTATGATGATCCATGATCAATGTCAAGTGTAGCGCAAATACTTCCCCATTGGGCTCTCGAGCCCCGAAATCCCGATGCTCTAAATTTAATCTTAATTTGGATTTAAAAATATATTTAATTTAATTTGTGCTGGCTTTAAGCCCTTAACTCGGATTAAAAATAGCTACTTTGGCTGAGCTGGGCCGTAAATTATGTAAGCTAAATTACGCACTCCGCTCAAATATTTGTGGCTCTGGCCACGGCTAAAACCGGTCGGAGGCCGAAGCTGCGGCAACACTACTGACATTCTATAGAAGCTCACGTTATTTTAGCCTGCAGAAACTCCCAGGTGCAACTACCAACTCAATTGTGTCATCACATCATCTTTCCTCCTGTCAATCAGGTTCGCATAGCCATATGCTTGTTGTATCAGTCGGTGAGAGGCTGTGTTATATCAGTGCAATGTGATATGTCACGCCACAGCATCACACCTCCAAGAGTGTCCTCTTTCTTTTCGAACTCCGACTTTAGGAAACGTCGAATGCTTCAGCACCCGATCATTGCTTAGCGCTTACCCGCCGTGTCTTGAAAATATCGCCCAAAGCTCGCCTGAGGCGGTACAATATTCAAAGAACATAGTCGGGCCTCCAGCTGATAGTAGTGCGTCTCAGTCTTCTTTTCTCTCTTTTGATTTTGATCTGATTCTAATTATAGTGTTGTATAATTCACCAGATATCAACGTTATCAACCACGGATTATGATTCACAGAGTATCTAGCTGTAGGCATGACCAATATTCATGCATCGGCTGCACTATTACTTTGTGGCGGGTTTTGCATCGGATTCAGATTCCAAGCTCACCCCTTGTGCAGTTTGATTTTACGAATATCACGCTTTCAATAACATTCAGTCAAACTCCAAAGTCCTCCCTGCTCAAGTAGCAGTAAAATGGGTAACTTAACTCGGAAAATGTAAGAGTTGTGTCCCGAGTCGATGACATTGACAGAACCTGGATGCACGTCGAGTCTGGAAGAACCCAGGTAGATGCCATATGTGCATGATAACTGTAATCCAGAAGTATTTTGTGACCTACACGGACTAATAGCTCTGCTGTGGACTACCAAGCGACACCTTGTGGTCCCAAGCAAGAGCACATTCATTATGCGACCTAGAGGGAACAATAACTCCGCTGTGGACTACAGCGTGACAGCTTTTGGTCCCACCATGCACACAATGTGTTTTCACTGCTATGGATGACGCCGCGGTGGACATTGTTTATGAGGTGAGTACGAAAGGGTGGACCGGACCTCAGCCTCCTGGCCCCAGTCCTGCTGGCTACACCTTCCATCGCAGTGGACTTTGAGAATGTGGGCCTTCTGTCAGGCTGCATTTTCCATGCCTGGAAATCCCGTGTGGACAACCACGAAGGTTCTCCAGCTCTGTACGACCCAAAAACCTTAACGGTAACAGGTTTTGAGTGCATGACTCCCGAATGGTCATCCTTCACCAATTCCGTGCATGGAGCGGCTTTCCTCGCTTCGCTATCTCATGTCATCTCCATCACATACACAATGTACGAACAAAATCGGCACGTGTGTCGCCTCTGCCACTTCAGCAATAAATGGAAAATATACCAGCTGCCTAAATGGATGGAGCGGGCTCCATTCAGAAGTCTCCAGACTTTTTCATTGCCCATTCCGCATAGCGCACACCATCTTGCTGAATGTGAGCTTAGCAGCACGGACATGAAAGTAGAGCTTTCGACGTTCTCTGTTTCCAAATTGTCGTCGCGCCAACACACACTGGGAATAAGGACGATTCGGGAAACAATGAGTTCTAATGGTCCTTTGGCGTTGTCCTATCCTGGACTATCATCCTCTTGTATCCTTTGTCAAGATTGGCTGAAAGCTTGGGCCTGTGGATTAGGAAGCTGACGAGTAGTGTTATGAGATGACCAGTTATTAGATGTATATGCTTGCTCGCCAGCGGTTTCATACTGTTTGCAAACGTCACCCATTAGTCGGACATGGTCAAGACTAGTTTGTTGCCTATCAACTACTTACATACAGATTCTGGATTTTTTGTATACTATACAAGTTGTTGATTATAGAAATACTTTCCCTTCGAAATCATGATGAGTCCTCCGACTCGACGCGTTGCAATTATGACATATTATTATTCAAGTAAAACACATCACCAGAGGAATGGAATGACGCGCGCAGGCACCCTTTGCATGTATGCGCGGTATTCTGCTGCAACAGCAGCATCCTCCATAATAAGAGCCTCCTACAAATAAAATAAGTACTGCTGAGTACACAAAAACAAGACACTCACCTCGATAGGTATCTTGACAGCGAATGCGCCAGCAGCGATACTCAGACCCACAAGTGGCGCATAGGACCAGAACATCACTGCAAAAAGCGCCTGCTGGATGAGCACGTTCCTAAGGAGGATATCAACACCAAATCTGACCGAGATAATGCAACATGAGACCCACATGTATATCGGATGACGCACCAGTTCATATGGACCTGTCTGCACGACTCTGGACTTCTCCCGTCTCTAGTGAGGAGCGGTCAACTTACACATATCCTCAACACGCAAGTAGTAAGAATGGCACACACCCCGATCGTGTGCCACTGGTTCCCAAGGTGTGTGAATGCGCGTCCCGCGAACCTGAGGAGCACAAAGGTCGATGCACATGCTGCAATTCTCAGCGCGACTTTGGTCTCGTGTTGGAAGTAATCATTAGGTAGGCTCATGCGCTGCATCCATGCAGGCTGCATGAACAGGTTGCCGGTGACGCACAGAGCATATGTCACGGATGGGATGAAGAACGTGAGGGCGTATATCGGGGACACGGCCTTGCCAATGAAGGTGGTTGGGCTTGTGCGAATGGCACCTGATTCTGCTTTAGCGATAGGGGCGATTGCACGAGTGCGGGAAATTCCATATTGCAAGGACCGTAAAGTGGTTAATACTGCCAGTCCCTCCACGGTTTGTGGGCCCGGTGGTACTGGAATAGCGAGGCCGGCAATGGAATACATGCTGGAGTTGGATATCAGTCAATTGTTTTTGTTTCCGATTTCCAGGTGATTGTTTTTTATCCTGTTTTGCGTGCGGTTTTACATAAGTCCACTGACTTGGCAAGTTGGAAGTATTGCCAGTGCTTTATGGCACACTTCTGACTGGCGCGATCCCCACGATCAACCGTGACATAGGGAACATTAAAAGTCTCATTTGATGGGTGTTGAAGCTATTCCAGCTGTAGCTAGATCCAAACCGATGCCATCGTCACCCACTGCGGTCCATATATAGCCTAGCATATAGACTGGCGCGCCCAGGCTTACCCCCAGACGGCAATTTTTACTTCGCTCTAGCCTGATGAAGAAAGCACATATAAAGCTATTTGAACGTCCCCATGGCACCGGCACCCTTCCGAGGTCCCTTTGTCATCTTGTCTCGATCATTATTCTCCTTCGAACTCTCACACAGCCTTACACCACGAAGGCCCTCAAGCTTGACGCGGACGTCTCCCATATGCATAGCGTCATTCTCCAGCTTTTACAAAATTCCCATTTTACTACCGAGTGGCGACGTATACGACAAGAAGGATCATGCCATCTGCAGGTTATACCATGCTATCTAAAGTCGCCATTCCTACTCAGTAATCATGCCTGTAGAATTTGAGTATTTGGTTTTGATACATGCAAGTACTTGTCTCTGTTGGACTTCAGAGCTTCGCGCAGACTCAGACGCACAGTCGTTAATACGCCGGGCATCTCAATTTGCCTTGTATCCTTGTGAGCAATTATAGGACGTTTGTGTTCTTCAAAAAATCTACAATATTTCTTGGGAACTCTAACTCAATGGTTTGTCGGGCCGGTGTTGCCAAGTCTGGGTGCACGCGGCACGCGCCTGTCAGTAGCAAGCAAGAAAAGCTAGCGTGCCGGGCTGGAGGCAGGGTAAGGTTTTCGGATACGAAAGCATCTCTGGTTAACAAATTTAGAGCAGTTGTCCACAAAGGTATGACGGCCGGCGCACACTTGTGCGATACGAGCGGCAAGTGGGATTTGCCAAAAACTGTATAGCAGATGAGATTGATGTTAAGGTTGCAAGAGTGGGTAGCGAGAAATTAGACATATGGATCTAACAAAGACCCTCCTCTACTAACATGGCCCGATACTCGCAACACGCTAAGCTACATGTGATAACCAGTAGTACACCATATCCCCAGTGAGTGGATGTCCATTGTCTGCGGATACTGTTGATTCTGATAAGTTCAAAAGTGTGCCTAGGATTATAAGCACTGCAGTGTGGACAGCTTCTGGGTAAACATCAGATGCTGTCCGTTGATCTGAGCTCTAAGTCGAGGCCAATCCTGGAGTTGTCGTCAACCGGTCACGGGCGATCCTGGAGCTGGACTGGTGTTGCACGGCTTCCAACACTCCCCATCGCTGTCTGGGGCATTTTCTATCTGCTGTCCATATAACTTTGGCACCTGCCTGATACATGAATTCGTCTCAGATTTATATTTTACTCTACCACCTTTCAATCCGCTGTGCTATTATTTGGAAAGCCCGTGCAGATCCTCCCATGCGGTCCAGCGATTCAAATGAGCCGCTATCTCACTGCAGCTACAATTCTTCTGGCACGATGTCTCAGAGTCCTGACTTTCTTTAAGTTTATTGTGTCCCCAACCTCGGTTGAATTCAAACTTCATGTGTCGCTTCAGGTCAGCATCCTGTGGACGATCGAATTCGGTATAGATCTTGGTAGATGATCTCCACTGGCTTATACCATACATGAACTTGAAAGCATAGAGCTACGTGTTTTTTCTTATTCCGCATTTAAGGTATATTCTCCACTGATAGAAAGACTTTCTAAATTTCGAGATTGCGGGAACCTTTGCTTGAAGTCCATCTATACAGCAGGATTTGCGCAAAAATTGGGAATGACCATCATTGTTTTCGAATTAGAAGCGCACGCTGCCAGATTTCTGGTGTCATTAGCCGGGACTTCTTGTAAGTAGCAACACATGTTCGCATGTTTTGATTGTGAGACGTCGTGTAGCTCCGCGCATGCATGTGTGGGCAGATAGTTCCGATAATGATACAGCATGGCATAATGAACATAGGTTTGTCCAGACTAGATCCTATCCTCCAAATCACCTCAGAACACAAAAAAAAACACTAAATAACCACCGCGAACGAAACTAATAATCTGTATGCTCCCCGCACAGTACTGTGGTTGATCGTTTGGGTCGTTGTACATGCTACACATCTCCGCTAGTCAATGCATCTCCACCAGCCTGGAAAGCAATGGACGTCATGCATGTTCCCTCGTCGGACCTGGCCACCATCTTAGCATTATTTTCTCGAACACTGAGGATCAGACGCGGTCCCAGCACAAACATCTGCAACGCCTGAGCAAATGTCATAATGCCGTTATAGACGGAAGCTTCCGTAGACAATGAGTACTGTAGACATGATGAGGAGTGGTCAGACGTAGATGTTATTCAAAGGTTAGCGCACCGATATATTTGGAGACAGAGCGCCAAGAGTGAGGCAAGTCACAACAAAAAAGCTAACACATGCGGAACTTCAGCGAAAAAAAGAGATAATAACGTCCAAATGACTGAGCTCACACTAGAAAGTAAAATACGTGGCTTTTTGCTAACGCCATGAAACAGTCCCCAATGGTCGATCCGCTCGGTGATTGTCGCAGTTCACGTAAGTGTTTTATAACAATCCAGACCGCAAGACAAAGGACGAGGATCTCCCATATAGCGGTGGATATCAAACTCTCGTAACCCAGATCTGCCCCGTTTGGCATGATCACGGTCGTACACAAATGATAGCCAGAGAGGACGAATTCCTCTGGTATTTGTCCATGAGTCATATGTGCTCAAAGCCTTCATCAACAACTGAAGCTTACCCCCTACAGCGCCGATGTATGCTATTGCCGTCATAACTGCGGAGGTGATCGTGGACGCCAGTAAAACCACCACAAGAAAGATGAGCATCTTTTTGGATCGTTGATACATGGCATGTATCCGCACCATCATGATGACTTGCATGATATTTCAGTCGGGTCAGTATCAGTAAGGTACTACTGATTAACTCACCGCCCAGCATGGCATTGACGACGACAGTGATCCATACCTCTGCGAAGAAAAAACTAGTGCCTGAAAACCCAGTCACGTCAATTTGGCGGGACAAGTGCTTCAAATGAACCCACAGCTGTTGAAGTTATTATCTTGAAGAAACAAGATGGTTGAGAATATCACTCACGCCTATGGAGAACCGCAGTTAGTAATTGAATTGGAATGGCAGCCATCAGTAGTACCCACTTCATCTGTCATCGAGAACGGAAGCATCACTGCGTGGCGTCAGTCAGAAGAAACGAATATATTTTGGGACACATACACAGTAGGTTGATGCTGGTTGTGAGATATGGCTCATTAGCATAGTGCAGTATCATGAAGTCTGCCTCGCAAACATACACAGAATATAGTATCCCCACGTAGCGCACCTAGATATGTTTAAGCCAGTATAACTTGCCGAGTACACTTATAACATGAGCTACTCACACCGGCATATAGCAGAGTCACGAGAGACCAGCGTTGCCTCTGCCCCAGGTCAACTCCATTACTATTTTTACTTCTGATATAGAACTTTGCTCACCCAAATCAGTTCGAACTGTGAAAGCACCCTTAGCGAGAAGGCCGCGCAGGTCATGACATCAACTTACCTCTTGTCTGAATGTTAATGCTTGGATACTATATGAATATCAATGATTCCCTCAGAAAGCATTATCCCGCTCACCCCAATCATATACAACCACAGTAGAGGTTACGACTGCGAAACAATAGTCAATGATCGTGAGACGTCAACATTGTCATCACTCTTGCTCTCTACGAACCCATGAAATAACTGGTAAGTTGAGCACCACTGATAACCGGCCACAAAGTGGGATCATTTGAGGTTATGGTCATATTGGGATGAGGCCTATAGAGTCTTATGAATGAAGAGTAGGAACGGAAAAGGGAGAGAAATTGATACACTGAATGAGACGGAGAATCAAAGGTGAGCGTGTATGAGGAGTCGTATCTTAATTAACTAACATGTAGTTCATACAGATACTTATACCATCGTCCAGCGCTTTTAAAATAGTGATCAATTTTGATATCTGGTTCCCGAATCAGAACCTTGATTGATCGCATCATGATGCCAATTGTTATTCGTTTGAACAGCCTTCGTAATGACGTATTATACAACTGTGGCAGGTGTAGAAGGCAAGAGTCAGGTGTCTGGGAGTTGGGGTCTTAGAGTACACGTACAGAGGTATCATTGATCATTGACATCGCATTCCCTTCTCCGTCTGAGCGCTAGGCTGGGCCACGTCTCCAATGGGTAATTGACCAAATATTGTCCAGCTGGATGTATCGTGAGGGGAAGCTCTCGGTACTTGCCCTTACGAAGCACATAGAAGCTCACCTTATTTTAGCCTGCAGAAACTCAACCATCCCCACTACCGTATGGCAGGTGCAACCTGTGTCATCACATCATCTTTCCTTCTGTCATTAATGATGTATCAGTTGTTTTTATGAGTGAGAGAGGCTGTGCACACGTTATATCATTGCCTTTGGCTTGCATTGAATCGTGGTATATCACTAGGCTCGTGACCAGCAGCTGGCGTATACTACCACGGATACTCGAGTGGTTTTGACTACGTCAAAAATTCTCACCATCTCAAATTGACGCAATGCTAGTCAGACTGAACCGTTTAGACTGGTGACCAGCCCCTCTATGAGACAAACCCTCGATAGAGGGACTGGTAAATCTGGGTTTGAATTTGGATAGTGCGCGCTTTGGAGTAATCACATGACTGAAAATCCTTTTCGGGAGTTAGATAAGTCTTTGCTAAGTTCTCGATTACATACCGAACGTGTCAACATTGCTCGTCGACTCCGGCAGCGATCAGCTTTGTTCCACTGGCCGCTGCAGGGCAGCGTCACGTTGCACTCGGACAGCCCTATTTATGATTTGAATTCAAACTTCGGCTTCTTCTGAGATAGTACTGGTCCTAAGCGCCTGTTCTCAAGGGGAAAATGTCTCAAGGATGGTCCTGGGATGACGGGGACCTCTCGATGCTCATTGATACTGATCTGGAGACATTTCAGAGGTGAAATCGTCACACCGATAGTGTCCGGACGAAGTAGATTAGGAATTATGAGACACAAGGTCTTTCCGCAGCCTGTACCGGCTGTAATTATGCTGTCACGGCCATTCAATGTTGCAAGAATGGCTTCTAGCTGGAATACTTGTGGAACAATGGTTGTAGCCGTGAGGATGTACACGAGCAGGCAAGCGCGTAACACATCCGTCTCGCACTATCCAAATTCAAACCCAGATTTACCAGTCCCTCTATCGAGGGTTTGTCTCATAGAGGGGCTGGTCACCAGTCTATGAAACGTTACGAGTCTAGTATATCACACCACAGGCATCTGATCAGTGTATTCTTTCTTTCGAACTCCGACTTTAGCTTCTCAGGAGTCAGGAAGGTCGAATGCTTCAGCACCTGGGCCTGAGGCCTGATCATTGCTTAGCCGCCTTGAAAATATCGCCCAAAGCTCGCCTGGCGATCCACATTTCCCCAGAAGCTGTCTTGATGCTGATCAGTCCTCCCATCCAGAGTGGATACAACAGAGACAACTTCCATTTCATCGACGCCATTTGACTGCTCAACCTCAACTATGCTGAGTGCCTTCAAGATCAATATCTCACAAGCCGGGGCCCCACTGTTCGATATCCAGTGGCTGGTACTCCTTGCTTTGCCGGTACCGAAACTTGCAGAGACACTTCAAAGCGCTCTGTTAACCATCAAAATCATTCCGCAAAGTAGTTAAGGACAACAGATTTTCGACTTGTATACTATGAGTACGTGCTCATGATTCGGGTGGACAGGGTGAGTTTCATTCCATGTCAATTCCACTCCTACTCGGTAATCATGCCTGCAGCATTTGAGCATTTGGTTTTGATGCATGCAAGTACTTGTCTCTGTTGGACCTCGGAGCTTCGCGCAGGCACTACTTCTATTCTATTCGAGATTCCTTGTAAGTGACTCTGCATAAGGGCCCGATCCCTCATGGTGGTTACCCTGTGTACAATGTGCCGTGAGTCAACACGATGCTATTTGATGCGAAACTACTCTTATTCATCATTGGGGTCCGGTTCCGGAGAGTACATGGCATAACAAGGCTTACGCGCGTAGGTGCTATTTTCTGGCGCGGGTCTGGTTCGGAAGACTCTTCCTGCGTACATCACATGGTGAATTTGAAAGTTCGAAACAAGTCCTACGCGCGCAAGTACTACTGGGATTGACGTAGGTCTGGTTCTGACGCCTCTTCCTCCGTCTCTTTCGTGTCATGTGTTTCATATGCACAATGATAAGCAAATATATGTGGATTGCGATGGCACATTAGATATGAAGCTGGAGATGACATGAAAAACTAGTGTTGGTAAGCTAGTCCTCACACGTTTGGCTAACCTCGAGAATGACAGACGAGTTTTGCTCTCCAACTTAGTCTATCCCAAGGAACGCCAGTAATGCAGTGCATGTCACTTGATGGCAATACAACAACCTGAACGCAGCGCTGGAGGACTACTTTACGTGCAAGGTTTCGGAGATGGAAAATGAAGGGTGAACGAGATGCGTACGCTTTCTGGATCCCTCATTACTTCTATTTTCTTATCCCGATGCGTGTCGCTACTAGTGCACAACCTATGATCTAGTGTCGACTTTTGCATTAGTGAAACCCTTTATATTTCGTCTTTTCCTGCTCCATGCTTGGAATGGCTGATCTAAGGTCTAGGACATACCTTTCTCGAGCTCGTCTACGTTTTCGTGAAATGGTTAGAGAGGTTACGACCTATTGGCGATGATTTTTACTCGCCTTCGTGTGCGACGTTTTACAGTAAACCTTATTCCATGCGTTAACGTTCAACTGTAAATCACACCCTTACTGAATTTGAGGCTTCACATAGGATCGTACAGTCTTAGGTGCCTGTCTTAAGAAGGGAGTAGATACTTCAAGCCAGTATCGTTGTTGCAATACCTTGCTTGCAAGCACTTCGGTCATGTGGGCGTACTAGAAAGAAGGCAAGTAAAGACATAGTCATATAAACAGGTTTATTCTCCACAAGGACTCGAATGTGGTTTGGAAACAGCTAATATTACACGCTGTGTTTCTCGCGGGCCACAAGTAACATGGTCAATCCATCCATGATCCCCCATCAATTGTGATCGTCTGCCCAGTGATATAGGCAGAGTCTTTGCCTGCGAGGAACGACACCATGTTCGCGATATCTTCCGGCGTTCCAATCCGCGGCAGTGCCGCGTTCGCTTGGTACTGTAAAGCAATTGAAGCAATTAAGAAACTGCACCTCGAGAGAGAAATACTGATACATACACTTTGGATTAACGTCTTGCCGTCGGGTAGTCCTACATGTTTTGCAAATTCATCGGCAGAGCCATGCACTGGATACTACGTCAGCATCTGGATAACAAAGAAAATGGGTAGTGGATGGAGGTAGGGGGCGAAGGTGGCAGAGGAAATAACATGATGGAGTAAAACATACTGAGAAGCGTATCAACTGGTCCAGGAGCGTAGGCGTTCACAGTGATGCCGTGTGATCCGAGTTCACTCGCTACAACGCAAAAAGGCTAAGATGAGATGAGACGAAATAATAAAACGACTTGAATACACACCGAGAGCCTGTGTGAAGGACCGAATGGCAGATTTCGACGCACAGTAAATACTATGGAACGGCATCCCTTTCTTCCCTGATACCGACGACGCACCTATAACAACGGTATTATCATCCAAGACAAAAGAACAAAGGGCCGTGCATACTGATGATCCTCCCGCCACGCCCCTGCTTGATCATAGCTTGCGCTGCCGCACGCAAGCAGAGGAACGTTCCGCGCACATTGGTGTTGAAGATCCCATCGAAATCGGCAAGGGTAGCTATTGGAATATGATGACATCACGAAAACGGATCAAAGACTTGGTTGGCTTACCATCAACCATAGGCTTCACAAGGATTCGTCCGGCATTCGCTACCATCTAGTATACCTTCCATCAGACAGTTTGGTAGATTGACAGCCCATGAGACACGCACGACGTCCAAACTATTAAACTCTTGCTCCGCAGCCTGCATCATGCGTTGGACCTCTTCCTCTTGTGAAATGTCACACTCCAAGACAAGACATCGCCTCCCTTTCGCTCTTACCTCATCTGCGAGGCCGTCGAGGTTCATGCGCTGTGATTTCAAGTCTGTGATGACAATGTCCAGTCCGTCCTCTGCGAGCCGCAGGGCAATGGCGCGTCCAATGCCCTGGGCTGCGCCGGTGATGAGTGCGACGTGGGGTTGGTTTGTCTGTACTGGAGCGGCGGAATCGGCCATGATTCAAGTTGCAGTAATCTGAGAACCAGGCGTCACACCTTACTTATATACTGCAGAGGGCCGAGGAGTGATGTGTCAGTGATTCTGACGAATCGGTATGATAGCTTTGTTACCGAATCACCTTTTTTCCCTTCAAGTCCTCGATTGTGAGACCTTCAACTGGTCAGGCCTGAACGTTCATGACTCAACTTCTGAGCCCAAGAGCTTCTAGCTATACAGTTTCATACTGCCGATTCAGTACCGCAAAACAAGGCAAGTTCCAAAGATGGGCAAGCACACCTTCATAGACGCCCTCTAAGCTGAAACCTGTCAGAAGGATCAGAAAGATCAGCGGCGTGCTGACCACACAAATGGACAATGGTCATGTGGTACGCAAGGACCCTGGAGTGACGACATACGCAATCACGTCCTCCGCACCAATTTCGAAGCGGGAAAAAGCCACTACCTCGTAGGAATGCGCAGTGTGCTGCTGTGCGAAGCGGATATTGTTTCAGCCGCAAACTCTGAGCTTTGGAGTTGCTGCAAAGGTAATGACGGCACGATGGGCTGCAAAATCACATTACGCGATTAATATTCATCGTTGTCAACCGTACTTATGCTTAAGTTACTTAGGTTATTCCTTCCGTCGGCTTTTGCTTGATCCTACGGAATTGCAATTGGTAGGCATTTTATGACCAAATGCAAACCAAATGACTGGCAACATGGCAGATTGAACATTTTTTTAGTTTAGCATTGACAATAGTCATCGCAACAAGGTTAGCTCACAACGAAACTTGATATAGCGATTTTTGGCTGGGGCTCTGACGGGTAGCGCTTCCCAGAGCCAGAGTTGACATTGCACAAAACCAAATGCCATGATATGCAGATAGAAAGAACAATGGTTTACCCCTGCACATCAGCAATAAACGTCTCCTGCAGCCCATCAACCTCCATCCCCGACTCAGCCTTTGTCAACTTGTTAGCGGCCCTTCGTGCGCGCTTGCGGTCTTGCTTCAGCGACCGCCTATTCATCGTGCGATTCTGGCTCCGCGCAGCGGCTTCTTCATATGCAGAAAGGTCCTTCGCGCGACGGAATCGCTTCGGTATGCGCAGTTGTACCGAGGAGTCGGTAGCCCCTGCCTGTGTGACCAGCGAGGGCGAACGAATACGCTTGCGGGATGACGGGAGTGACAGTGCGGATGCAGTCATGCCATCATCGACTATCATACCAGATTCCTGTGCAGCATTGTCATCGTTGACTTCACCGTCATCCATAGCTGCCTCCTCCTGCATCGGTGCATTTTCATTGAACGCGCCAGCGTCCGCTGTGCCAAACAAACCTGCGAGCTCAAACGGTTTGGAGAATGAATTAAGGATTTGTGCCTGCCCGACGGTTTCTGCGCCTGTTGTGGCAGAAGGCATTGACGAGGGATGAATGGTGGGCGGGACGGAGAAGTAGGGGATTTTTTGATGATTCCAATCCATGAGAACATGACGTGCGGCTGAAAGTAGGTCAGGGGTACCTCCCTGTGGATGTAATAGTTGTGTGAAGTGTCAGAATTCACAATAAAAAAGCTGACCTTGAGTAAGCGTCCGCTGTTGAGCGCAAGCATGGTGAGAAACTCCAGCGTACTTGAGAATTGAGGCAGATTATATAGTTTTTGGAGTGTCTCGTGTTCTGTCCGCGCAAGGATCTCTTCCACTGAAACAGTGAGATTAGCAATCCATCCATCAGGAACTGAATTTGTACTAAGAAACGCACCAACAGCAATGGGATCTTCTATATCCTCTACTTTGACTACATTTCGCAGGAGAATGCTGCCCTTTTGACTAGAGTCACTTGATTCATCTTCATCAAAAACTACACCAGGTGAATCGACGATTTTGATTCCTCGCTCCAGCTGCACGGATTGAAGGTCTTTCGTGTGACCTGGCTGTGCAGCCACTGCACAAGCCTGAACTCACATAGCATATAAGACATTCGGTACGAATAGTAGCAAGAAGATCTAGACCTTTGATCGCTTCAAAGAATTGATAAGGCTGCTTTTACCGACATTCGGGAAACCAACAACACCGACTGTGATACTCTGTGAACTAGGTTTGAATGCCTTAAGAAGGCGCATAAGTCCGGGTGCCGTCGTAGAGCTAAGATTAGAACGTTGATTGGAGGAAGCAGAACGGAATGGGAGTGTCGGCGTGGAATGTCGCAAGTATCGCAGCCACTGCTGAGCATTCTCTTTTTGGACCAGATCTTAGCCCACAGCACACGGTGAGGAAGAGTGCAAACACCCATTGAAACCAACATTCATACCGATTTTATTCAGCACAAACACAAGCTTCTTCCCTTCACTTTCTCTCCGTCTTACCTCTTCTTCGACCAGTCGACTCCTACATCCCTCCGGATCACGAGCATCGAGTACAAGAATGACGATGTCACTTTGATCAATTACTTTGTGTAGCATACGAACGTAGTGACGGCGAATTTGCTCCTTTGTCTTCTGTGAGGAGCCCGCATAAGATGCGGCATCCTGGTCTACAGCCTCCTGGGTCTCTGAAGCGAGAGCTGCTAGTGAAGATAGAGTAGGTTCAGTGGCCATATAGGCATCTGGATCATCGCGCGGGGTAATCGCAGGCTATGAGGTGCAGCAACTCAAGATGAAGTAGTGACAGTTAAGACGCGAATGCAACATACAGAGCTAGATTTCCGCTTCTCCGCATTCCGAACCTTTAGTTGAGGAAGCCTTGGTATTCCAGGGTCTTTCTTGAGCTCTGGTGCCCAAAATTTGGGGCTCAATCAATGTTTGTTCTTTCTGCAGTAGCTGCTGGAGAAATGGAAATGGGGACTGACTGGATTTTTGCGGTATTGATGATTTCTGGGATTCTATTGGCCATCAGATGAGAAAATATGAGCGTGGAGTGCTTTGCGTACTGTTCCTGCCCATGATAGTCGTGAATGAACTTGGTATAATTCGCAGATAGTTTTTCACCGAATGAAACAAAGATGAAAGATCGACACTTTCAAGCTCCGTGGCAAATGTAGTACGTGTAGATCTGAGCCTCTCCGAAGGTATTCAACTTGGTCAACTACGCACGACGCTCTCTTTCCATCAAGTTCCCAGTCTTTCTATGCATTACTGCATCTGATGATGCATTTCCTGTCTAAAACTATGCATGGTGAGAGCGCTCAACGCAGTGACCAGGACCATCCAAATCATTCCACTTCAAACCGCCCGCAGAATCTCCTTCTGTGACCACCCCTTGCTGCCCACACAAACCGCACCATGATACCGGTCGGCAGTTTTATTTTATTGCATCAAGGTGGCGCTTATGCAGGCTGGCTCTTCTTGCGTATGTATGGCATGTGTTATGCATGCCTCAGAAGAACCAGTCACGCATCTGATGTTACGACACACACTCAACTTCCTGACACGCCCCTGACACACTTCTTGCCAGTGGACGATTTGCAGATTGTTTTTCTATAACGACGTGACATCCCCGTCTCCACGCCTCACTGTGGAGTTGTTTTCCAGCAATTCCATGACACGCGCTCTACATTGTGGGGAATTTGCCTGTAGTTGTCGCACTGTATTGGCAAGTTGTTTGATCAAATTAAGTCGTCTTGTCCTTGAAATAAACTTTTCAGACATAAAACCCAGCACGAGGTTTTTTTTGTCAACTGACTTGGGATGCTATTGTGATATAATCACTGGACGCCCAACAACGCCGTGGACCCAATGTGGGTGCATATCGAGCGTCTCTTCCTCCACACACGGCTGCGAGTCTACTGGGCAGCCCCATATCTTGATAGAACTGTTCAACCAGCACTGGCAAACGTTTGAAAGACACGGCAGGCTGTGTATAATGTTGTTGCGGATGAGTATGTGGTCCAGGCTGTGTCATGGGCATCAAAAAACAGTCAATGGTGTGGTGTTGAAGATGCCAGCACCCTGCTGACCGTCATCAGTTGGATATATCTTGGTGAGTACAAAAAGGGTGCCACCTGATGACGCACAATTTCGAATAGCGCTACGCTTATGAGGAGCCCCTGACACGGAGTTCACTGAAGGCGGCCTGCCAACACTAGTCCCGCGTACCTATTGATCACCGGTACGCAGAATGACAAAAATTTGACATTACATCAAATTATCGACCTGTTCTGGGACCATGTGCCCACTGAATTTTGATGATTCCCTGCGAACAACATCCAAGACCTCCACCATTCTTCACGTCGCTGAACGTAGTCAAGACGGGCATCATCTAGAGCTAAATTTGAGCGCGCGTTCAGATAGCAATATCACTCGCTGCTGCGGTCGTATCATCATGTGAGGTTTTAACTGGAATCGATTCTTTTCTTGTCACGGTTGTTCGGTATGCGGATAGGCTATTGTTACAAACTAACGTCATTAAATGATTGACTAATACAAAGGTGTAGCTTGAAGAACCTGTCTGAGTTCGAATACATAGGTAACAAGATCACATATACTATCGTACCAGCGCCTCCACTTAGCTTGCCGCCTCCCTCAGTCACTCCGCGTCGAACATGAGATTTGGAGGATAGGAGGGCTCCTATTCTATGATGAGTTCAACTATCATGTGCACTGCAGCCCATTGTCCATTCATGTCTTCAGGCCGACACACGATGCAAGTACCAATGAACGGTGCTGGTCCGATCATCCGTCAACAGCGCCTATACGAGTCAACTGCTATGTAAGTAGACCCTACAATTCACGCGAGCATTGATACCTGTGAGTGATCTCCGGATGTTGTCAGGCTCCAAAATAACGAAGCGTCTGAGTGTGGTGATATCCTGGATGTATATGTGCGTCTGTTAGATTAAGACGTAATGAACTCTGATGGAAGACAGACACATATGTTCCGTATCCAGTTGGTCTGATGCTCCAAGGGCACACCTCGCGCCCACATGTGAGTGCAGCACTTCTTTTTTGCGCAGAGTTGACAGTGGCATACGAGTTGTGCGCAAAATTCCTAATGTTGTACCTGTCGTAATACCCACTGAGTTTTTCAAGTACCCACTATAGAATGTTGTTTATTTCATGTTCCTCTACATGATATGTAGGTTGGACGTACTGCAGCATTCTCTGCTCGGCCATCGTTGCTTGTTACCAGGGTAGCAGCTTTTGGGCCTTGTACAATGACAAAGTCATTTGTACTAGCATTCCTAAGAGTATAAGTCCCAGTTCGAAGGTTGCCTGGAATCGTCATCGTCGCGAAGGTGAGTGCGCAGTAAATGAACGAGTTGCGTTTATTGAAATGGGATAGGTGTAGAACTTTTGATGGCAAACCTTGCATTTACCAGGCCATTATTATAGTCAAATCGGAGTCAAGACACATATGGTCCGAGTTTGCCGACGACAGTGATATCGAGACAGTATATGAAACAGTGTTCATGGGATAATTTCGTATCCGGATTCTCAAGTTCAACGGACTTCGCATGAACTCCGCATGCACAATGGAGGATGGGCATGCGGCAGGCGGAAATGCAAAATTGGGGTGGCGCCGAGCCGCCACAGAGACTTCTGGGCATGGTGTCCGGGCTCCAGATGACACCGTGAATGTCATCGTTAATAAATGAACACAGCCTATGGGTATGTTGTTCCCTTCTGAACCAGTGGTACATGCCGGATGTGAACAGCCGGCTGTGAAGTAGGCATCACTTCTGACACCAGAAGAAAAAAAAAGAAGCAAATGGATTACCCCCATCGCAAGCACAGCCTTAAATGCATGGCGTAATCAGTATTTTAAAATTTTAATCAATCATTGAGAACACAGAAAACAATACTATCTACACAGAAATTCCGCTGAGAACTAGCTGGACGTGACCCTCAGGACTATGACCCCTCAAACCTCATACTCGGACCCCGCGCACTCCACTTCGCTACCCAGGCCCAGTGTCACAGCCCACCCAATTCCCAGCTTGCAACCTTAGGCAGACATTTTAACAAATTGCCAGTATACATGATGTTGTGGATCGTTGGTTAGTATAGCCTGTAACAGCTGATGAGTATGAGGCTGCAAGTCAAACTCAGATAGGCTTACTTTCGTGCCATCCCTGGTCTTCACGATGGTCCAATAGAGTGAGAGATCTGAATGAGGTGAAATACTAGGTACCTTGCATATTTAAAAAAACGTGTCAATGATAACTACGTCACTCACAGGTAGAAGTCACCAAAACCGCTGGCAGCAGGACGAATGAACCACGGGTATGATTCCGTCCCGGAAATGATTTCAGCGCCTGGGGTAGGAGACTCTCCCGTCTGAGCAAAAGTGTTCTGCAGGAAACTCCTGACATGATATGTGTCTTCAAGTCCGGCCAGCTTGTCCAAAACCCACTGTCAAAGAAAAGTTAGCATATAAAGGCTGACTCAGTGAAGGCTCACTGCAAGGTGTTCGAAATGGCTATCTTGGAGGACAATCAAAGTCGATGTTCTCTTGGTGTCCTTGAGAGCAACGTATTGCCCGGTAGCTATATGCCTGATGTTATATGTCGCAGTCTGAAGAGTGGCCTGATCAATCATTTTTGCCAGGTAGCATAGAATGTCGAGGGAGCTGGGTAAATAACAGGTGTATTAGCGCTGAGTGGTTGACGCGGCCGATGACCATGAGGCAAGAAGCATTCTGAGAGATAGCGCTCAGGCTATCAAGCGCCTAAATTGTGGTGCTCTCCGCGGCAGGGAAGCGGCGAAACGGGAGCTGCTGAAGACAAATGTAAGCGCCAGGTTGTAAAAGATACAGGCAGATTGCACCGCTCTTCACAGGTTCACACGCTCCTTTAGTCAGAACTCTCGTGCTGAACTCGTGCTGAGCGCTGAAGCGCTGAACCCTTATTCGACTAGCAAGCCTTCCGAGTCAGTACTTAATTGATGGCGGTTAGGTCAAAATCATCACATGCGGCGTAATCTTAAACGCACGTTTTTGTCAGTTCCGTCTCGGAAGCTTAAGATCAGCGCTTCACTATCATTCTTTGTAGTAACTTAGTATATGGCAATGACTGACCAAAAGATTGGACTGATCAGCACCGGCGCTAGTAGATGAGCCAACTAGACGCTGAACGCTGATTCACCACGCATGCGCAACACCGCCCCGTGGGACGCAACAGAAGTTTCCATGGAGTGTTTTAATTCATCCATGGGAGGCAGTGTGGAGGGGCCACTAACGGCTCCCTTCAAGGTTGAGGTTCAGAAAGCAACAAAGGAAATGATGGCGCCTTTATCTAACGTCAGGCTGACACTTAATTTCCACTAGTTATCCGATTTGGCAACCCTAGGAGGTATGCAGGGAACCATACGTTGTACCAGCGTCTGATAAACGCGAGATAGCAACTCGTTCTAAGGGGCTCTCTTAAGGTGTAGCCTTCGTCTTTTTAGCATCCTCTGTGGATTGAGCCTGCTTGATAGCTGATACCACTCGCCCGTGGAGTTCTTCATCGACTGTGGCTACAAAGCCACGATTGTCTCCCATTCCCCTCCCAAGTCCAAACCGAAGCGGAGCGCCCTCAGAATCTGTGATTTTGCCGCCCGCCTCCTCAACGAGGATGCTTCCAGGGGCATGATCCTGCAAGTCAGAGTAATGGAATGATTAGCGCTACTAAATAATTAATTGTCCAACGACTTACCCAAATTCGCTCCTCGTAAGGTTGTTTACCACCAATGGTAGGCGCCGGCATGCGAAGATACACAGCGCCCTCTCCTCTAGCAAGACAACAATATTTGGCCTGGCTGTCCATTCCCCATTCAGTCAGGTGGAGCTCGTCGGCAACCCGTTTAATCAACGGCATATTTGTGTGCTTCGGCTCTTCCGATTGTAGGACATATGACTTCTCTGGAGGAAAGTAAGGGAGTTTAATCGCACCGGTGCCAGACAAGGTGATCTGTGTAAGGAAATCAGGGGGATCATACGCACAGAATTTGAGATTACCTGAAAGGCGCCTTGTCCTCGGACCGCGACAAAGATACAGCCCTTCCCTTCATCAGGGTTTGCAGGGTATATTTGTAGATTCGGACATCCGATGACGCCCAGCACAACCTGGCTATTCACAATGAGAGACAAACAAACGGCATATTGGCCGCCACGTAAGAAGCCTTTCGTTCCATCGATAGGGTCAACTGTCCACATGCCTAAGTGCAGGTCAGAATACGAAGTTAACGACATTCAACATAGCCTCACGTTTATTTGAACCACCCGTATCACTTCCTTCGTCTATCGCCTTCAACAGGGCCTCTGAACTGTGCTCGTGATGAGAACCTAAACCCCACTGCGCTTTCTCCCCATCGATGAGATCTTCCTGCAATGCGTTGGTAGCCAAGGAAACCATTCGTTCACGCAGTCTAGCATTTGATTCTTGCCGGAGGGCATCTGCACCCTCCTCGCCGACGATAGGATCTTCGGGAAATGCATTCCTCAAGACAGTATTGATAACCGCCTGTGCAGCATAATCTCCGACTTTATAAAATTGATTAGCTCTGACCCTCAAACCTGAAAGATGGAAATTGACACCTGTCACCGGTGATTCGTCTTCCTTCTTGAGGGTATCCGTTTTGTCTCGGACTAATTGATTGAACACGGTGCAAGTCACCAGACATGCTCTTCGTACTGCTGCGATCGCAACGTGTTTCTCGATTGAGAATGCCTCGGGAGATGTAAGAGACATTGATAGTAGACGTCTTGGGTTGTTTCTGAAATGAGCGTTCAGGTGCTTGCTAGCATGGTGCAACAACATGCAGGTCACCTGGACCGTCATCGCGTCATCATCAGATCGTGGGATCAATCAAGAACATTGATCATCACTTGCAATTGCAGTAGCCTGCTGTTAATTCCAGCTTCAACATTGCGGGATTCTATCGATATTCTGTTCGAACTTTGCATTGAATCTTTCTATCTTTTCCTTTTCTTCAAATCAGAGCTTTGCGCAAGAGTCGCAGGGAATCCTAATGAGGTACTACTTCGGACGGTACTAGTACACTTGCCCCGACATGTGCGGCCTCACTGTTGCTTTGGGGTTTGGCTCCGGTTTCTTAACGAAATCGCATCCAATCAGCCTCTTGTGCTCTATTGTGAGTACAAGAACGAGAGCTTCCAAGTTCCGCCTGGCATTAAGTGCCTTGGGAGCCCGAAACCGGTTCAAACCCAGACAAGCGCGTCTGAGTCTCGAAGTTGGCACTAGCAGGACACGTTTTCACGAGCATCAGATGGTTCTACTAGTAGAGCCAGCAACATCAATACCGATCAATCATCCTGCTTAGCATACAGGCGCCTACTTATATCCAAGGGCCAAAACCACATGTGTATTCTTCGAAGCAGATGCGCACCGTGACAACGTGAGTTTATTATAAAGTTTGAGAACTAACATCAGACTAGACTCCCCTAGGCTGCCGGCAGACCGTAAGCCAATGAGACTGTCATTCACGATGCGAGAAGTGGCATGAATTCGGTATTATGCACTGATCCCAAAAAAAAAAGTTGGATTCGGTTGGAGGGTACGTTATCCCTGCGGAGTCGGCCCCGAACTCTGCGTGTAAGATTGCAATTTTGATTTTGCGGCGAAGTACCGTATGCCGTCGACGCGGCGGCTTAGGATCCGGCATATTCTGTCGTCTCGCGTTGCACCCACCCTGAACCCGGTGGACCACCGGGTTCAGACACGCCTGGTATTGCAGCCTACCCGAAGTTATTTGGATGACACTTCACTCCCATGCCTTCGTCATGCTGGGAAACCATCACATTCAGTTAGGTCTCGATTCATGCTAGTCTGTTTTAGTCGCCCAACTCAAGTTCATTCTCTCCTGCAGTGAAACCAGCTCGGCGCTTGACCTGTATTCATATTCACCCCATTTCCGTCTAATCGGAAAAGACCTTGATGCTCCTAAGCCGAGTTTGTGTCATGCACTTCTTGCTGCCGTTGGGCAGCCACGAGTTTTCTATTTTTCTGTCCTACGACCGGTACACCGGTGATCGTTGCTGGCTAACATTATGCCGGTTTAGCCATATCATGACCCGTTTCTAATTTTTGGAGGCTCGCATATTTCAGATGGGTTTTTGCAAGCTAGCATGTATCTGTGACGCTGCACAATCGTCCAGGACAAGTCGAAACTTTACGGCTAGATCTTTGACATGCCTTACTGAAGGTTCTAGATCAAGTAGCTATCTTATGTGCTAATTCTCGGCGACTTCTGTGCGCATATATTTGTCATTTCATTTACCGCGCATACATTTTTATCCTTCCTCCCTCCGAAGCGCAGCAAGGAAATAGCGATGCTTGTGAAGTAGAGGAAGGTCCGTGTCCTCGAGGTCGGAGCAGAAGAGCAAGGACTGACATTCCATTATGGCAGTTACTAGGAAGTTATTGTCATAACCAAGGTCTTTCGGAAACCAGCCCCGTGGTGCGTATCACCGATCTGATCGATCTCCGAAACCTAAATTGAAATGCAAGTTGCTAGTGACCTCAATTTTTGGCCCTCTATGTTGGGAAGGGTGATCATGCAGTGAATGTTTACCATTCCTGTCGTGGTACTGGCGCCGAAGTCTTTTTGTGCCCTGCTTCTTGCTCCCATCGGTAGCCACGGAATTCAGTATAATGATAGACCCGCGGATGTACGGGAGCCCACAATCTGGTGCAGTGACACAATGGAACGATATCATGGAGATGCAGACGTTCACTAGTCTCGAGTTCGCTAGCCAGTTAAACACGTGGCGAGTAGTGCTTTCGTTGCGCAACTGCGGACGGTTGCAAGTGTTGGGGTGGCAGATGCATGTACCAGGGCGATCACGCGCAGGTCCTCCTGGAGTGCCAGGGTCCCTGCCCTGCAGTGGCTGGAGTCCTGGCTCATATGTTGTATATCCTCCTGGATAGATAAAGCCGCAACCAACATATAACTCAACGTCTCCTTGTCACTTCCCTGCACACATTTGTGGCCTCCAAGAGACCATGACTGGTATGTCTGTGCGAGCTACCGTTGACGTCCTTATGGTGATCCCGGTGTTAACGTTCCAGTGGAACACCTGATCATCCACTGTCGTCTGCGCAGCATGCAGCAATACGTGCTCTTCTTGCACTCGTGTTACCCCCAGGCCAATTGGAAAGGGTCTGTGTGCAATTGGATCCTGTGCTCCGTGGATTTCATCAGTGCTTTGACGGTTGTGGGAGTTTGTTTTATCTTCCATAGATGCACGAAGCCCTTCGAATCGGGATACATGCTAACGATACTTTCTGCCCTGATGTCACAGTTCATGACGGCGGTGGAATAAAATTAGGGAATGGGAGCTATCGCACGATTCCAGTGCACGTCACGACGACATCCGTCCGCTTCTCCCCATTCACCAGCTGGCGTAAGTACTCCATCTGGTAGTAGATCTTCTCACCAACAAAATATCCTTCCTGCTTGAGATATTCCACCACTACATTCTCGAGCTCATACATCTCTGTCGTGCACACACCCATGTCATGTACTATAGCACGAGCGTCACGGTGGGAGGGTGTGTTATGCTTGCGATACGATGCTTCGAAAGGCTCAGACAAAACATGATTAGGACTATCGAGTCTGGAACACTTCCGAAAGCCTTATGTAAATACGAGACCAATTCTCTATAGTCTAAGTCCAAATGAGGTCGTCGGACCGGCAACCAAGTGGAGCCGTGTTGACGGACATTAATCTTCCCAGACCTGGCAGGCCTCTTCTAGGCCCGTACGTCTCTTGCTTCGCACTGGAGTTGTCCGTAGGATTTAGAAATGCCTTCAGATTCAAACATCCAGATTCCAAACCTCCTTGTGCCGACAACCGATGTCGTTTTACATAATCGAACATTATTTTCACACTCCGCCTGTCACAAATCACTCGTTCCAAACTCCCGGAGTCTGAACAAGGGGCCTTCTAGCTTCAAAATGGCTTTCAAATATAGATTTCGTAGTCCGCGACACCGGCGGCAGTCTGACACGTGATCAGGGAACTCACTCATGGCGGCAAGGTAAGACGCTCCGAGTCGAACTCTAAGATGTCAAACTAATCATTTACCAGGAGAACCATTAATGCACTGAGGGCCGGGCCCGATGAAAAACTTACCATTTACCAGATGCACTTAGGATCGGGCCTGCTGTGTTGCAAACCCAGCATCAAGAATATAGTAAAAACCTTCTGCATCAAAGCCCATTGTGGTGATGAATGTCCAGTCATTTCGTGCATGGTAAACTATCTGCCATGGAGTAGCAATGGATGGACTCGGTAGTAGGTCACTCCGCACGAGATATGTGCGATATAGAGGTCTGCGTTCGGTGCGTCTTTGTCGGGCTTCGTCAGCGCCTGCAATTATTAAGGCTCCCACACAGCGACTCGCTGGAGTAATTCCTGGTCGGGGTACGTTTCATCCTCCAGAATATCGTGCTGGATCCGTACTCATCCATGTGTATAAGTGCTCGTCTCGCTGTTTCAGTCATAATTGAAGATATATTTCTCTTCCGATTTTCAGACTTTGCCGAAACTCCACCGATAAGGTTTACAAAGAAATCCACGACTTCGAAATTCAAATCCTACGGGAAATTAACCACTATCAAGAAGGAACGATTATCCTCCCTCTAATGTTTGGTTTGACTACGCCAGCTTCTTGAGGTCAATGTATCTGTTTCCAGAGCTTTGCCTCTGTCCTCCCTCCATTGAAATTATTTACTCCTGCAGTGCTGTTGAGTAAATTCGGTGCTCCCTCACCGCGCGTCCCAGGTCTCGGCCCTGCCTGCGTCGATAATGTATCCTACGTCATATGACGTGGCACAGGTTCGTTCTCGACCTCTGCGTTGTCCATTCATGATACGCAATCAACTCTGCTTATCAACCTTGTGACTCCTTCCTTGCTGGCATTCCTGTCATGGGACGTATCATCTGCCCACAAAGAATTTCAGAACTTCAGAAGACACGCATATTTTTGGCGGACAGCTTATCTGAGGAGCTACTTCCGGTACATATATCGCAACTTCAGTGTGTCAACTTTGCTATCTCCCTCTCCCCAGTCATAATAATGGCTACAATGTCCTTCAAAGAGAAAATCAAAGGCATAGGGGGTGACGCTTCATACGAGGCAAAGGCTCGCGTCTTACGAGAACAGCTTGAAGCTAAGATTCCAGCGGGTCTCAAACTTCCTCCAGCAATTCTCGAGGACCCACCTCTTGATACCACTCACATCCCTGAGACGTGTGGCTTGCTTAATGCCCAAGAGTTGGCTATCACTGAACTAGATGCAACCGCTGTGTGCCAAAAGATTGCTGCAGGCGAGCTGACAGCAGTCGAGGCTGTCACTGCCTTTGGAAAGCGCGCAGCTATCGCTCATCAGCTCACAGCTTGTCTTGTGGACTTCTTCCTCGATGAAGGTATAAAACAGGCGCAGCAGCTGGATGAGTACTTCCAAAGAGAAGGCAAGGTCATTGGGCCATTTCATGGATTACCAATTTCAGTCAAAGTTAGTCTACCATTACTTGCAATCATCTATATTTAATTCCCAATTTCCTCAGGGCCATTACCCAGTCAAGGGGACTGTTGGATGCGGAGGCTTTCTCGTGGATATGGAAACTTCGACGGAAGACTGCGATATGACAAGCATTCTGCGTTCGTTAGGTGCAGGTATGTGATTGATCCATGCTTCAACACACTGTCGGTCGAATATTTTCGCAGTCTTCTATGTCAAGACGAATCAGCCACAGTCCATAATGCACCTGGAGTCTATGTCTACCTACGGTCGAGTGGTATGTCGTCTCTTGAATATAAAGTATTTCTCGGCTCAAGTCTATTAGTTGAACCCCCACAATACGGACCTTACTCCGGGAGGATCTTCCGGTGGCGAATCAGCCCTTATCGCCATGAAGGGCTCTTGCATGGGTCTTGGCACGTAAGTCCGTTTCCTACACGTGACATGGAAACTGATGTATTACCAATGAAGCGATGGCGGGGGATCCATTCGAGGCCCGGCCGCTCATTGTGGTATATATGGAATCCGTCCGTCCTCTCGAACAACGCCCACCTATGGACTTCTGTGGTAGTGAGTATACCAAGCTCTGACATGGAGTCGTGTTGATAACCACTATAGTCAACATGGCCAGGACGGAGTCTTTTCTTCTACAGGCCCGATGTGTCGCTCAGCACGAGACATGCGACTCTTCCTCGAAGCTGTTCTTGGGGCCAATCCTGCACTTCGGGACCCAGATGTTTTGCCTATTCCACTGAAAGTGCCAGATCTGACCCAGAAGAAACTGCGTGTGGGAATCATGATGCACGATGGGGTCGTAATGCCTCATCCTCCAACTGTCCGAGCACTGAATTTGGCGAAAGCAAAGCTCGAGGCATCTTCAGAGGTCGAGGTGGTAGACTACATCCCGTATGACCATGACCGTGGATACAGCATAATTGTGAGTCTGGTGGTCTTTTGGGTTTACATAATGCAACTCATCATGATGTGTTCCTAGCGCGAGCTCTACTATGAGGATGGAGGAGCCACGATCCGACGTCTTCTAGAGGAGGGTGGAGAAGAGATGCATCCACTGACAGAATGGGTAATCAGTCCACCATACGTGAAGAATCATGATGCCGCGGAAATTTGGAAGGTAATAGGTTCTGCTGTCTATATACACGGGCGCTGACCTTGACCAGCTACGTGATCGACGTGATAACTACCGGCGGGAGTACTCTGATCACTGGTGGTCCCAAAACGTCGACGTCGTCGTATGCCCACCCTACCAAGGTACAGCCAGCCGCCACGACACTGCAAAGTATTGGGGGTGCGTAACAATATGTTGCAGGATGCCGGGCAATCTAACAACTCATATCTTAGCTACACGGCCATCTGGAATTTGCTAGACTACCCAGGGGCAGTCTTCCCGACAGGTCTCGTCGCTGACCCAGCTGTTGACATATATCAGGAGACACCTAGCCCGATGAGTGCGGCGGACGAGTATAACATCTCCTTGTGTTAGTCGGGCTCTTACAGGTTGGATGGCATGAGCTGACTATTGCGTACAGATGATGCAACGATATTCAAAGGGGCTCCGGTGTCGCTACAGACCGTGAGCAGAAGATTCAACGACGGTTTGGTGCTGGCTGCACAGGATGTAATTGAACGCATCATCAAGTCTTAGGGGTGTCGCCATTGTTACACTGAAAGCACCATACGAGTTTTTGGATCCTGTATGTATCAGTATCGTTTAAGCGCTAAGGTTGTTCGAATCAGGACTGTCTATGCCAAACACATATTATTGGTGTCGCTCAGTCTTTCCTGCAGTGATTGTGCCCAGAGCCAACCCAGAGCGCACTCATACAGATACTAGAGGATACACGAGTCTGATAATATTTATAATTCCTACGATGCGGTAAGTACTAGTATCTATCTCCGACGTTACAGTACTGTCCTCCATGTACATGGGTAATTTAAATTACAATCCTGTTAGAGGATCGCCAAACCCAACCACTTTCCCAAGTCCTTCACCAACGTTGCCCGCAGTGCCTTCACCACCATCGGGGGGCTCTTTAATGCGAGTCCTCAAGAAGAACCTTCATCGCCTCACTAGTAGCCTGAGGCGCAAGACTAGACAGTGTCGCAGGTGGCACAAATGGTTTGACAGCCGAAGCTAGGTCTGTTGCGTAGATTCCGAGCGCAGATGCAAGCTGACTGAGATGCCCCTCAAGATCCCCCGTCGCTTCCTGACCTCTCCACTGGTCGCGATTCAATCCATCATGTTGCCTCCCAATTCGTCCAATAAACATTCCCCACCACCCGACTTCCTCTTTCCAGTGCTTGAGCCCCACAGCTGTGGTATACGTATACCACGCTGTGGAGAGAAGGGCTATTGTCACCAAGGTGTATATGAAGTAACGTAGAGGTGTTGTATTTCCCGGTAGGGAGACAGGCGTCAATATCTCTTTGTGTGGTCGTGAAGGCGGTAAGTCTGAGTGGTTGACATGGTCAGACCCTTCGGACATAGAGCCCGGCAGATGTTTCTCTTTAGCCAGAGAATTGGGCGTTTCATGCGATGCTTTTGAAGTATTTCTGTGGTCCCTTTTAGATCTTTTTCTGGTGGACATCGCGATCCTTAAGGAGGGATGTGAGAGGTATTTTCCTGCAACCGTCAAGGTTAGCGCGACACCAAGACCTTCTGTTGTACAAACCTACCAAAATTTAGCCTGAGCTCGAGAGAGAAGTGGTAATAGGAGTGCTGAGGATCCGGGACAATATTGGGAGCTACTTAAGATAAATGGAGACTTTAGGGTGCATGATGTCACCATGGCGTACTTTGCTACTTACTCCAACGTACAGCCACTTCAATCCAGCCACAACTAGTATTTGTACATGTTGAATTCTAAAGCTCTCCATCATGCATCAAGCAACCTTCACGTGTTGTACTAGTACTCAACCAGTGCATTCTCAGTACTCAGTCCTCGTCGCAGGTCGAAGATCTTGGTGGACGACTCGGTCCTTTATTATCATACATTCAATTCATGCCTTGACTAATACATTCTACTTTGTAGCCTACTAGTACTACCTCCTTGTTACTCACTCAGTGGTCGGGACTATCCGATTCCGCCGAGCGTTGATAGTACATTTTCATTAACCGTTCCGTATCACACAGCTAGCCGACAACGCATCTAGTATCGACAGAGCCACCTGATGACGCGGACGCGTGGTCACCTGTTTGTTGCGTTAAAAAAAAAGAGTCTCCAAAACTCACGCCAGCATTACGGTACATACGTCACACACAATGGCCCATCAGTGCCTCGTGCCCGAGCACCCGGAAAAGATGCAAACTTATCACCGAAGATCACGAGATGTACATATTTAGCTATGTTTTTTTTAGCCGTGAAAACTTCGGCCAACGGCCTGCAAACACATCATATCAGATCGTTTCATGTCTAATTTCAGTCTCTAGGATCCACGTCAAGAATCTGAATATTTTAATGACTCAATCATCGTATATAAAATAACACTTGGAGCTTGTCGTGTGCAGGTCCCTCACTCCTACCTCTCGTTCCTGGACCATCCCCAGGGTACTGGCACAATCTCTCTCGAAGTGGGATACAACAAATGATAATAGAGCGAACATACCAAGTTTGTACGCAACCCGAATTGCATAGTAACTAGCTTGTACTACAAATATCCTTCATCCGGATATTAAAAAAAAAAGAACAATTGTCTTCTTTCAGGCTGCTCCGTTCAGAGACCACTACCGACGGATCTTAGTCACCAGGCGGCCAGCTCACGGAACGACGTTGTCGAATGAACGTTCATACCGCCCACTGCTCATACTACAATCTAATTTGTCAAGACTGTGAGTAATGGACCATGAGAGGCCGAGAGGCTATTCCCGATGCCTGTAAAGTCGACGGCCTCCCAGGCAGACCCAGGCTCCATCAAGTCGTTTGCACGTATACTTAATTTTGGCACCCTTCATATATCAGCGCCCGTTGTCCGTCGCAAGGGCTACTATACGTAATTCTGATTGTTGCTCGCAGAAGTTCAGTGTATTAAAGGGCCTGTATCTAAAGAACTACGGACTCCTGAGCACCTGACATCCCCGTCATCACCTCACTGTAGAGTCTAGACCACCCTAGCGCCAGCGTTCGCTGGCAAATGTTTGCATTGTAACCTCGGTCGTAACATCTCTGTTCGTCAAGTATCGTAATTAGATTGTTAAGAAACATCGTCTTGACACGTCCGTAGTGGCTCGGGCATCATATGAAACAAAAAAGCGGGAAAAAAAGTTCTGGTAACATCGAGATCAAGTGATATCAGCCAAGTCCGGTATATTAAATGGCATGCACAGGATATAAGAAAAAACACCAGCGTATTGGTGCTATCTCTGTCGATCAGTGCGAAATTCTACTGAAGAGGGAAGAAAAATGTCAAGGTATGCTATGCGTGGAAAAGGTTGCAATGTACAAGGATATAGCGTGACCAGGAATAAAAGCATCATCGAGCATGCCGCAGGTGCAACCAAAGATAAGAGAAAAGGAAACAAAAGGACCAGCGATCGGAGGGCGGAAATCCTAGGCCAAGAGTTTCACGGCAAACCCAACGAATGCTGCACCTGCAGCAAGCATTCCCAAATCGTCAAATGAGGTTCTGTCCGCAGCACCAGTGGTATTGGTTTTCCCAGAGGTTCCAGAAGACCCTGTTGAACTGGAAGACCCATCTGTGGGGTTTGAAGCGCTACCAGTGACTGTTGTCGTGCCGCTGATATCTGGACAAGTGTCAATATAGATGTGACAAAATAATATTGGTCGTACATTGTTCAAACGATGGTAGGGAGTAGTTAGTTTCGACGTATGGCTGAGTTTGATTTGTAGCAACACCCATGGGAACGAGGTACTTGAATGCAGCTTTCAGCTGGGTGTAGAACTTCACAGCCTCGGACATGGTAAAGTTGTTTAGCTCGTGTGTGAGCATGATAGTACCTCCCTGTAAGCAGTGTCAATCCTTGATGGATGGTGATAGGAGTAGGGAAGGCATTTACGGTAGCAAATGTGCCATTTTGTGCACGAGCAATGAGATTCTCATAATTCTGGTCGACATCAGCATCCGTAATATTACCAGTGCCTGCACGCCAATCGTTGGAGTCATATTGCCAAATAATCGTGCGCAAGCCTAGTGCATGGCCAACGGCCCGGACCCGATCGTCGACATCGCCGAAGGGAGGCTTTGAATGTATTAGACAGTTGTACGCTTGGCAATAATTAGGCTTACCCTCCAGCACGTAGGCGTCACGCCGACAACCAACTTGATCGCTTGCATCTATAAGTCAAAGTCAATAAATTTCTGACTGTGCTCGGTCAAAAATCTCACAGCTAAGAAGAGGTCATTAGAGTGAAAGGTAAGGGGATGATGCTGGACGACGTACCATAGTAAAACTCCGCGAAGAGTTGCGTGTTGGTCAAAGAGGTCACTATAGAGTGATATGATCAACCACCTGAGCATGTTCGTTCCCATGTAGCACTTACTATATTTGTGCGACCAAGTGTCTGCGCCAGTATGACATCAATGCGTGATCACGACGGCGAGCGTGCAAATACTCACGAACACAAATTTCATGACCATCAGCGAGAGCGCGCTGCGCCTCGAGAGGCCAGTCCATGACATTACTGCCAATATAGAACATGGCTAGATTGCAATAAGGATACTTACAATAAAGTTGAAAATTGACGTACTGGCTTTCTGGTTATTTTGCGACAAATAGTCGTAGAACACATTGTGGGAGCAATTAGGTCCATCGTCGAAACCATAACCTAGAGTGTCAGGCTGGACAAAGTCAATTATCGGACTACGATGGGATAGGAAAACATACCTCTGGGACGGCAGCCAGATCCGGAGGCAATCCAGCCAATTTTGGAGTAGTGCATTGGTCATACGTCCACCAGCAATCTGGGTCAGACGAAGAGTACGAATAGTTGCTGAAATCACCCATAAGGGAGGCAGGCTGCGTGCCCTTAGGCTGAATATTTGGGATCTGGCTCTCGATGGACTGGTACTTGGCTTGAGCATTCGTGTCGGTGCTGAGAATGTCTGCGACTGTCCAGATAGCCGGGAACTGGTTCGCAGCGAGAGCAGCAGTGACGGGCGCGTAGGAATATGCCGTGCATTCTTCATTCGGGTCTGAGTTGATGAATGATCAGCGTGATTTTTCAACATGGCAAAAGAATTGTTGGTCAGGCAGGAAATATGAAGTACGTGATCCAAAAATTCAGGGCCAAGAGTAACCGAAGCTATTATCGGCCATCCTGTGATCAGAGATATATATATCGAAAGGATGAACGCAAATAGCAATGGGGTTTCACCAACGTCATCATATCCGCATGGAAGGCCGAAGCGTTCCTCGGATCCCTCTTATTCGGAGGGTTGCATGGTGATGTTGTATTCCAGTGCAAAAGGGCATGTTCAATCGAACATGCCCACTCGAATGGAGCGACGTCCACTGCTTTGCATGAATATGACGATCCAGAGAATGCGCACTGGCCTCGCCAATATATATATATCCTCATTTCGACCCACTTTGGCTAATGCCTGTAACTCGCACACACGAATAATATTTTAAACCTCACCAGTGATCTGCGCCTCGCCCTGTTCAGTGGTACGGTCCTGCGCACTGGCAGACGAAGTAAAGAGTGTGGTTGCAATGAGAGCTGAGGAGACTGCTGCCTGTGAAATAAAGAGCGACGAGAAACGCATGCTGATGAAATTGGGTGGTTGGAAGATATTTGGAGAAGGAGAAAATTAAGAGTTGTCGGTTCGCAAAACTGGCAGGAGTTTAAACTTGGCAGTAAGGATATTTTATCTCAGTGAAAACTGAATCTGCTGGGAAAATGTATGAGCTGTACAGGTGTGATGAACACCGTGTTACAGAAATTTCGATGGTGGGAGGAGAAACGACACCCGGGTGCAAAAAACACGCAGAAAATGGTATATATAGCTACCAGCCGACAGTGGTGCCGTTCACGGTATGTGTGTTCGAACTTCGTAAAGGCTCCGGCTAAAAATAAACTATCCTTAATAAAAATGGCCAGCTCGTGGCCTGATATATTTAAATACAAGCCGCACTATGTCCAACTTGAGTAAATATTGTTGTACCGATTAAGAGGGGACATAGAATCTCAAAGGATGAACTCTGAGAGTGCCCGTCCCATCAGGCCAACAATTTAAAGAATGTTTGAGCCAAGTCATAGAAAATCCTCAAACATAAATCTAAAACAGGCACCTATATGGATAATAATATCAACTTTTAGAAGTCAAGTTCCACGCGCTCTAGGTCCAATAGCGTTCTGATCGATGAAATAGTTTAGCAGGTGTGCATCGAGCCACCTGAACGGGTCGCGTACCTCACAAAATAACAACGAGGGACCGCCGATGGGCCGAGCGCGTTGACCCAGAACGGTAAGATTATTACAATGAGAGTAGGGACATCTAGTACTACTACAGGCCGTGACACAGGCACGAAAAAATACCGATGAGAATATTAGTACCTTTGAAGTTTATCTATGGACATTTACGCAGTTGGGCGCGAGGTAAGAAACGCAACAACCCGTACAGCAGTAGTATAATCAGTCTTCAACAGTCAGTTGGATCCAGAAAATGGCACTGTCCCCTGAGAAGATTCAATCTATATACCTGCGTTTGATCTGCACACGCGATGATTGAGTCGATGATCAGTAGGCTTTAGTTCAAAATTAGTGCAGTCAAAAATACTTGATTGAAAGTTTGAAAATAATCATGTGAACTGTCGAGTGCCACACCCGGGCCGCACCTCGCGCGGCGGTTCATTGGGCGCTATTAGGGTCAGCATGATGCCAGTAAACTACGGCGAGTTGACGGCGAGGTACTATCATTGGCACCACGATGAAGGGTTTACGTTCATGGCCGCCGATGTCGTTCTGGTGATCATGAGTGACTAGTAGTCGTTGTGATGGTGCCAGCACTAGTACTCCATGCCAGAGTTCACGGCTACTATTATACTTGGAGCTACGCCGCGAAGCTTCCGAAGCTCACCACAAGACACCATGGAAGTACTAGGGTCTTTCCTTGGAATCATCATAAGGCGCATGCTCGCTGTAGTATGCTTACTCTCTCTTTGGTCTCATATCGGCACTCCATTCAACTCCAAGCATAATTGTGGTCCGGGATACAAACAAAATACTCAACGATCACCAGATATTGAAATCACGTCTTCTTCCTGAACTTAGCTAGAGTGGTCTTGCAAGGTGATAGTCGGGCTTGCCATGATTTTGGTCCAATATTACAAACTAAATTTGATACAGGTAATGGATTAAGAACTACTGAAGACGACTGAATAGTTGTTGGTTCAAGTACATGGGCGGTTTGGAAGCATTGAAGGTAGCACCGCGTCAGCTATTTCGCACTACACGAAAGCAACGTAGTCGGGTAGAGTGTATTTCACACCAAGCTTATATATCAAGGCGCTCGCGGTCTCTCTTCCCCCGCCTCATAATCATATCCGACAGGTCCGAAAAACGACCCCTCAGTCTATGAAGTCTATGGTGTGACATCTTGCCATGTCTCGCAGACAGATTTTACAACTCTTCCGATGGCCTCGTTCGCAGATGGCTTAGCGGTGGAGTTGCACAGAACCCTGCACTCCGCCTGTAAGCTTTTATGCCCAGTCCATTAACATTCTTTAGACATGCCGCAACTAAGATAGTATATGTTGCGATGAAGTTCCTTTCCATCAACTCGCACTGCCGTTCTCCCTGGTGGGGGTGCCGGTTACGAGCCTGCGCATGCTGGTTACACATGCAGCAGAATGTTAACATCCTCCCTTTCTGGTGCAAGTCCTAGTGCAAAACGAATTTTGGCCGCCACTGAGATTGCTGCACAAACAGCCCCACCCATCGAGATGTGGTGGTCATCGTCAACAATTATACTGGTGATCGTTTGAACTTTGGTCTACATCAGGAAATCACGAGTTCACTTTTCTAGCTTTTTCGGCACTTAATTAAGAGACAAATTGCTCATGGTCACTTTTTCACGCTTATTTTTCGGATGCGAGAACTTCATGAAATTGAATGATAACATAAGTGAAAAAGTTAGAAAAAAGTTATAAGTAGGAAAAAAGCAAACGACGAAGAGAAAAGTAAGAGCACTAGCAAACTATTTCAAAGGCATGGTGGTCAGCGTATCTGTTCACGTAGAAGAGGGTGAATATATCAAGGGCATGGTGGGATTTAATGGCCATGGGGAGCGGTTCAATACCATACACAGGAATAAGATGAGCAGACCAAAAAATTGACTCAACGTGAATCACTGCAAAGTGCGCGTGGCCATTGATAGAAGATGGCTCCACCATCCATAGGCCTGTCTCGTCATCTGGTGCGTTGCCGACTTGGTTGAACCACTGGACAACCGCGCATGGATAAAATCCACCTCTGAGCCGAAATGAAAAAAATGTCAGTACCCAGGCAACATCCATGCCCCGCATTCCATGAATATTTGGATCAGTAATAACAAACACGCAGTCTTTGCGTGTGTGCCCGTTTCTCCAATTGGGAGACACACGAATGTGCTCGCGTTTCATCCCACCAATGCCACTCAAGTTGCTTGGTGCGAAGAACATTGACACTGCGGAATTGAACACTCGAATCCTTCCTTCGTAACGAGGGCAGTCCATAATGCTTTCGGGAATCTCTGCGGCGCGCATTTCCGGATACAGTTGTTCGACGAGGAAGTCTCGAACAAGATCAGCTAAGTGAGGGATAGCGAGCTCATTGGCCAATGCAGGAATGGTCTGGGCACGCTTTTTCCCTTCTGTTTGTACCAATAGCACTTAGTATATTGAGACGCAAATGAAAAAAATGACTTACGAGATGTTCGGGCCAGTTGAACGTGCGCAAGGACTGACATTGGTGCATCGATATCCTCAGGAATCGGCAATAACGTCGATGTCAGGTATGCTGGCACTTTCGCGCACAATAGGTGGCTCCTGTTGGTTTGAATCGTGCTCTTCTGCACTGGTGGGCACAGGTTGCTCGGCCTGCGCAGGTACATCTGCTGATGGTTCTAGCAACAAAGATAGTGATTAGATGGTAGTAAAAAAGACAGAAATAACACGTACCAAGTGCTGCAAGAACAGATGATAAGCAGGTACCTGCAAGCATCCCACGAGTGCGGAAATCCACACGCGATGCTGTCAATTTGTCTAGACGCTGATTGGTCAGGAGCATCTGACCGAGTGCGTTATATCGGCTGGACTGCCTCCAAGGTTCCTTGACGGCTTTAATATGCTTCGACTCCATGATTGAAGAGCATAGGCCGTTTGGCGCACCGAAGAGCCGAATACAATGGACGTAGTGTACCATTGAGTGTTGTCGTGGAAGCGAAAATGTCATCACTGTTCCGGTGGTCTTGAAAATTTCACGGTACTGGTGAAAACGAGTGAGTGCATCTTGAATCTCCTTGAGGGACTTCTCCGTGAGTACGTTGCGTCAGACAAGGTAACAGAACTTGAGAAAGGCGCTGAATGCGCGCACGACATCTTCAGGGACATGACCCTCAATTGCGGGCAAGTATACCTTCATAAGGGCTTTTGAGTCGTCACCGGTCCATTGTTTAAAGTGACGTCCTTGTGGAAATTGGCGCAGGCCAGGGAAAGGAGGAACTGCTGCAATTCTATGAAACATTAAGAAAAAATCAAAATTAAGATTGACGAAACGTACCGTCGGTCGATATCATCGAGGATGATGTTAGCCCGTGTCTTTCCGTGCTCTTGCAAGAGGTATCTCTCAACCCATTCAACTAAATGATCCTTGAATGACCCCTTGATGATTTGATGGAGAAGGTCGGGTGCGAGTAACTTGTGGATGTCAGCGTGAGGGAAATCGTTCGTAAACAGCTGCAAACGAGTCAGTACTAAGCATTATTGAAGGTGAACAATTGACATACCACGAGGACGGCAATTACACCATACTCCGCCCACAGAGTATCGAAATCGCACTCCTCAATGAGTGCATCTACATGACGTCTTGAGCGAAAGATATTGATCTCGTCAAGGGCCTTGGAATGTGAAAGACATCTATTTCAGTATCAGAACAAATACAATAGATCATCGGAAAATTTACTTACTTAGCGCACCACTTTCGAACTATGCATGCAAGTAGTACTTGCTCTTCATAGTCTGCGATATAAGGCCCAAGTCCATAGATGACACAGCGATAGTGCCCGTCCCCAAAATGTGCGACCTCAGGCGTTGTCATGCCGGGCTTCAGGCTCTTGAGAATATATGAGAGTGAGGAGTGAAACAACTGCCGGTGAAACCTTTGGAATTCTTTTGTCTCGGCATGCTGTTTGGTAGCTGTGCGAGACGTAAGGACAATAGAATAAAGAATCAACGAGCACTTACTTTTCGGCATTGCAAAAAACCCTACAACAGCGACAGCATTGCGATGCGCACGGCGCACGTTGTTCTGGACGTTTCCAATAGATGCATAGAGAGGATAATAGTCATTTTGTCCTGTTGCGACCGAAACCGTTGTTTTGTCGCTCCCGAGAATCACAGGCACAAATGTAGAGCCATGAGTATCAGTATCTTCAGAGATAATGTCCTGTAGATGCACGTCAAACCTAAAAACAATAAAGAAAACAATACACGTACCGCTTGTTTGTAAGCCCAATCTCCAGACATAAAGTCTTTCCACTGGTGCTCATCATTCTCGGTTGCAAACTCGCAATAAGGTCTAAGGTCCATCTCCGCAGCAAAATCAGGGTTAGCGAGCATATTGCGAATGACTTCGCGGGGGTCACGGAACCACACTTCGTGGCTATCTGCCATCCATGGTGCTGCGCCTTCCTCTGGAATATCACCAGTATATTTGACAGTAAACGATTCCCATTTTACATCGCCGAGAGGAGTGTTATCGATTGCCTTATAGACGCTGCGGTGATCTGAGAATATAGTTGATTTGCTACCGGCGTGTATAAGCGAAGCTGCCCAGATATTGAGTATATGGTCAATAGAATGTGCGGGGGTCTGATTCTTCGTGAACAGATAATCGGCAAGCTCGAACTCTACCCAGCTTCTGTAGGGTGTCCAGTCATCTGGTGCCTTGTCAGTGAGTGGCGGAGGTGAGGTTCCTGGTGGAAGGAAGTTGCCTTCCAGATCACAAGGTTGAGCTTTGTAGATTACGAATAAGATAACATTCGAGAGAAATTGAATGAGGAAACACATACCGGACAAAAATGGGTGATAGTTTCTGTACAGCCAGCCGCCAGGGCCAAAAAATTCAGCCGTTTGTTGCGCAGGATCGTTGTTGTCCATGATTCCATCATCTCCAAAGTCCATAGCGCCAGCATCACCCAAATCCATGGTGTCAGGCAGCCCAGGACTTGGCGAAAAAGGCCTGGATGGCTGACTCGATGTAGGAAACACGGGGTGCTTAGCGTTTGTGTGCTGTGTGTACCCTGACCGATTCTTAAACCAGCGGTTGCACCCTTGTTTTGTGCAAGGGATACAAAGACCGATTGGCTTGCGGCGCGGGTGACTTGCATCTGAGTCAGTCTGGGACATGAGTTGTTGGTATTTGGAGGGGAGGAGGGTGCTTGTTGGTAGGAGGGCAGAAGCAGGAAGAACGGCGGGTGCTGACTTTGGTACTCGAGTTAATGGTATTTGGAGTCGGGGATGAATTTGGGGAGAGCTCATCGGTAGGATGGCCAGTACCGTACCGGCACTTGAGTTAATGGTATTTGGAGTCGGGGATGAAGTTGGGGAGAGCTCGTCAGTTAGAATGGCCAGTACCGGCACTTGAGTTAATGGTATTTGGAGTCGGGGATGAATTTGGGGAGAGCTCATCAGTAGGATGGCCAGTACCGTACCGGCACTGGAGTTAATCGTATCTGGAGTCGGGGATAAAGTTGGGGAGAGCTCGTCAGTAGGATCACTACCAGCACTTGAGTTAATGGTATTTGGAGTCGGGGATGAAGTTGGGGAGAGCTCGTCAGTAGAATGGCCAGTGCTGGCACTTGAGTTAATGGTATTTGGAGTCGGGGATGAAGTTGGGGAGAGCTTGTTGGTAGGATGGCCAGTACCGTACTGGCACTTGAGTTAATGGTATTTGGAGTCAGGGATAAAGTTGGGGAGAGCTCGTCAGTAGGATGGCCAGTACCGGCACTTGAGTTAATGGTATTTGGAGTCGGGGATGAAGTTGGGGAGAGCTCGTCAGTAGGATGGCCAGTACCATACTGGCACTTGAGTTAATGGTATTTGGAGTCGGGGATAAAGTTGGGGAGAGCTCGTCAGTAGGATGGCCAGTACCGGCACTTGAGTTAATGGTATTTGGAATCAGGGATAAAGTTTGCTGGTAGGCTAGCCAGTACCTGCTCTGGTGCAGCAGCCACACCCTGTTGTCGTTGTGCTGAAGTATAGGCGGACTTAGAAAATGGCGTGAGGTATTGAGTAGTACTACATTTTGGAGAGTTGTTTGTTTGGGTTTAACACTTAGAAAATTGCAGTTTGCGACTCTTACCTTTTAGTATCGAGGTCCACGCTCTCTTCTGCTATTTCCTACCCCCCATAACCACTATGGCACCCCCCGTTTCCCCTCGCCGTACACGCCCTGCAAATGCGACTCGACACCCTGGACTTGTGCTTCTCGAAGGTCAAAAGAAGCGATGTACCAAAGCCCAGGTTGCAGAAGACAAAGGCCGTGCTCTCGAAGCCCAGGCCGCTAAGGAAGCTGCCCTGCAGCGTGGAGTTGATCGAATTGCAGGCATTGAGGCTGCCATGCAGGTGGAGCAGGTGGCTGAAGCGACCAGCAGGGCAAAACCGGTAAAACCCCGCACTAGACCAGTGAAGAAGAAGGAAAAGCAGCAAGATGAAACTAATGAGCTTGCCTTAGAGCACCCCTCCATTCCCCCAGCACAAGCCAAAGTTCAAGGCGCAGGCAGTCAGCACCCAGTTGATAGTGTGGGTGGAGGCAATGGCAAGGTGGTTGAAAATGAGGCGGCTGGGAATGAGGAAGTCAAGATGAAGAAGAAGAAGAAGGTCAACCCTACAGTATCGCGAGAAGCCATAAGTGCGGCTACAAGGCAGATCATTGATGGCGATCTGGTTCAAGGGAAAGCTGATAGCGACAAGAAAGGAAATCTTAACCCGTCAGTAATCTTCTCACCACCATGCTATTGATGCTTACAGAGTCTACGCTTCGCTTTATGACCCTTACTTGGGGGCTCAGAAGTAAGAAATACAGTCTGACGGGCAAGGTTAATAATTGGTGCACTCACCTTGAACCTGAGCCAAAGGCTGCTGCAAAACCTTTTCCTGTTCACAGCATTCACACTGAAACTGTTTCTGTTGACTCTCTGGGTATCTCGTTAGCAAAATCAAGCCAAACTGTTGCAACCACAGTCTCACTCGCGAAGGATCCGCCTCTTTCTTTGACAGACTCATCCGAGACTTCACATGCTCCCGCATTGGATGAAGATGGAGACGACGACACCGACATCGACACCGATGACGAAGAAGACAACAACAACAAATTCAAAGAGCATTTTGTGGCCAACACAAAAGGAAAGGCCCGGGAGCAGATGCAGGTAAGCATTCGACAACATCGATTTTGACATGATTCAATGCGCATTGACAATTTTAGAGTGTCGTGGCGATCTCTGGTGAGATCGCTGAACATTCAGATGACAACAGTTCCGAGATACTGCCGGTGTCGACGCCATTCAATCTATTGCCCTTCACTCAGCAAGCTGAAATAGTGCAATTTGCTCTAGAACAGGCCCAGTCAACTCGCACTGGTAGTTCCTCAAAGCAGCCAATCGAGGCAGTCGACTTAATTACCTCGTCTGAAGAGGACTCAAACGTGGCTGACGAGGATAATGCAGATGCATCTTTTGATGCAATGGTACTCAATGCCACTCACTTCATGTCTCCTGAGGTTGAGCCAGCATGGGTCACTTCAAAGGTAGGTTTTTTTTTCAAGTTCAATATCTAATTCTATCGATACTGAGGTTCTCGATAGACTAGTGTAACGGTCTGCAAGAACGCGAACCCGCCCAAGAAAATCAAGTTGGAACCAGCTACCAAGAAGATGGATGCTCCGGTATCACCTGAGCCCAGTGTGATGTCCGCTGACATGATGACGAAGCCGAAAAGCGGAAACCAGTGGCGAAACACTGATCTTCCCCCACTTATGCTGGAGGATGGTATGTGGCGAAGGTCTTTTATCCCCACCGTCTTTCTGTGGGCAGGCGCTCAGCCTAATTTCTGGTCCATTGAGACCGAGAAACTCCTCCCAGCGCTCCAGGCTATCTTCAATGTTGCTTATCCAGGAATGAATCATAAGGTTCAACCGCGCGGCCCTATCATTGGTCTGGTAAGTCTTCTATTTCTTACCTTCAGACTAATATTTTTAACTATGACTCATCTCTGATTAAAGGTGAATCAGCGCATTTGCTCCTGGCGCAGTAATTTTGGATCCACGGCCATTGCCCTTGTTGCAAATTTTCTCGCTACCTCAAAAGATAACGAGGACGAGGACGAAGACGAGGACGAAGACGCTAACTTCGAACAAACACTGGCAGCTGAACTTCTTCAGGAGTGGGCCTTCCTCTACGAGGATCCAGAGGTTCGCGATCCAGGTCAGATTTACCGGTCTGAATTTATGTTGGAAATGATTGAGGCCACTCATCTCACATCAGTAAACCCCAATTTTCTCCACAGACATAACATTTCCGACAGTTTCCCACAGTAACCCACAGCGCCCCACAGCGGCACAGAGCTCACAGTAGATTTCTCCCAGCATCGACATTTTCTGATACTAGTTCCTCACAGCAACCCACAGAGGGACAGAGCTCACAGGGTGTACAGCTGCTTACAGTGTTTGTCAGTAAAATACTAGTACTAGTCACCATTTCCATTTCTCAAGCGCTACTACTAGTATGTAGTTTGAGCTAGAGCTATACTTAGAAAATTAAAACAATTTGAAGCACATCCGCCAAGGTCAAGACATAAACAAAATTTCATGGCCGAATCATATTTAGTGAGAGTACTACTGCCAAATACAATGTTTCTATTTGATACAAATCAAAAGAAGGTACTTGTCATCAGTCCAACTGGATGGCGACCTGACGGCAGGATGCGAATGAGTCTATGATACGAAGGTGTTAGTTGGTAGTACTATGTAAATGATAGGCGTACTTACCGTGAAAATTGTGTGGCGCTGGGTGGTGAGAAAGACCATGTTTCCTGAATGTGATGTGCATATGACCCAATCCTACATCTGCCTTGTCGAGCTTGCGCTTAGAGATGGCGGACTTGTGTTTTGAAAGAGACGTCATGACTTCATGTTCTCGGACGATGCAATCAGCAAGTGTTTTCTCTGCATCGAATACATCACGTCGGGCCCTTGCAAGGTCCATGATGAGGTTGGCTTCAAGATCATCAACATCATTGATGGTCTGTGGGCATGTGAACGAGCATTGCCTAGTAAGATATCACAGTCACTTACCATTGAGCCAATAGCGTCGACCACATCGTACAAATCTGCAATACCACTGCCAGAGTCACCCAGGACATAGTTGGCTTGCCACTTATTGCATCGCGGGCGCATACGTGACGCCGATGATACGTCACTATCACTAGAGACATTCAGATTGAGATGTATTGGTGTGTGGCTTGACTCGGACATGAGGGACTGAAAAACTAATATGTTCGGATTCCGGAATCAATACCTTTACAGTTGAACGTCTCAGAATTCTCACGTGCACGCTATGTCGTCATTCCAGTGTCCTTCATGCGGCAAAGGCGGTTTCAAGAATGACGTCGCTGTTGCTCGTCACATGAGCCAACCTCGTTCTGGGTGCAGTACGTGGCTGCAGGATTTGGCATGCTTTCGCCCCAAGTCTGATGACTCTTGTATGGACTCGGATGATGAACCAAATATTTCCATGGATATGGACGATGGACCGAATATACCCGACATCAAGTCTGGTGGTTTTGGGGATTGGGATGAGATGTCTCGAGGGAGTACTGGTGGTAGTGAGAGCCAGGGAATGCCAACTCACAACTCGGAAGTTATCGACTCATATCCTGACTGCGCTCAAACATACGGCAAGGGCTACACATTCCTCGATCTATTCAATTCCGACAATAACAGCAAACACCGTGCAATGAATCCGTATTACCCATTCAGCAGCCGGAAAGACTGGGAAGTTGGGTTGTGGCTCCTTCGCTCAGGATTGAGCATGGGGAAGATAGACAGTTTTCTTTCACTCGAGATGGTGAGTAACAAATTCGTCGATAATATTTACAATTTTTCTAAGTGATTCAGATAAAGACCCTTCCGTTGTCATTCCTTTCGGCCAAGGAACTTCGCAGTAGAGCGGAAATGTTGCCCAGCGGTCCGCGCTGGATGTCTCAAATCATACCTACAAAATTTCCTACAAAATTGCCCGTTGTGTTGTATTGGCACGATCCCCTGGATTGTATTTCAAGCCTTCTCAACCATCCTGCCTTTCATGATCAGCTGGACTTTACGCCTCGCAGGGTGTATACCACTGCACAGAGGTTGTGTCGCGTGTTCTCGGAATGGGCGACAGGTGATGACGCGTGGAATATGCAGGTACGCATAGTATCATTTGTGCGAGTTGTCATACTTATCAGTTTTCGGACAGTCAGCCCTACCAAAAGGTGCAACACTCCTTGGGACCATCTTATCATCTGACAAGACGAATGTATCGACCATGACGGGCGACAGAGTTGCACATCCCCTTCTCGTTAGCCTTGCTAACATACGCATGTCTACCCGACTCAAATCGTCTTCGAATGCCTTTGTCCTTACTGCTCTACTCCCCATCCCAAAATTCATCTACAAGAAGAAATGCATGCGAGGTGTACTTGAGGATCGCCTCATTCACGAATGCTTGGATATAGTTCTACGTCCACTCAAGGTAGCTGCCCGCGAAGGGGTCATGCTGTCAGATCCTATCGGACACAGTCGCTACTGTTTCACACCGCTCGCAAGCTATATTGTCGACACCCCGGAGGCCATGATGCTGGCTGCCGTTGGCGGGAAAACCTCTCCGGTTACTATGGCCATGTATAAACAGTTTGGAGATTCTTTCTGTCACGAACCTCGCACACGAGCAACTACACTCTCCCAGCTGGCTACTGCACGGAGTAAAGTTGATCCCGATGACATCGAGGCTTTTTCCGTGAGGCCCAGAAGTTTCGTCTGAATGGCGTCAACACACCATTCTGGCTAGATTGGCCCCTCAGTGATCCATCACACTTTCTTACTCCTGAGTTTCTTCACCTCATCCATCGCGAGTTCTACGACCACGATGTAAAGTGGCTCATTTGCGCAGTCGGTGACACAGAGATCGATTTTCGGTTCTCTGTGTTGCAGGTCATCACTGGGTTCCGTCATTTTCATGGCGGGATTTCAAAACTTAAACAGGTTACAGGACGCGCTCAACGCGACATCCAGCGCTCAATTGTCGCGGTCAGCGCGGACGCAGTACCTAGCACCGTGATGGCTGCCGTACGAGCTCTCATGGACTTTCGGTACCTCGTACAGTCACCCGTAATCGATGACATCCAACTCACCCGTATTTCCACGGCCCTTGAAGAATTTCACGCCAACAAAGATGCAATTATAGATGGCGGATTTCGTCGTGGTCAGCGTGGTGGAGTCATTGAGAACTGGTACATACCAAAGCTGGAGCTCATGCAGTCCATAGTTCCGAGCATAAGGAACACTGGAGTTTCTCTGCAATGGACCGCCGACACCACCGAACATGCGCACATAACGGAAATCAAGGATCCTGCTTGCTCCAGCAACAACAACAACTACGATCCCCAGATATGTCGCCATCTTGACCGTACCGATAAGTGCCGCCGCTTTGACCTCGCTATGAGTCTGCTTAACAATATGGCAGACTCGAAGCGGCAGGGTTCAGATGACGTTGGCGATGTCAATGACAACGTTGATCTCGATGCAGACGACAATCACGACGATGGTGATGTTGATTTCGACGCAGATGTCGATCATGATATCCCACACCTTCTAGCGATGAACAAATACCCTGGGCATTCACGTCCGACCACTAATTACTTCGAAATTGCCAAGGTCCTTCAGCACAGGGAAGCGGGAACAGTCCCTGTGCCATTGCGCTCGTTCGTTATTGAACGCACAGCGTTCCACCTCGCCTACGACCCATCCATCAGAAATATATCTGTTGACGATGCTGCCATTAAGTTTGGCCTTCCCGACTTACAACCAGCCATTGCCGACTTTCTTCGTCGTGAGGATACTCATGGGAGGGATCACATCCATACTATTGGGGGGGCTAGAAGAGCTGGACCCACTACTCCACTTCCCTTCGACAAACTACAAGTCTGGTTTAAGCTTCGGCTCCAGGACACCGATTTTCATGATATCAGCATCATACGGCCTGCACAGACCCTCAACTGCGCACCCCCTTCTGATCCCTGGACCTCTGGCCAGTATGACACAGCCATCATCAATAACGAGGCGAGATGTGTATGGCCCACAGATGGTCTTCACGGTATGTTATTCTTACATTGTACTGAATATTTACTTATTGTCAAGTCGTAGGTCATACTATTGGTCAGATCAGGCTTCTCATGCGTCCTGTTGGAAAGAGTGGCACAAATTGGTCATGGAAGGACCACTTTCTGGTATATGTACATCGCTTTGACATTGTTCCCCAAAGCTCCGGTACCAATGATCGTGAGCCAAGTACGCAGCTCCACTTGCTCAAACGAGCGAAGCATTCAAATGGTACTCGGGTGGGTGACATCGTGCCTGTGACACAGCTCAGAGCACTTGTCAACCTCGTCCCTCGCTTCGGTGCAAGTGCGGACAACCGCCTCACCCCATATAATAGCATGGAACATGCTTCGCAGTTTTGGCTCAACAAGTATTGGGACAAGAACTCATATTTTCCTCTTTCCATGTAACTTTGACGTAGTCACCCTTTTTTATGCAATGCTCGCGTCAGTTGTGTATCTAGCCAATGGTTATTCTAGTCTATCTTATTCTTAGATCATTGGTCCAATCTTTGATGGCGCTGTGAGGCGCTATGTGGCGTGATAAGCTAGCGTTTGTCTCACTATTGTCACATACAAAATGGCTTGTTTTTTCAGGACTGTTGACAACGGAATCAAATTGTCATCACTTGTGCCTATCCCCGATGTCACTGACGTCCCTGCTATGAACAAGATCATGTCCAACGAGCTTAATCAGGCTGGTCACTCACGAGGATACACCAAAGGCCTCACAACCGATACTAGGACACTTACTCACCCAAATCTTCCAGTCTTTCACAATTCCTCTTCCCGATGTGTCCAACCTTAAAATACCTTTTGGAAAAATCCTTCATCACAACCAGCGCATCAACGAAAAGTTTAGCAGTACATCACCAGATACCCTAGTGCCGCTGTATGACACTGAAGCGAAGACTTGGAACTGGGCTCTTCCAGTTGACCCCCCAGAAAATGGTAGTACTCCAGCTGGGGTTGACTCGGGGTCAGACTCGGAGGACAACGCCACACAGGAAACAACTCATGAAGAAAATTTTGCAGCGTTTCTCAATGCTTTTGCTAGTTGCTTGTCACGGTCGCGGTCCGAACTTGTAGCAATGCGCTTTGCAACCGGCACATGGAGTGCGGCCAATGCACAGAAGGCATTGCCTGGCAGCGCCATCAAGCGCAAGCCAGATATTGTCCTATCTGACGATATATCTGCCAAGTGGGGAAACATCAGGGTATCAGCAGAACTCACGCACAGTCGATACCAGCCTGCGATGCGACTCGGGAAGGCCGCGGATACCCATGCCTATATTATGATGAGTGAACAGCCCTGGAGGCGCTTCGCTCTCATATTATCATTCACAAATAAATATCGCCACCTTAGGGTCTTGATGTATGACCACTCAGGTGGTGCTGTATCCCCTCGCTTCGATATTTACACGCAACCCAACGCATTTCTACACATCATCGCTGCTATCATGTTTGGGAGTTTAGAGTGCATCGGTTATGACACAACAGTTTCCTTCTCGAGGATTGTTTCACCACCCCGATCCAAAGATATCCACGGCTATCGTCCCATCAGAAATACTCCTGCCCGACGGAGTAGTACGACAGACCATGCTGTTACCACATCGAGCTCTGATTCTCTTCCAAATCCTGATGTATCATCCGGCGAAGCTCTTGAATCGGTCGTCTCCGATGATTCTGATGACTCTGATGACTCTGTGTCACAACCCTTATAACGAATTAACGCAGGGGCAGAGACTAGGACTCAAACAAGAATATCACGACAAAGAGAAAAGGATAGCAGGGACGTCTTAGGATTGCTAGCAGTAAGCTAATACAAAAGAGGTTTGAACTGAAGAACTACTGACTACAATGAGCTACCTATATACATATATTGAAGCGGAGACTGAATCTGAATCTGAACTAACTAGCCAATCATTAAATAGGAAAGGTAATCGTACGATGTTCTAAATATAATTACACTATGATGTCATGGAACGTGTTATAGCTGTGCAAGGGTTCTCGAAGGTTCTGGAGTCATGTGACTTGATTGCTTGAGTAAGGAAGTCAAAATCAGGGATATCGGATATAGAAGTAGTAGGCGCTAACGGAATAGAGAAGTTCGGGTTAGGGTTTGGAAAGGTTATAGGTACAGACGCTGGCTGAGCGCTAACAACAGGCGCTTGTGACGGGCGCTTAACAGGTGTCTTACGAGTATTTAGGAAAGAATAATGGTTTGTATTTGGAACTCGTGACACTCTGATGACTCTGATGAGTCCTCTAGTGATTCTGCTCACGACTCAACTGAAGAGAGTCCGAGCGCCTTGCATGACTCAATGGATGAAGAGAATTCCTCCCCCCCTCAACCCACTGCAACCCGCAGCGCTCCCCTTCTTAGCCTCATATCGCAAATACCCCAGGCTGAGATGACCGAGAGCATCTATTCCGTCACCCCTCTCCCTTCCCAATTCCCTTATTCTACTCAATCACCCGAACCTTGCGGCAAGATTCGTGTAGGGGAGAAAATCTACACCATAAAGAGGATTCTTTTTGCGACCCGAGGCCTCGTTGGTCGCGGAACCGTTTGCTATTTAGTCACCTTGGACGATGAAGACTACATCATCAAAGATCATTGGGTTCTGGGCAAGGACGATAATGTAGTCCTGAACGAGATCAAGATGCTGGAGTTAATGGACAACATCCCTGGCGTTCCAAGGCTGGTGGATTATTGGGTTGTTGAGCGGTCAGATGGTGAGCCCGACATTACCCGCAAATATTGGCACAAGGAACGCCGGAGTACCAGAGGCACCAGTCGTACTCATGTGCGTCTTGTCTTGAAGCCATGTGGTCGCCCCCTTCACATGTTCCGAATGCTTAAGGAGTTCGTGCGAGCACTAAGAGATATTGTTAAGAGTAAGCATCTAGTTCGTGGTACAGGTGTCTTAAACTGATGCTCTCTGATTTTAGTCCTACAAACTGCAGTGGAGGAACGTCAGATTTTGCATCGGGACTGTAGTCTTAACAACGCGATGATCCTAGACGAGCTTGGCAGTAGTGAAGGGTTTCTTATTGACTGGGAGTTCACAGTTCGTATTGCCGCGGATAACAAATATCCCATCGGTGGTACAGTAAGTACACCTCATTCATTAAATATTCAGTTTATTAATTCATTTGCCAGGGCACAGTCCCTTTCATGTCACGTGGGCTACTCAACCAGGTTGCAATCCTGCAGCAACAGGCGAACTCGGAATCGATGAAGAAGAAAACTCGGGCACATAAATCAACGAAAAAACCGACAACCCCGAAATCATCGTCGGATTCTTTGGCTCTGCCAATATCATTTGTCGTTCACAGATTCGCGGATGACTTGGAGTCTCTTTTTTTTATATTCGCTTGGGTTTGCATCAAGTTCAGTGGTCCCAATGGCATGGTGCGCCAGGGGCCCTTACCCAATTCCTTGCTGGATCGATGGACAAGCCTTGACTTGGAAACATGCGCCGCCTTCAAGATCACCTTTTTCGTGAATCCAGCAGAAGAAAAGCGTCTCACTGATGAATTTCACCCGTACTTCAGGGACCTCATCCCCCTCGCAACCGAGTGGCGTAAAGCTCTGGCGGACAACATGATTCACCCCGTCACCTTCAGTACCATTCTTGGTATACTCAACTCGCATCTTAACAAGCTTCCCGACGACGAGGAGCTCGCAACTACTGTGAATATGCTCAAGAATGATGCTGCCGTTCTCGCGGATCGTTTCAAGGGGAAACGGCTTGCTTCAGAGTCTTTCTCTGTTGTGGAGCCTAAGCGACAGAAGTCCCATCATACTGGAGACACTGAGTCTGATTCAGCATCGGGCAGTGACGCATGACCAGGAGGGAAAGGTGATTCGATTTGTCCACCCGCTCGTCATACGCTATCTTCTTTGTTATTAGCTTGTTTGCACTGGCATATGCATACCTAGAATCTCGTGTACTGTGTTACGTTGTTATGATAGTTCACCTACGAGCACCCTACTGATTTTTCTCTTTCTCTTCACAATCAGACAGTTTCTTTTACGTACTACTATTCATCTTGCCAATGATGCGCACTGTTTTTGCTTATGTAATCGAAATTTGAATGTAACTCTCAGGCTGGGTGCGAAACGTTTTCTTAACTGACGTCAATATGAAGCACATCTTCTCTCGCTAGTCCCATCTGAATATCGAGTACGAGTCATGATACACAACTCTTGCGACACATTGACTCAGGTGTGTTGCTCTATTACTATCATTACTAACAATGAAGTTTTTCTCTCGCTAGTCGTCCGAATATCGATTACTGAGACATGATATAAAATCCTCGTGAGTCTGGTATAATTCATCAGCGTTGCCTCTTCCTGTTCTTTATTGCAGTGATGCCTCCCCGTGCCGTTGCCAGTCCCAAGAGGAAACGATCCAAGCGCAAAGGATCTGATGCTTTAAAGACCGGCTTGCCAAAGAAGTCGCGGGCTGCAGACATTGCCGAAGTACCCAGCATGGTACCTCTCGTGTCACTCGGCCTGGCTGGAGCAGAAGCAGCAAATGATGCTCCCCGACGTTCTGGCCGCCCTAATGCAGGAACTGGAGGTAGGAACGCCCAGCTGGAGAAAATTGGATTAGCGCTACAATCTAAGCCTCGAGCTCACGAACACAAGGGTAGGACGTCCCTTGGTCCCAATGTTCCAGTCAATCCCCAAGCCCCAGAGCCACGTCGTAAAGGTCGAAAGAAAGATTCTAAGGTAAGTGTTTAATTAATGTTGTTACTCATGTTGATTCTCCCATAGGCGGTTCCTCCACCGTATAGCTCGCTCGTCAGTGATGCTCCAGATGCCTCAGCCATGGATATTGCAGAGCCCAGCTTGACATTACTACAACCTAGCAGACGGTTTGGATTTGCTGCTTCAAACACCACAGACTTTGTTCATCCCGGTACTGCTAAGCCCGATCTTCAGGTGTCGGAAAACCCATATGTCACCGTTGGGATGAAGGTCGCTGAGCAGCGAGCTAGGGACGTTATTGCTGAGCAGCGAGCTAGGGACGCTATTGCTGAGCAACGAGCTAGGGACGCTATTGCTGAGCAACGAGCAAGGGACGCTATTGCAGAGCAGCGAGCTAGGGATGCTATCGATGAGCAGCGAGCTCAGGATGCTATCGATGAGAAACGAGTTCGGGATGCTATCGCTGAGAAATGAGCTCGGGACGCTATCGCTGAGCAGCAAGCGCAGCATACCCAGAGGTCCGTCTTTTTGGAGCACAACTTAGACCCAGCTCTGCGCCAGGAGGATGACACTGTTAGGGCTCAACGTCATCTGAGGCTGCTAGGATCTGAGGAGGACAGCGACTCCAAAAGCAGCAGCAGCAACGACAGCGATGACAGTGACAACAGCGACAACAAAGATCCCGACGGAGAGGCTGACGGAGGCTGAAGAGGATGATGAAGAGGGGGAGAATGATGACACTGTCAAGAGCTCGCAGGAGTTTGGTTGGGGGGAGGCCGGCCGGCGCCAGAAAGAACATCCAGGTAAACATCTTCGTGGCATGATTTCCCTTCATTAAATTGATATCATAGGATTTTCAAAGGATGCGCTACCTTCGCAACCTCCAGTCGCTCGTCCACTCACACCTGAATTTGAATTCCAGTATTCACATGATGAAGATGATGTTGTTGCCCTGACGAGCCTTGATAAAACCTCCGTAAGTTTTCTAGTCTAGCTGAGACCGACTCACTTCATTTTGTTCGTCCAGCGGAACGAAAGCTCTCAGGTATGATCACGTTACTTAATTGTGACACGCTTACATTTCTTTTCTTTCAAGGGCCCTCAGGACATCTCACCAGGCCTACAGCGGCAACAGTCCCAACACATTGAGGTGAGATTAGAAATTGTTCTAATTGGCGCTCACAATTAAGTAGACCATTACCTTGAAGCCCGAGGATGTATTGCAGCGCCACCATGAGAAAAACAGAAAGCCCCGTCTTCCTGACCCTGACTCCCTCAAGCTGCTAAATCAAGAAACCGAGTCTAGCGTTCAGCCATCAAGAGCCAAAAGGTCCAAGGCATCGGGTAGTGGGCCAACACCCGATCAACTATCTTGGTATGGCCCGCGCTGGAAGCGTTTTCTGGAGGATGCCAAAGCGGAATGTCGCCTGCAACATGCCCTGGAGAATCCGTTTCCAGCCTTGGTGAAGAACCTACCAGGATCAATCACCGAAGTTCTTATCGCAACGTTGGTTATGTGGGATAGGAACGGTGAACAATTTGAAGCTGGTGAGTGCTCATTTGTTCTCGTTCGTTCTCAAACTAATCTGTCATCGCAGGGGTTTGGCCTGAGCAAAAAATTAATATGTCTCGGTTGGTGCGTATTTAACTCATTCTGGGCCGATATATCGCTGACAGTCTGTACTGAAGCTGTACGACGATCTTTCAACTTGGCGATCAGACTTGAAGAAAACTGCCATAAGCATTGCACCACTATCATATTCGCTCATTCCCCCGCTTTCGGTCCCCACTCAAGAACGTGCTGCTTGGATTGAACATGCGGCTGCTGGTTTAATCAAAGAATCGCTATTCTTACGGTTTGGGGTGGATGAAATGGTGAGTGATCTTGCACTGATCACATCTATACTGACAGAAGATTGCCAGGGGAAAACGCGAAATTTTGCCCATCCCGCCCTTCGTGAGGTTGCCATCGCATTCTTTTACACAGGGCCATATCGAATCGCGCAAAGGATGCCAGAGATCTTCCGTACGGAATTGCCACTCTCGTGTTTGGCTTTGGTTGCCGCAGTGGTAGGTTATCTCCTTCACAAATGTTGTATTAATTTTTTTTCTATACTAGTTCAATTGCGTCCTCGACGGTCTTGCGAAAAACGGACATGGAAAATCATACCCGAATTTTTCAAGCAAGGACTACAGCCCTATTTACAATCAGATGCTCGTATTTCTCAAAGATATCCTTGGAGACGCGTATCATGGTCCGAGGCTGTCAGCTCAACTGCAAGAATGGGCTGCAGCGGGATGGCAAGGATCTCCACCCTCTCCGAAAACTTTTATACTAATTTCATTTGCACAGGGCCGCGGCATTGAATCTCGAAGGAGTTGTTGAGGCGAAGCACGACCACCTGCAAATTCTTCTCGACTAGTTTTCTATTCCCGCGCCCCTCTTTCATCGTTTTAGACACCGTTGTATCATTGTGTTCCCGATCGTGATCTAATACCGTCCAACATAGTCATGTGATTGAATATATTGGTTTTGTTTTATTTTTAGTGTCGTGTAAGCAGTACAGCGAGCAATATCAGTACAGTGAACAATATCTGCACAGTTCCGGTGCTCTGTGAGTGTCTGTACATACATAGACAGCAAATTTTTTTGCCAATTTAAGTAGAATTTCGTAGTTGCTGGGTGGTCTGTGAGTGTCTGTACAGAAATTCACAGAGCAAGGTGCTACTTGATGAACTGGCTAACAGGGACCAAGCTGTGGAGCTTGCACACTGTACAGCGCTGTACAGCGCTGTACACCACAAAGTGGTTTACTGATGCAATGCAATTGCTGGGTTCCTCGACGTGCCTGCGATCAACACGGATGATCTGCAATTGCAGGGTATGCAGGCCGTGATTGCAGCATGTGCTGCCTCAGTAGGTCCTATTAAAATATTCTAACTCTAACTAACCATCATTTTTTATAGCTCGAACGCGCTTTCAACTTTGTTGCAAAGCCCAAGGCTCTCGACGATGACCAAAGCATAGCCACTGGTAGTGTGAAGGGCAGTACTAAATCTCGCAGAACGATACCTTCGAAACGCAATAAATCCAGTAACAAGGACGCTGGCACGTCGGCATTTTCAGAGGCAAATTGTGGATTGGCGACGACTGATTATTACCAATCACTCGCAAGGCGGGGGCTGAAGTATACAATAGACACCATCGCCATGGTGCAGCAGCGCCAGGAGGCAATCCAGAAGCTCAAGAATGCTCCTGCCGAGGACCTGAAACCCAAGTGTGGGCGTGCCCTGCTTTGTATGTATTTTTTCCTCGTCATGCGCTCTACAACTACTGACTCATCTGACACCGGCAGAATATTGGCTGTTTGTTCCATCCCATGCTCTCTGTGCTTAGTACCAGTACCGTTTACACACTAATAGATCCCTGCTGCATTTCCCCTGCCCCCACTCCGATCATTGAAGCCATACTACCTACAAATCCACACATTCAGCGAGCTTCCTGCATTCTTCTGGACTACTTTTTAGTTGCTTTTTCATGCTTTTGGACCCCTTTTTTTGATGTGGTCAACTTTCAATGCTCAGTATCGTGCTTTTTTCAATCCGTCCCACAAAAAATAAGTGTGAAAAAGCTGAGGATAAGTAGAATTTGAGTAGTGAGATCTACTGAAAAAAGTCCGTGCTACTTTTTTGACTTTGTGCGATGGTTGCTCGCTAAGTCGTATGAAAAGTGGTACTTAAGTGGGTAAAAAGTGATCTCGTGATTTCCTGATGTAGCTATGGAGCATGCTCGCACCAAGGACCTTGCATACAAATGTTTCCCCCGAGACCTCTCGGACCGACCACCCTCACGACCTTCCTATCTTGCCTTGTCTGGGGCAAAAGCGAAACGTCGACCGCATTCAGCACGCTCACAACCTTCAGTCCCGGATGTTTCGCACCTATACAATATTCGGTGGCAAAGGGGGTGAGTGCTAGAATTTCTTCGTAGTTTGCTTCTGTCGGTGCTCATGATAGATCTCCTTATAGCACATACTTCTCCAAGTGCCCCTAGTCCCACACTTTTACGTGCGAAGTGCCTTGGTGACGCACATTTGCGTAGCATTGGCAGTGCATTGGTGGTGCACTCGGACATTGTCATGTTCCTTGACGCGAACCTCATTCAGGTCTGAGTTCAGGCACCATTTATCATATACATACACTGACATTCGGTAACGCTCTAGATTCCACTGCTCCACTGTCAATTGCGTGGCATAAAACCATGTAGCTTTTCAACTAATTGCCGATGACAACGTTGGGTTGGAACTCGGTTTATACGATGAACCAGGTGTCTGCTGTGCATCGCTGGAATCCTCTTGTTGGCTCGCCACCGTGATGTTGTTGCGCTGGTGAGTATGTCTGGCGGAGGATGGAGCAAATATCTATCAGGGTGAAGGTACATTATTCAATTCAGATTACCTTCCAAAATTAACTTCTTTTGCATTTCAGGGGTGTCCACGTTTGATACTTATGAGCCGTGGCTCCGCGAAGATGGCGTCACTGTATTGTTTATGAACAGTCTTGGCGGTATATCGCAACTAGAAATTGGTGCAGTAGTGGAAGAAGTTCTTGGCGTTCTTGGTAGGTGGAATCATTCCACCAAGGTCCAAAAACAACTGACATAAATTAGCGTCGCAGAAGATTGTTCCGTCTCGTGTCTACTGCGTTCCATTTATGACCTCGTTGAGTGCGCCTGGATTCTCCATTTCCGATGTGAATGTATCCAGGACTTACGAACTTATTAACGGTGATTCAAGTTCCTTCCGCATGGCCAGGAAATACTGATGGACTATTTATTGCTGCAGGCAACAACGAGGACGATGAGATCGACTTACTCGCGCTCCTGGATGCTCCAACTGATGCCCATTCCTAGCTTTGTGTACGCTCATGGCCGGCTGTCAGGGCCACCCCTGTCGAGGAGGAATATTTACATCTCAACATACCCTGCCCTGTCCCGTTACAGCAAGTTTCACTGGGGATGAAGCGCAGGTGGAAGTCTTGCTGCGAACCTTCACTTCTTCTCCATCTGACAGTTCTCGTTCTTCATCTGATAGGGGTTCGACCCAGCAAGGTTTGGGTATGTCAGAAGAGAAGGTGAACAAGGGTATTAGATATGCATGTCAAGCTGTGCTAGTCCCTGAGCCAGGTATGCCACGATTTGTCACAGTTGTGGGCGATGGTGGCTGCAGAGAGACGTTCACTTGTAGCGCTAAAGGTTTGTTTAGGAGTACATGCCGCTCGCTTGCCTGTGATCCTGATCAGAATACAGCCATTCTTGTGGCCCTCGACTCTGGGACCCTGGATCCAGCGAAGACAGTTCCTGCCGCATTTGTTAGTAACGTGGGTGAAATACTGGAAGGGAGCATAGGTGGTTCTACTAGTGCTCGTGAGCTGGTTGGACGTGAAGAACATTTCTGTGCTTTGATAATCGCAATCTTCACAGCATGGTCCAGTGCCCTGCGTTCACTAACTGGCCGATCTAAACGCCGCTCTAACTGTGTTAGGAATACACACACACACACTCGTCCGGAAGATATAATTGTCGTTGACGCACTAGTACCATTGTGCTGTGCTTTCGTCAGAAGCTTCACTGGAAGATGCTGTTATCGCTGTGAAAGAAGGTGCGGCAAACTTGAAGACCCGGGGAATGAAGGCACGATTAGAACGAGCATCGTATGTGGGAGGTGGAGAAGGAAGGATTAGTGTTCCTCCTGATCCCGGTGCTTTGGGAGTAGCCAACATCGTGGTTGGGTTTGCAAATGGTATGGCTGTGTAAAGCCCATCCTTGGAACTTCGACTCTATACTTAGTATACGCGTCCTGCACGTGATATCGTGTGCAACCTTCTTCAAGCTGTCGTCTCTGTATTATGGACCTACAAGACCTCATATGGGACATCCTGTATACTGAGATAACGATTTTATGTCCTGTGCGTGTCCGTTTACTGGCGATTCTCATTGCATCTTTGCCATGTATGGACAGGTTCTAATAGGCTCTGATATCAGAAAATATCAGAACAACACGATTTGCCGAATGGGTCGTCGCAGATCTCTTCTAATTGGTTAGTATGAGTCTTATGATATTCACATAGGGTGTCAATGAACAATAATGTCACCAACAGATGATCATGCACTGATGTATGCTGTGTGCACTGTGTGCGACATCTCACAGCGCGCTCTCTTCTTATACCTGCCTTACCCTGAATTTCAAGTTAATGTCGTGTGCTTTGACACGCTTGTCCAAGAAGGCGCCGGGGCATAAAAACAAAGGTCATTCAGATATTGTGCGCAACACACTTCTCGCATCCAATCTACTATGAACAGACTTCTCGGACGCAGGCAAACCACATCTTCAGGCCATACGTCTCCTGATACCATGTCTCTTCCTGGTTCCGCCAGCCCTCCAGATGTAGGGATTGACATATCATCCACCGACTATGCCCTCAGGCGTAGAGAGCTTATGAAAATGATGTCTGACCTCAAATCCATGGGGTGCGTGTTTGTTGATCTGACTGCGCAGCTTGTTCATGTGACCCCTTATAGTGCCGAGGCGCTCATCGACTTACCATCCGTAGTCGTCATCGGTGGCCAATCAGGTTCGTGGTCGCCTCCTCTTGCCACCACAGCTACACTCAACCCAATATTTTAGCGGGCAAAAGCTCGCTTGTCGAAGCCGTTAGTGGGGTACGTCGGCAGATAGTTTGTCCTTCTGTCCCTTGACTCATTATTTTTTCCGTTATGATAAAGATCAATGTCCCGAGAGACAGCGGAACATGTACAAGGTGACCTTGCCACCATCAGTCACTGCAAGGGATGCTTATGCTACTCTATGGAGATGCCCTATGGAATGTACAATGTCTAGTTATGCCACGTCATGGTCTTGCACTATCACCTTACGGATGGGCTTCGATAATAACGGCAAAGACATGCCAAAGACTGTTACGGTGCCCTTCGGCCGAGCGATTACTGACAGAAATGAGGTTGAAGTTTGGCTGCGTCGTGCTCAGGCAGCCATTCTGAACCCTAACGTCCCTTCCTCGAGTTTTCACAGGAAGACTATCGAAGAACTCAGGAGCTTAAAGAATACACTGAAGTTCTCCCGAAACGTGGTGTGCGTCTCGATTGAAGATCCCGATGCGACAGACTTGTCGTTCTATGACCTACCTGGTAAGTATATGCTGATCTGGATTGAGATGATATATCTGATGTGCAATGAAGGTTTGATCCAAAACGAAGAAGCCGAAACTGTTGCCCTCGTGAAAAGTCTGGCGGAACATTACACCAAGAAAGAGAACACCATCATATTGACCACAATTCCTATGAGTGGTACGTGCATGAACTGCGAAATCCTTTTTGCTTTAGCTGATGCGCGCCCTCCTAGATGATATGGAAAATCAACAATCCATGACTCTTGCCAGAGCCGCAGACCCCGACGGAAAGCGAACGATTGGCAAGTCTTCCATATTGCGATATGATTAAACAACTCAAATTTTTTCAGGTGTCCTTACGAAACCTGACACGCTCGGCGCCGGTGCTATCAACCAGCGCCGAAAATGGGTAGAAATCATTGAGGGTCGCTCGGAGGATCACACATTAAGACACGGTTTTTACTGCGTGCGTCTTCCCGATGATGCCGAACGGACACAACGCCTGTCTCGTGCTGAATCGCAAAGGCGTGCTGCTGAATACTTCGATACGACGTCGCCCTGGAATAGCGTGACCGACCGTCATCGGTTTGGAATTCCGGGTTTTGTCTCCGATGTCAGCCGACTGCTCATCCAGCTGATCGAGGAAGCGCGCGTGGATCTTCTAGCTCGCTTGCTATAACAGAACTTACGTTGCTTATAGTTTACCGCGCCTCAGAGAAGATATCGACAAGCTCCTTGCCCAATGCAACAAGGAATTCGATGCATTACCCCCGCCACTTGCAGATGACCCGCAGATTGAGGTTTTGGGGCGTGTTAATGCATTCTGCGATGTCTTCAAGGGCTTCGTGAATGGCAGTCATGAAGACAAAATTCTTGCGCAGCGGAACCGCGCGCTCTATGCTATCTTTAAGAGGGATATACGCGGCACTGCTCCTGACTTTAGGCCTCTTGAAAACCCGGAAGAGTGTCCTCCACTGGATGATACCCAAGGGAAGATGACTCTTACTGAACGAGATCCTGGCGTGAAAATGATGGGTATATATGACATCAGCAAAGTCATCCAAGAGTATGTTTTCGCATTTTTTGTGGTAGTTGGACGGCAGCTCAACCATTCATCAAGGGCAATTGGATGGGAGCTTCCAAACAACGTACCATATCAGGCGAAGGCGAACCTCATAGCTCAATTCGTCAAACTCTGGGTTGCTCCGTCTGAGCGCTGTCTCGCTGGCATCAATGACGTGCTCGATCAAGTTATCGACACACTCATAAGTGTCCATTTTGGACGCTTCAAAGTGCTCGAGGGTTATGTTGGGTAAGCATTGACTCTTCATAACTATTGCCTTGGCCTAAGTTATCTGCGACACTAGCAATTTGATAAGAATTCAGGTTGATATCTGCAAGGCGCTCACCAAAGAAGCTGTCAAAATAGCTTTGGATTTGGAAACTACCCCATACTATACTCAAAACACTCACTATCTTCAAACAGTCAGCGAAAAAATGGCTGGCCTACTATAAGGTAGTTCGGAATCAACGCAAGATTCATCATGCACAGCCTGTACTTCCTGAAGTCGCTAACCCATATTATCGCGGCGAGTCTCCTGAGTCCAAAGCTTTGAGGGCTCTTGCGGAGGCGGGGTATACAGGTCTTAGCATACCAGATCTCGCGCGTCTGTTACCTCCCGACTCACGCGAGAAAGAGCTAATCGTGATGGCTGATGTTCGAGCTTATTATCACGTCGCCTACAAGGTGAGTCTCGTTTATCATCTGCATCTCAATTTGCTTATCTCCCGAGCAGCGCATCATTGACCATATTCCTCTGACGATCGAGCATGCTCTCCACCATGCCCTGGCGGAACAACTGTCGCAAAGCCTTCTCACGAGCTTGCTGACCGATGTTGCATCTGGGCCCAATTTCTCTGAGCGTATGAACGAGTTGGTCAGTGAGGACGCTTCCATCGCTCAGAAACGTGCATCGCTCTCGACGAGGAAACAGCGCCTATCGGGCATTCGCCGGAGACTCATGACTTTCGGTAACGGTACTTGATCGCTGAGGGGTTACGATGTATTTTCGTCTGCTAGAATTTCGTGCAAATATAGATCTTGAGACCTGTTGTTGTTTATGTAGTGGTTACTGTATTGTTCTGTTACAAGCCGTGACCTCCAGTCGTTGCATGGTTTTGTGAGTGGAGGGGCGTAAATTAGAAAACGAGTGTGGGTACACGATATTTGCTCGCGAGCAAAATGGTGCGTTCAAAGATCGGGAACGGTGCCCGGGCCGAGAAAGTAAAAGCATCAGCAGTCCTTGAAAGCAGTCGTGTAAGCTAGATTTAAAGGGAACTGGTTGCGGATAATTGTCCAGCTGGAGCGGTAGGGGTTGGAGGAAAAGGTAATACGTGTGTCGTTAAGCAGCTGGACTTGACATCCATGTCTGCGATAAAACTTTTATGAGCTGCAGGAGAGAGATAAAGTGTCAGAGCTACTAATGAGGGCAGACGACAACAGCTGAGATTATCCGATCAGCTTAAGAAGTCGTGTACGAACGACTCGGACATCCATATATCAACTTAACGTCACGAAATTATTTCCTAGGCCTCGAATTCATAATGCCATCGTCTGACAGTTTCATTCACGGACTTGAGTGAGAGACAGAGGCATGAATATTTGAATCCCCGACTCTACGAGTAGGACAAATCTAAACGTCCAGGCACATGTGCGTGTAAACATATTTCCTTTTCTGAAATGACCATTCGCACCTTCAAGTTAAGCTGGGCAATTGCCTTTGTATTTATGGACCTAGTACGAGTGCTCGTGACATCCTGTATGAGATAACAATTTTATGTCCTGTACGTGTCCTTTTGATTCTGGTCACATCTAGCTAGGTGCCACTGGACAGTTCTGATAGGCTCTGATATCAGAAAATATCAGAACAACACAGCACGATTTGCCGAATAGGTCATCGCAGATCACTTCTGATTGGTATGAGTCTTACGACATTCACATAGGGATGTCACCAGATAGCTGTCAATGAACAGCAATGTCACCAACAGATTATCATGCGCTGATGGTTGCTGTGTGGGCGACATTTTACGGCGCTCTCTCTTTTTATACTACATGCAGGTGGCTTAGTACCGGCTGCGGATATCAAGTTAACGTTGTATGATTTGACACGCATGTCCAAGAAGGCGCCGGCGCATAAAAGCAGAGGCCATTCAGATATTGTGTGCAACACACATCTCACATCCAATCTACCATGAAAAATACATCATCAGGCAATACATCTCCTAATGCCAAATCTCTTCCTGGTTCCGCCAACCCTCCAGATGCGGGGGTTGACATATCATCCACTGACTATGCCCGCAGGCGTAGAGAGCTTATGAAAATGATGTCTGACCTCAAATCCATGGGGTGCGTGTTTGTGTATCTGACCGCAAAGTTTGTTCATGCGACTTCGTATAGTGCCGAGGCGCTCATCGACTTACCATCTGTAGTCGTCATCGGTGGCCAATCAGGTTCGTGGTCGCCTCCTCTCGTAACCACAGCTGTACCCAACCCAATATTTCAGCGGGCAAAAGTTCGCTCGTCGAAGCCGTTAGTGGGGTACGTCGGGACTCGGTAGATAGTCTGTCCTTCTGTCCCTTGACTCATTATTTTTTCCGTTATGATAAAGATCAATGTCCCGAGAGACAGCGGAACGTGTACAAGGTGGCCCTACCACCATCAGTCACTGCAAGGGATGCTTATGCTACTCTATACAGATGTCCTATGGAATGTACGATGTCTAGTCATGCCACGTCGTGGTCTTGCACTATCACCTTACGGATGGGCTTCGATAATAACGGCCGAGACCTGCCAGTGCAAAAGACCACTACGCAGCTCTTTGGCCGAACGATTACCGACAGAAGTGAGGTTGAAGTTTGGCTGCGTCGTGCCCAGTCAGCCATTCTGAACCCGAATGTTCCTTCTTCGAATTTCCACACGAAGACCATCGAGGAACTCAGGAGCATGAAGAATACACTGAAGTTCTCCCGAAACGTTGTGTCTGTCTCGATTGAAGACCCCGATGCGACAGACTTGTCGTTCTATGATCTGCCGGGTAAGTATATGCTGATCTGGATTGAGATGATATATCTGATGTGCAATGGAGGTTTGATCCAAAACGAAGAAGCCGAAACTGTTGCCCTCGTGAAAAGTCTGGCGGAACATTACACCAAGAAGGAGAACACCATCATATTGACCACAATTCCCATGAGTGGTATGTGCATGAACTGCGAAATCCTTTTTGACTGAGCTGATGCGCGCCCTCCTAGATGATATGGAAAATCAACAATCCATGACTCTTGCCAGGGCCGCAGACCCCGACGGAAAGCGAACGATTGGCAAGTCTTCCATATTGCGATATGATTAAACAACTCAAATTTTTTCAGGTGTCCTTACGAAACCTGACACGCTCGGCGCCGGTGCTATCAACCAGCGCCGAAAATGGGTAGAAATCATTGAGGGTCGCTCGGAGGATCACACATTAAGACACGGTTTTTACTGCGTGCGTCTTCCCGATGATGCCGAACGGACACAACGCCTGTCTCGTGCTGAATTGCAAAGGCGTGCTACTGAATATTTCGACACCACGTCGCCCTGGAATGGCGTGACCGACCGTCGTCGGTTTGGAATTCCGGGTTTTGTATCCGATGTAAGCCGACTGCTGATCCAGCTAATTGAAGAAACGTGCGTGGAAATTCTAGTCATTTGATTAACAGAACTTACCTTGTTTATAGTTTACCGCGCCTCAGAGAAGATGTCGACAAGCTCCTTGCCCAATGTAACAAGGAATTCGATGCATTGCCCCCGCCGCTTGCAAACGACCCACAAATCGAGGTTTTAGGACGTGTTAATGCATTCTGCGATGTCTTCAAGAGTTTTGTGAATGGCAGTCACGAAGACAAACGTCTTGCGCAGCGGAATCGCGCGCTCTATTCTATTTTCAAGAGGAATATACGCGGCACTGCTCCTGATTTCAGGCCTTTTGAAAAACCGGAAGAGTATGTTCCACTGGATGATACTGAAGGGAAGATGACCCTTATTGAGCGAGATCCTGGCGTGAAAGTGATGGGCATATATGAAGTCAGCAGGGTCATCCAAGAGTATGTTTTCGTGTTTTGTTGTGGCAATTGGAGAGCAGCTCAATCAATCATCAAGGGCAATTGGATGGGAGCTTCCGAACAATGTGCCCTATCAGGCGAAGGCGAATCTCATCGCTCAATTCACTAAACTCTGGGTTGCTCCGTCTGAGCGCTGTCTTGCAGGTATCAATGATGTGCTCGATCAAGTCATCGACACACTCATAAGCATCCATTTTGGACGCTTCAAAGTGCTCGAGGGTTATGTTGGGTAAGCATTGACTCTTCATAACTATTGCCTTGGCCTAAGTTATCTGCGACACTAGCGATTTGATTAGAAGTCATGTTGGTGTCTGCAAAGCACATGCCCAAGAAGCTGTTAAATCGGCTTTGGCTCTGGAAACTACTCCGCACTATACTCAGAACACGCACTATCTTCAAACACTGCGCGAAAAATGGCTGGCTCGTTATAAGATAGTTCGGAGTAGAGCTTCTCAGTATAAGGCCCCCGTACATCATAATCAGGAGCATTATTCAACCACGTCCTCTGATGACGATTCTGAGGAAGCGTCGATGGTGGAAGGAGTGACGGAATACGAAGGACCGACGGAGCAGGTATATTTTTCGGATTCACCAAGGGCATATCGTCCACAGTCGTCGTCTTCGGCACGGATACAACCAGCTATACGGGCTGTACCCCCACAGGCTCCTGTTTTGAATTCGACCTCTTGATCCCGCGTTTACTCGTCGTCGGAGACGCCCGAGGCCAAAGCTTTGAGGGCACTTGCAGAAGCGGGGTATGCCAATATTGGGATACCGGATCTTGCGCGTCTGTTACCTCCCGACTCCTTCCAGGAAGAGCTAATTGTGATGGCTGATGTTCGAGCCTATTATCACGTTGCCTACAAGGCGAGTCTCGTTTATTGTCTGCGTTTCAACTTGTTTATCCCTCGAGCAGCGCATCATTGACCATATTCCTCTGACGATCGAGCATTCTCTGCACCATGCCCTGGCGGAACAATTGTCGCAGAGCCTTTTTACGAGCTTGCTGACCGATGTTGCGTCTGGGCACAACTTCTCTGAGCGTATGAACGAGTTGGTCAGCGAAGACGCTTCCATCGCTCAGAAACGTGCATCGCTCTCGACAAGAAAGCAGTGTCTATCAGACATTCGCCGGAAACTCATGACTTTCGGCAACAGTACTTGATTGGCGTGGGAGGTTGCGATGTATTTTCGTCTGCTAGTACTTTCGTGCAAATATAGATCTTCCCTCTTGTTGACCGGTGACCTCCTATTAACCTCTGTCGTTGTCATGTAATGCAATGCTTGCTGTATTTATCTGGTATGTGTTTTTGAACGTTGTTGTATTACATACTCCCAAACGAAGGAGTCGGATTCTTTGTTCGTACTAGCACATTGCTACCTAAAACTTGTGATGACAAGGAGGTAGCCCTGAGGCCTGAGGTCGGTGACCTAACTCCTTATTCGACGTCGACATCGACTGGATTCCAGGTAACTGCGCCTTCCTTCCCACGGTCCAACGCGTCAAGCTTTGCCATGTCCGTAGGTTCGATATTCCAATCAAATACTTGGCCGTTAGATATGATACGTTCTGGCTGCGAGGATTTGGGTAGAGGCACAAATCTGGGCGGATGCAAATAAGACCATAAGTAAATATCAATCGAGTCACTCACCCTCGTTGTAAAGACCACCTGACAAGAATCTGAGCAGGATCTTTGGAGTACTGTAACACATCAAACATCATGACGCAAGAAGATACAGTATATAATCACCTTTGTGGAGAGTTCCTGGATGACCGGGTTGTCAAAAGCACCACGCAGAAGAGGCGAGTATGCCTGGACAACGATGTTGTTCTTTCTACAGTATTCGACGATGGGTTTTTGCTGGCAGAATGGATGTAACTGATGACGGTTTCAGCTTCCTCGCAATGGTTGTGAGCCAATCGCAGTAATGCTCACCTCTATTTGGTTCACAACTGGCATCTCTAGACCAGCCTCACGAATCTCTTCTATGTGCTTTGCTGAGCTATTCAACTATCAGCCGAGAGGGAACCTGTGAGTGATAATACCTACTAATTTGAGACACCGACAGATTTGATCATCCCGCTCGCCTTGCCGTCCAAAAGAGCCCTGTAGGCAGAAAGACGTGCGTCCTTGCCTCCAATGGCACTGTGGGTTAGGTATAAATCATAATACGCTAGTACCCATCTCGTAAGCCGTAAAGATTATCAGGAAAGTACAAGACTTACAAGATCCAAGGTTCGCAATCGAGTCTTTCAAAGCAGCCATCGTGCCATCGTAGGTGAAATCATTATGGAAGACCTTGGAAGCTAACGTGACAAAGGGGACCATATAGGTGAGAAACCAATATCTAGGAGCTCCCGAATAAGATTTCCTCACTGATAAAGACGTCTTCGCGCTTAACGCCACTTTTACCCACTCCAACACCGACTTGAACTTCATTCTCGTAGTACCGGGCCCCATCAATCATTCTAATGATCTAACTGAATTTCGAAACTCTGACTGATGTGCAATACACACCGGTAGCCATTTTGAAGGGCAACCTTGCAAGCTTCCGCACATTCCTCGTTCATGTAGACACCGAGCCCAAGAGTGGGCATGGTCTGGCCTAGATTATTCATGTTGATCAGACACCACGTGGACGTATGATGATAGAAGCTCACCATTGGAGAGTGTAACTGTTTCAACCATGATTTAGAGCTGGAGGGTAAAGATACTAGAGAAAGAGCTAGCTATTTATGCAAGTCCGAAGCGTGCGGTGCGCTCGGGAGCTGACGGATATTATACGCACGACTGACATAGAATCTGACAGCCTCTTCGTACCGAGGTTGAAGCAACCAACTATGTCAAGCAAGCGGGCCCCGGCAGGGCGGACAGATGTATGCGGAGGGGCTTCGACACCTGAGTCTGACATGTGACACATGTGACGCCCCAGTAAGATGTGACACATTAGCGAACAGGAGCAGCGGGATTGGATGCGTCCCCATTAAGTACCTACCCATGATAAAACACTAAACCTTCTTGATCCTGCCCAGAAATTTTGAGTCTAAGCAATTTCGGCTTCATCAACCGTCTCGTCATTTTGCTGGAGGGCTGCACCAAAAGCATTCATCATCGTTTATTTTTTTTGCTCCGGAAATCAGGCTGCGTAGATCAAGTACTGTGCTAGATGTTTGCGAATCCTTCGGACTTGACGTTGAGAGTTGTGGTACATCCATGGCACGAATATTGACTTGAGAAGGCTGCAATCTGTTGAGTCTGGTTGAAGCCTTACTTCTCGGGTGGTCAGCAGTATTGGGTCGTATACATTCTGGGCTAGCTGGATCACTCAGGCTTAATTTTGGCGAGACAGTGAGAGAGAACCTTGCTTACATGCACATCATCATGATCATCACACGTCGTATCCCCTTAATAGCGACTCAAAGTCACCCACGTCACCCCCTACGGGCACCAATTTCAGTCCCGCAAGCGCATGTCAATAGCCCAGCCTTCCATAGATATCTGGCTCCGCGTAGTTGAACACAGCGGCCCTTGTCCCCACGACGGTCTCGAGCTTGCATCGATTAAAATTTCCCGAGATTGTTTGTCAGCTTCTTGGTCGAGTGCTTTCCGCAGTCACAAGCCCTCTTGCGATCTCGACACGTTCCTTCGCGTATCACTGCCCATTTCCTCGGAGAACGGTTTTGAACCGGGTCATTTTGTATCCCCAAATTCGCAGGTATAGCACAGCGGCTATCATGGTGGGTAATTATCCTTCTGCGGTAATCAGATTCAGTTGGATGCACGTTGACGAGGTTGTGGGATCGTATATAGAGTCTGGACCATCCAAGAAGCTCTATGATTGGTAGTTGCGCGAATATGGTATAAGCATGGTTCGTCCCTAATTTTCGTAGTCGCTTTTGATTCTCCCGGCCTCGAGAACCACCATCGAGCAAATAGGTCATCGCCAGATCATGATCATCGATATTGCATCGCGGTTCAGTAACAAAGGACAACATCTGCATTTGGCATTGGATCATGCACCCACCCGAACCCTACTACACTCGGTCAACTCAACTGAAAAAAACAGAGACACTCACCAAATGGCGGAAACTGCTGACGCGCCAAGTTCCTAAACCGACCCTTCCGGCCTTGACTCCGGATCAGCTACAACTACTGCAATATCGCTTCTTGAAGTTAAGGTTCAGGGAACCTGGAGGAGTGAGGGAGAGTTCTCAATTTGAAGGTAGGGGTTCTCCTGCTCTTTCGCACGCACGCACCAGTGAACCAATTGGGTTTCTCCGCTGTTTTGCCTGTCAAGCCGTTCGGGGTGGTCCTTTTGGCCTCCTGACGGTTCACCCTTGTTCTGAATTCACAGGACTGAATTCCCTCATAGTATATGATTGTACTCTAGTTTGTCCCGTACTCTGTCCGCACCGAAAATACGCAAGCACGACTTGCGCATTTCCCTTTGCATGCAGGATGTCTTCTCTTCCAGTACCAGAAACTCGATAGCACAAGACGTCATGACATCAATGCTCATCGCATTCCTCCATCTCAAGTACTGAACAGTCTGAAGCTTGATAGGGCCCAAAAAATCCGCTACTCGTCAACCGGGAGGAAGGCGAACGTGGTTCAATTGAATTTCCGAAACTGCTCTTACACAAGTCAAGTCTTCGTGTGAAAAATTGATGGTCCAATGGGTGAGATCTGCAATCCGGGATTTGCAGCTGTGCAGCCTGTGCAGTCCAAAGACGTGGCGAAAAAATGAATTCGTTGAGTACTCTCATTACACACACTGGCATCATACCGTGATATAGCACAACATCTGGCCTTCATACGCTGACCCGACTCCCTAGTCGACGTCGACTGGATTCCAGGTAATTGCGCCTTCCTTCCCGCGGTCCAACCCATTAAGCTTTGCCATGTCTGTAGGTTCAATGCTCCAATCAAATACTTGGCCATTGGTTATGATACGTTCGGGATGCGAGGATTTCGGCAGAGGCACAAATCTGGGCGGAGTTAGATAAGAATATAGGCAAATACCAATCGCGCGTCACTCACCCTCGTTGCAAAGACCACTTGATAAGAATCTGAGCAGGATCTTTGGAGTACTGTAACACATCAAACATTATGACGCAAGAAGATACAGTATATACTCACCTTTGTGGAGAGTTCCTGAATGACCGGGTTGTCGAAAGCACCACGCAGAAGTGGCGAGTATGCCTGGACAACGATGTTGTTCTTTCTACAGTATTCGACGATGGGTTTTTGCTGGCAGAATGGATGTAGCTGATGACAGTTTCAGCTTCCTCGCAATGGTTGTGAGCCAATCGCAGTAATTCTCACCTCTATTTGGTTCACAACAGGCATCTCTAGACCAGCCTCGCGAATCTCTTCTATGTGCTTTTCTGAGCTATTCAACTGTCAGCCGAGAGGGAACCTGTGAGTGGTGATACTTACTAATTAGAGACACCGACAGATCTGATCATCCCGCTCGCCTTGCCGTCCAAAAGAGCCCTGTAGGCAGAAAGACGTGCGTCCTTACCTCCAGTAGCGCTGTGGGTTAGATATAAATCATAATACGCTAGTACACATCTTGTAAGCCGTAAAGATTATCAGCAAAGTACAAGACTTGCAAGATCCAAGGTTCGCGATCGAGTCTTTCAAAGCAGCCATCGTGCCATCGTACGTGAAATCGTTATGGAAGACCTTGGAAGCTAACGTGACAAAGGGAACCAGATATGAGAGGTCAATGTCTAGGAGCTCCCGAACGAAATGTCCTTACTGATAAAGACGTCTTCGCGCTTAACACCACTTTTCCCTACCCCAACACCGACTTGAACTTCATTCTCGTAGTGCCGGGCGACATCGATCATTCTAATGATCTAACTGAGTTTTGAAACTTTGACTGATATGCAATACGCACCGGTAGCCATTTTGAAGGGCAACCTTGCAAGCTTCCACGCATTCCCCGTTCATGGCGACACCGAGCCCAAGAGTGGGCATAGTGTGCCCTAGTAGACGATTCGTGTTGATCAGATACCACGTGGACGTATGATAGTAGAAACTCACCATTGAATAGTGCAACTGTTTCAACCATTATCTAGAGCTGGAGGGTAAAGATGGGGAAAGAGTCTTTATGCAAGTCTGAAGCGTGCGGTGCACTTGGGAGCTGACGAATATTATATGCACGGCTGACATAGAAGCTGAAAGTAGTGGTCAGCAGTATTGGGTCATATAACAGTGAGCACTGATAGCGCCCATAAAATTTGTCAGCCAGGAGCGAAGGTTGAACGTTGAATTTCTGACAGTGCTCTTCCGAGTAGTCTCCACACTGGCATCAAACCCAGTCTATCATGATATTTGTTCTGTGACAGCCATGATCAATGGTACACCATGCTGTATCATCAAAGTTTCTTTTCGAAAGTTCTGTTACCTTTGTTTTTTGAACATTAATAGTCCTCCTTCAAGATGCAAGGCAACCGCTGGCAACCAGGGCCTGCAATGCAGAGTTGCCAAGAATATCCGAACCTACTATCTGAGAATGGTTATATTCTTCGCCAATATTAATGCCCAAAATATCATATGATATAAGGTCATTGCACAGCCACCTACTCTTTGTCTCCGACATTCTCCCTAGAAGCATCCCTCACAGCGCCAAATTTTAAAATGCTCCAAAGTCTCGTTCCCACCATTGCAACTATCCTGCTGGTGTTTTTAATTGACTTCGCAGCTGCAGGAAACACCACTTGTGCGGGGAATATGACACAGTGGTACACAGAAGCAGTAGGAGAGACAGCATGTGAGATTCATCCTTTTTTACCCATTTGAGTCCCGTCCTGAGTTGAATAGGTACGACGTACCAAAGACTCAGACAAATATGTAATCCCAACTGTATGTCATATCTTGTTCGTGTTCATTGAAGCGCAAACAAAACATGAAACGACTCTAAGATGAAGTCCCGAACTTTCGACCAAATACTCCAGGTGATCAATGCGACGATCAATTGCGTACGTCTCAGTTAGGTCCCCCTCGTACAAGTCAGGTTTACATTCATGGGTAGAGGATTGTTGCTGTAACTCTATATCGTGGGCGCTGAGTATGCTTTGTATGAAGTATGTTTCCTTAGCTGAGTACTGGGAGCATTACGCTAACTTACAACCCAGCTGTCAATGGGATGTGAATGGCGGGTCTGTCAATGGGATCGACGCTGGTAACACTGCAGTGGTGTCCGTAATATTACTAGAATTAAATCTTATTCAGGTACTGGCGCATATGGGATGTATCGTTCTCCATCTGGACCGTTTTGCACTCCAGGAACGAATTCATCGTAAGTACAATAGTGCTCAAGTTCCGCTTGCTTGTTGTTTACGTAGTTTCTTGTCTAGGCTTCCTAGTGACGTACAGGCTGCAGTTTGCAACGAAGACATCAAACTCGCCAATTTTCTGTACGACCTCTTTTGGACCGACGGTGCGTGGTGAGTGTCCAGTTCATCGAGCATGATACCAATGTTAATGGCGTGTTCAGGTTCTAGTACGTGAATTAGGCATTCATGTTTCATGAAGTACTGACTACATCTGTAAGTACCTACACCATGAACACCGCTGCTGAGGACGAAGCGGCGACAAATAACAACATGTACACCCACTGCAATAGCACGACAAGCTCGACTTTGAGCTCAAGCAGCAGTACAAGCACTGCTTCAGGGGCCCCATCCCAGACAACGACTGTTGCTTCTGCGGATTCCGCTCAGAAATCTAATAGTAATATCGCCATAATCATAGGTCCTGTAATCGGAGGTCTGATCGTGCTAGTCGGGAGCGTCGTGATCGCACGATTCTGCTGGCGTAAGCGCCGCATTTCATTGGAGCGCCGCGCTTCATTGGATACCGATAGCCCATACACAATGGCAACGGTCTCACCATATACAATCACAGATCCTGGTAAGTCTTTGATTACATTTTCCGTCAATGGCAAGAATGTTAAGCGATTTAGATGCAGGCACGAGACCGACTTCGAACAGGTTCGAGTATCCGCGCAAACGGAGTTATCTACCGATATCACTGTCAGACAATTTCTCTTCGACATCTACCCCCACTAGTGCACTAGCCTCAACTACTAGTACAAACGGCCAGAGCTCATCGGACCTTCTTGGGAACTCCGTCAGTGCGCTTAGACACGAGGATGCTGGGGTTGTTCCAAACCTTACACGCTCAGTCTCTGGAAGACTACCTCCAGCGTACAACCCTGGCTGGGAAGTGCCCGACAGAGAATCTTCGCAACTGAATCCCGGTTCGGAATTCCAAGCAGAGGAGCCTTCCAGGTCACAGATCACGGCGGACAGTGAGCCTAGGCCCAGGCGCACTAAGTCGTGATGCGTCATCACACCTTCTGTTTGACGAACAATTTCATTCCATACTTTTCGACTCTGGATGATTATAACACACATATACCATATGTATTACACAGTACTTACTATTGTCCCTGCCCGGCCATACTATCTACCACTCTGACATTTACCATGTAGGCCGTTCGTCCAATCGTTCGCTTTCATATCGTGTATCTGACTCATCTGCATGTTCGCTTGGGTTGCAGTCACGCAAACCGGCGGTCGGCACAGCCCTTTTGCCAATACCGCGGTCTGACGCTGTACTCTGCGGTCAATTTCATGTGCGTAAACTGACCCGAGCCACAGCACCAGACAGTCCCTCCCCCGTGGATCGTATCCTGTCGCTGGCGGTCTTTGCTACTCCTTCACGGGACATAAAGCGACGTCCAAGGCCCATCTGCTGCTCTGCTCCAGGAGACAGATGCGAATGAAAATCCACTTAGACACGAAGATGCTGGTATTTATCCAGCTCCCATATGCGCTGGTTCGGGAAGACTACCACCCCAGGTCAGTTGGGGGAGCAAGCCACTTCACAGATGAAGACCCGGATGACTAGTGTTAGCGCAGCAGCTCGCTTAATCAGACTAAACTATGTGGATGCTGTTGGGATGTGATTCGTCTTTGAAAGCTACCAAGGCTTTGCTAATACAACTTGCAATACATATTAGTCTTTAAGTGCGGAGTCTCGGACTGGGACCTCTTTACTCATATTCCTCCGTTCACACATAGCCCGCCTCTGTGTTGCTTTCGTCTACCAAAGACTTCACTGCTTGGGCGATTTCCACCGCCCCCTAAAAACAGCCATATCAGCTTTTGTGTCAGATGCTCGATTACAAGAAGAGGTGCTCACTGGAGTATCAGAATGGCAGCATATGGAGACCTCAGCGATGTTTGCTCCGATGTCGAGCTGCTTGCCTCCGACCGTAGAAACTTTATGGAACCTCAGAAGGTTTGTTACCTGCGATCAGATGAGAAAGGAGATGAGTGAGAGGCTGGACGCTATAGGCCAAGAAAGGTATTCACTCGTTGGCGCACGACTTCAATGGGTACTGGATCATGCTTCCTAAAGTCCAAGACACAGGTGAATCAAAGTAACATGCGATACCAGATAAATTCAACTAACTTCGTTATCAACAATTTCCCCTCATCACTGTAGTCAAGGTCAGCAAACCACTCTAAACTTTTCTCGTTACTCAGTCATGCAAATCAGTACGGCAGTGACAAACCTGCAATGAACGGCACGCCCAGTTCTTCTGCAGCTTGTTGGTGAGCTGTTCCAGCGAGCCCCATAAAGGCTACACCTTGAGGACTGGCCGCGCTAGATTTGAAGATTTTGGTGACACCAACAACTGCCCGTGCGAGGTCGATAGAGCGTGCTGTCTGACCGTAGACAGAGCCGTGGGGTTTTATCTATAATGTATGGCCGCTATCTCAGCCATTGGACTGTGGAAATCAAAACGGAAAACCGTACGTGATTCATGGGAAGCCCGTAGCGTTTCAAAAACCCGTCCAATGCACCTACCTGATAGATGAAGCAGGACTCTAGCTCGTCCTGCCGACTCATGAATGTTTAAATGCATTTACATTGACCGATGACATTGCTCACCGGCTCAATTGCCATCTCGCGACGCCCGAAACCTTGTAAATCAGGCAAGGAAGGGTGAGCCCCCACAAGGACGTTGTTAGACTTGGCGAGTGCAACTGTCTTGTTCATGACCGAGAAGTCGCTGAGTAGATCTATTAACACATGAACAAGCAGCCAAAGTTGACAAGCGGGACTCAACGAAGCATGGAATCCACAGGCAACATTTGCCAAATGGATTGTCTTCATAAGACCTTCGTCGTCTCCCTGTTTGGTGTTCTCTTGAAACAAATAATACGATATTCACCCTGCGATACATACGATGGTATACAAGGAGAAGCCCTGGTGCAATGTTGACGTGATGAACGACTACGCCGTTACAATGACATCACTTACCTCCCCCATATCACAGTTGACAGTAGCTTTCAATGGTCTGCTCATGGTATAACTAATTCGCGTGGTGTCCGTTCGTAAAGTCGGCGTTATCTGAAGGCGATAAGACGATGTCGCTGACAAGCTGGATATCCTAGAAGTACTGCCAGTAATTGAAAGCAGGTGACCTTATGAGTCCCGAAGACCTCGGCCCGTGGTTGCACATACTGGTGGCTGCGCCCACGACAGTGTGAAGTAGACAGGAAGTAGCACTGATCACAAGATAGAGTTAGTTCCCATTTGTATCATAAAGTATCAATAACATGCGAGCCGCCGTAAATAAGTATCACATGAGCAACTGTGAGAATGTCCGGAACAATGGACAATATTAATGCATAATGTTACACCTCATTTGCTTAGCTATCAGCACTCCACCTGGACGCTGTTTTCTCTTGCAGAACCCCTGTTAGACTTCCTGCGCGTGTTTCGTTGCTTGGCCACAAAGTCTGAACAGTTTGATCTAACCGAACTTGACCTATATGACTGCACGATGAGCATAACGGACATAACACCATGAAACAAAGCTACCTTCACTAGGGTCTGAGTCGCTTGGCGGCGCATTTCTCAACACCCAGGATGGATGGTATGCAGGCGCCATCATGGGGGGGAATTAGCGTGCCAGCATCATCTTCTCGGCTGTATGGCGCGGCTTCAGAGAAATTGTCATTCACAAGATATGATGCACCAGATGAGGTGTTTAGGGACCGAGCCCGCTCGGGGCTCAAAGAATGTATCACCGGGGTAATAGACTCCCCAGACCCATGATGACGTCGAACTGGACTGAAACTGTTGTATCTCTGAGTGGCTACTAGGGAATATTGTGAGTGCGTGAGTGACCACATTGAGAGTACAAGCACCTGGTTCAGTATCCGTGAACGACGCTCCATAGACAGGCTGAGCGCCGTGTGATTGGCCCAGAAACATGGATGGCGTATCCCTGATCATGCGAGGTCGTTTACCCCGTCTGTAACAGTAGAAACCACCGAGCACTGCGATTATGGCGAGTGCGGCGCCACCCACTGCACCACCGATGACGGCTTTCTGTGAAGTAGATGAAGCGACTGAAGCAGTATTCCCAGAGCTAGAGGACAACGCAGAGACAATACTAGTGAGAGTGGGAGAGGCGGCTGCAGTAGGGACCGTTGTAGATGTGGGGAGGGATGCCGAAGGTGAGACTTGGTTCGGGCAAACCGTGAAAGTGTTGTTATTGTTGATCGCCTGCTGTTCTACTGCATAATCTGCTGTCCATCGACTGGGTCATCGTGAGGAATGAACTACCGCCCATTCGATATTTTACTCACTAGTACCTAGCTCAGGGTCAGACAAGTACTGTGTGCGTCAAGTAGAAACTTACCAAGATCCATCAGGCCAATAAGTTCTATTGTACAGAAAGTTATCAAGTTTGATGTTCTCGTTGCAGACAGCCTGTTGGATGCTTGCTGGAAGTCTAAATTATACCAAGTGGCGTTGTGAGTAGGTGCGTTGCTTTCAATCTCGGTTTACTCACGAGTAATTTGTGCTAGTACCACAGCTAGCAAGATAAGTAGTGTATGTTCCAGGAGCTGCAGAACAAGTGAGTCGTCGTATTAAACAGATTTAACTCGTGTTACCCGCGTCAATTCCAGTTACATCGCCTGGAACAGCATCTTCTTGGCAACTGCATGTTTAGATAACTGTTATTAGCGGGCCGTGCAAGAGAAGAATATGAATTACTTCATGCAGAGCATGCTTAATGAGAATGCGACAGAATTGCAGCAGCAATCCGCTAATCAATCAATTAGTTCAGCAAACACAGTAAATTGGCGCGATAAGAGAAGACCTACAAACTTGATCATTGCAACGATCACCGGGGGTGTTCGCAGAGAAATTTCCCACTACATCTGTTTGTTATGCGTGTCAGTACATGCCAGAGAAAGGCCGCCTGGAGACACCCACAAGCACTGTTGCATATTTGTCGAAGCCGCTGATATGTCATGCCTAACTTATTAGCAATTTACCATCCGAATCACTCCAAATGCTGTGATGACTTACAAGGCGTTTCACCAACTGCGGTTGTGTACCAATCCAGTTGACTGCTAAGACATGTCGTATTACCGACCGCTAAAACAGTACCTGCATGATACAGAAGTAAGAGGGCAACCCATGCAAATCCCTGCATACCCGACGGTCTATGATGCCCACAATATTGAGGCGAGGGGAAAGGGAGGGTGGTCGGCTTGAAACTAAGGCATTAAATAAGTAGCATCAATGTACGGCAGTGCAGAGACTCAGCGCCTCAGCATCAAAGTTGGATACTTGAGCCTCCTGCCAGGGCAGGGCAGGGCCCTGCTGGGCATCAACGAAATACCCTGAAGTATGAAGCAACGATCAAGTTTTGATATTTTGATCGGACTCGTACAAATCCGAGTCAGGTGACCAGAGACGTCGTGGTGGTGCCACTCGTCGCGGCTACGTGACCCATTGATAAAATCGACATTAACTTGCAACATCAAGTTCATTGTAATGGCAGTGTGAGGCCTATCATGTTCAACTGGTAAGTATAGTTATGACTTGACTTTACCGTATTATTTTTGGTCTCTATCATGGAATGGTAATCTAAGAATAACACCAAAAATTCACACCCAGACACCCGGGCCAGCCTGGTTTTGCCTCACTGTTTGATCAATGATCATACGACTCGACATCGACCACGACCTAAGCATCCGATGGTAAGTATAGACGATCGTCGATGGCTCGCGTGGTGGCTAGGAACTATATTGCTGTAGTAAATGTGTCATATGCTATGGTCGTAACTGGTCAGCAATGGAGTTACTACTTGGACACATGATGTCAGTGTGCGCGGCTTTGGCCCTTATCGGACTCGATTCAGACTTCCCTCTTGACAGGCTGATATATATAATGCCTAGAATCACGGTACGAAGAGGAGCCCATCCCAACGTCACGCATCACCACTAACATGTTACTCAATAGCGAATATGCTAGCCACAAGCTATTGATTGCAAACCGAGGAGAGATTGCTGTTCGAATCATTCGAACTGCTCAGCGGCTGGGTTTAGCAACAGTAGCCATTTACACCTCGTCAGACGCCCTCTCCCCTCACGTTACCATCGCAGACGAGGCTGCTCATTTGCAGGACCGCGCCAGCGACCAACAGCAACTAGCATCAGAGTCGAAGCTGTATTTATCAAGTGCTATCATCATCTCGATATGCAAGCAGTATGGGGTTACCATGGTTCATCCAGGTTATGGATTCCTCTCGGAGAATGAGGAATTTGCGCTTTCTGTAGAGGCAGCTGGGATGATCTGGCTCGGTCCGAAACCAGACGTTATTCGGATCATGGGTCTAAAGCACGAAGCCCGACGTCTTGCTGCAAATGCTGGTTTGCAGCTCGTTCCAGGATCCCAAGGACTTGTAAACACTCTCGATGAGGCCCTAGGCATAACAAATACGATTGGTTTTCCTGTGATTCTGAAAGCGACAGCTGGGGGAGGGGGCATGGGCCTTCTTGTTTGTCGAAATAGCAGCGACCTCTCCGAGTGCTTTATCAGTGCTCAAGAAAGGGCAACTGTAAGTATGATGGTTGACACACTTGTTGAAGCTGAATGCACATCCCCTAGTCACTGTTTCATAACGGGGGAGTTTTTATTGAACGATACTACCCTGCAGCACGCCATATTGAAATACAGGTCAGTATCTGTGAAACTTGAATTCGCCCTGTGCTCCATTTCGGCATAACAGGTGTTCGGTAACGGACTGGGCGATGTGGTACACATGGGGGAGAGGGAATGCAGTGTTCAAAGGAGACATCAAAAAGTTGTGGAAGAGACCCCGAGTCCATTCGTTACAGGTCATTCAGGTAAGTTATTAAGACAGTTGGTGGAGTAGCATGTGTTGATATTTCACAGGTCTTCGTGAAGCCATGTGCGATGCAGCCGTCAAGCTGTGCAGGACCATCAAATATTCATCTGCAGGTTGGATAGCCTACAATTATCGGTGGTCGTATCTTACTTACTGCGAGCCAGGTACCGTAGAATTTCTTGTGGACGATGAGTCGGGGGTGTTTTTCTTCCTTGAAATGAATACACGTATCCAGGTGCGTAGTGTGGTGATCTATGCCAGGAAACACGTCCTCTAATTGCATGCAGGTTGAGCATGCCATCACAGAGGCTATACACCCTGGCCTGGACCTCGTAGAAATGATGTTAGCACAAGGAATTGCACAGCGGTCTGAAGCGAGTGGTCTTGATCACGCGAGTCCCAGCATGACGCAGGCTATCTATGACAAGAACCTTGTTGAGTGTCGTATCCACGCCATCGAAGCCAGAGTCTACTGTGAAAACCCCTCAGAAGGCTTCAAACCCAGTCCAGGCATCCTACAGTTCGTGGAATTCCCACAAGAGAATTGGCTTCGCATTGACAGTTGGGTATGTATGTCGCCCTGTGTCCAGCACTCTACCTTCAAATGTAAACTTTGCAGGTGTCAACGGGAACGGAAGTGACTCGGTTCTTCGACCCTTTGATATGCAAATTAATCGTGACCGGTTCAACGCGAGAACAAGCGGTTTCCAGGATGGTTCAAGTATTGAAAGCCTGCAAAGTCTTCGGCCCGCCGAACAACCTGGCCTACCTCGCTTCAATATGTGATAGCACTATTTTCAAAGAAGGGAAGGCCACAACACGGTTTTTGGATAACTTTGATTTCTCCCCAAGGTACGCGCAGTTAGATATGAACCATACGACCCACAGACTAATCTATCTCGAAGCGCATTCACTGTCCTATCAGCTGGTATTGAAATGACTATCCAAGACTTACCCGGCAGGCGTATCGGGCTAGGCATCCCGCAAAGCGGCCCCATGGACTCTCAGGCATTCAGCGCGGCCAACATACTTGCTGGCAATACAGCGCAAACGGAGGCATTGGAGATCGTCACCCTCCCCGGCGCTGGATGCAAGCTGAAATTCCACAGTTTTGCTATTGTAGCGATAACCGGCAAGCCAGCAACTGTTAAGATCAACGGAGAGCAGGTTTCAATGTGGGCTCGCCTCACCGTCTCCGAAAATGCGATCCTCGACATTGCGGGCCTGCCAGGTCCTGGGTTCAGAGTATATCTAGCAATCAGAGGCGGCTTCCCTGAAGTGCCACAATATCTTGGATCTAAGTCAACGTCGATGGGCCTTGGAGGCTATCAGGTACTCCGAGTTCTACATTTTGTTAAAACTTAGTTTTTGCTCACCGTCCCCTCAGGGAAGATCACTTAGAGTCGGCGATCAACTTGCTTTGAGTTCGCAATCATCATCAGAGCAAGATAAGACAGGTCCAGTAGCCTTTCTACTCCCCCAAAGCCTCATCCCGGTTTATCCTCAAGATTGGGTTATTCAAGTCTTGGCTGGACCACATGATGATGCGGAAATTTTGACCCCTGAAGGAAACGCCAAGTTTTACTTGGCGAAGTGGTCCGTTAGTTCATCGAGTAACAGAATGGGGATACGGCTGGAGAGCAATCAAAGCATAGATTGGGCCCGTAACACTGGTGGCGAGGGCGGATCTCACCCGAGTAATATCCTAGATAACGGATATGCGTTAGGGACGGTTAACGTGAACGGAGACACACCCGTTATCTTAACGAACGAAGGACCAGACATGGGTGGGTATGTCTGCCTGTGTACTGTCGCGACTGGGGAAAGGTAGGTGACTCTCAGTTCAGACCAAGTGAGTTCTGCTCATCGATACCCATAGGTGGAAGCTGGGGCAATTGAGTCCTGGTAGTACGGTGACCTTTCGCAAGATTTCATGGCAGGATGCACAAGCTTGTATGAAAGCTCCGCTCAGATGGATTGAGGCCGTGCAGACCGTTGTCGCTGGATCTCCACCACATATTGGCTTCTTAGATGGTCCTTTGGAAGGTAGGGAATTATCCGGAATCCTGCACAGAAATGAGTGGTTACCAGGAAGCCCGAGACCTGCCGTAACATTCCGGCAGGTATGTTCGCTACATCACGATCGCCGATGATCGTCACATCTAACGCCTGAGGTGCTGTATCAGGCTGGCGACTCCGCTATTCTGGTAGAATATGGAGAGATGCATCTAGATTTCGTTCTTCGAGCGCGCGTACATGCGCTAGAATCGGAAGTGCGTAAGAGGAACATAAAAGGCATATGGGCGTTTGCTCCATGCATTCGCTCCACGATGGTGCGTTTCCTTTTATCGTCAAGATTGTGGTCTAATCGGAGTTGTTAGTGCCATTATGATCCTTCGATGATCTCCCAGGCTGACGTACTTGCCATCCTATTAAACACGGAGCGCTCATTACCAGATTCCGCATCGGACCTCCAGTTCCCCGGGCGCAAGATCACGTTCCCGATCGTACTCGACGATCAGTGGTGTCGTGAAGCATTGCAACGATACATGCGAACTACAAGAAACCAGCGCGGTTTATTTACCCAGCAACATTGATTACCTTGCGCGAAATAATGGTCTGGAGGGTGGTTGTCGATGAGGCGCTTCAGAAACTAATGGATTCTGCTTGGGTACGTGCCCTTCCGAATAATCATTACTGTATCTCGGCGCTTAAATAAAGCCAAAGCTCGTTTTTGGCGTCGGATTTTATCTAGCTTGTCCTTTCTTAGTCCCGGTAAGGCGATGTCAACGGAATTGAATGATTTTGCTGTTAACAATAGAGCAGATTGACCCGCGATGCCGTTTGGTCGGGCAGAAAATGAATCCTTCAAGAACATACACTCCCGGTGTAAGTTTCAATTAATCAGAAAAAATCAAATGGGTGATATGTTGAATTGTTGCAGGGAGCGGTCGGCATCGCTGGTCCCGTGGCGGCCATTTATCCCGTCGTCTCGCCTGGAGGATACCAGCTGTTTGGGCGCACGCTTCCAGCTTGGCAAACCTGGGGAAAGGGGCCTGATTTTGCCTCCGATCGACCATGGTTGCTTCAGCCATTTGACCAGGTGCGTTGTTAATGCAGGTCTGTTGTTCGCTTTTTTACTAAAAACAATTTCACAGATCCTCTTTGAACCCGTCAGCGAGGAACGCTATCTCGAGGTGTGCCTGTTTATTGGAGGGATACTTCTGGGCTAACATGTCATGAAGATTGAACAGGAATTTAATGCCGGACAGTATAAATTCAAGGCAAGTGACATCGGCGGTACCTCTTACGGAGTGAATTATGGGTAACAATGTCATGCGGTGATAGATCGAGCCAGCGGTCTTTTCCATGGCGGCGTACATCACATTCACTGACGGCATACAGCAAGAGATTACGGAGTTTAAGCGAAAACAGGCGGAAGGAACAGCGAGAGAGGAAGCACAGTAAGTGAGGCCTTAAACGATGAGCTACAACCTATTAATTACAGGTGACGTTGTAAGCGAGACCGAACTGTTACGTGTATGGCAGGCGCAGAAAGCGGCGAAAGCTCCGCCTACGGCATTGGTGGATGACACAGGTATGACCAGTAAGGTTCGAATGTCCGAATTTTTTTAACTAACTCGTCCGCAGACGTTGGACCTGGTAGTACAAGCATCACTTCTTCCATATCAGCATCTATTTGGAAGATCAAATGTCAGCCTGGAGACGTCATACAATCTGCCGATAATATTCTGGTCATCCTCGAAGCGATGAAGACCGAGATTAATATTCTTGCAGGAGAAGAGAATGTTGGAAAGGTAGTGAAAAGCTTAGGTAAAGGGATTAGGGAAGGAGCAAGTGTTCAAGTGGGGGACATTCTCGCATGGTTTGAATAGTTACGTGTAGCCTGTGTAAGGTTGTAATATTGGAGTGGACACAATAAATATTCGATATGGGGAAGGCAAACACATTGCCCTACGTCATACATTCCCGAATTTACTCCTACTCAATATCTATTCGAGTAGTGTACTTTCCAGTCGCCTTCTTCCAAGCGTATGGAACCGGCATCAGTATTAATGTACCTCACATTGGGAAATGCCGGTATTATTGTCCCGTTCAAGCGGTCAGAGATGATGTCGAGGGTTGTTGTCCATCCATCAACTGTGATGAAGTGAAAATTGAGTTCCTCCAAGCTAGGAAGGGTACCAGGTCCATCACAGAGAGCGGATATCAGCTACCACGAAAATGAGTTGGGGAAGTAGTAGTATACGCGAGATAAAGCGTACCATCTCCGTCTCGTCCCGTGGCACAAGGTAACCAGTATCCTTTACAGTAAAAGAACGCAAGCGAGTGAAGTGCTTTTTCAGTGGAAGCTTGCCAATGACTGGGAGCGACGAAGCCACCGCTCTTTCTTTCAGTGCCAAGGTTACGCTCTGGAGGTCAGGCAGACGCCGAAACACGTGAAGTAGCAGCCCCATGTCGAAATTTTGTTGAATGAGAACCAATTTGTCGATGGTAAGCTGACGAAAGGCCACGATCTTCAGGACTGCCTCTACATCATCTGCACTGAGCGAGCGTATGGAAGTAGTTGCGATTGGCCGAAGGGTGAAGGTAGTTGGAGAGTTTCTTGTACGAAAGAGCATGACAGTGCGAACGGTCAATTCTTTATCAGGTGGATCTTCTATGAAGGAGCAGGAGCGGAACTCAAGGACCTCGAGCTGCTTCAATTCTGCCAGCGCTTCCCAATGATCTTTCTTCACAAAAGAAGTAGAGAAGACCACTTTTTGAATGTTCGACATGCGCGCCATTGCTTGGCAATATAGCGTTGCGAACGGAAAGAGGAGCCACTTCGCCTCCTCATTAAGATCCCAAAGTTCGAAGGTGCACATCTTGACGTATAGTGCAACCGATTTGGCTGGCTCAGAATTTGCCACAATCTGCCTGGCCCATTTCGTCTTGCGTGAAGCCTGCGTCCTGTTGCTGTTCGTATCCCCCGAAAATGTGACACGCTCAAAGACACGCGGCAACGCGACGGAGCAGAAAAAACGGCACACGAGTGCGAGGGCTGAGAAGGTTCCAACGTATTGCTCTCTCAGTGGCTGATCAGTTGGGGCTATACACTCGAAAGTCGCAAGATATATTTCGTTTGGGATTAGAGGCAAGATGGTCTGACCATTGCGGCGAAGAGGAGCTAATACACAAGCATCACGGTCGCAAGTTGAGGATTTACAGTTGATGATAGAATAACTCACTGGACCAGGAGAAATCCATGATGGTTCAAAATTATACCGTAGATTGGCAAGATGTTAACTATTATCGGACGAACATATGTGCCACAAAGGCAGTAAGTTCGTAACTAGAGGTTGATCTGCGATACGGTTCGACTCGGAGGGACTGAACTATACTAGATACAAATAATTATAAACAAGGACCTCTTAGTAATAGTACCAAGTCGGACTTGCACCGTGATTGTATACAGTCTGGCGGTGTATTATATAGTCCGAGAGGAGCTCTGAAGTGAGCAATATCGCATGTCAAGTAATGGACGACGATATCTACTTCAAGATCAGTGCCGTGGATAAGACGTACGCCCGAAATTACGCAATCTCGTCACCTATATATACATGACAAGGATAATTAATTGCATGCAGGCTAGAAGATCGCCTCGTTGCCATGATTTGTCCCGTGTTACAATCAACTTACTGTTTTGTGAATGGGTAGTAGCTAGAGGCGGCCCGAGACGTCTCTTGTGGGAGCTCAGTCGGGTGAAATCAATCGGCTGCGGCCGATTATCCAAAATGAATCCTGAGCACGTCATGGGTAAACCGGTAACCCCTGTTCGCAGGTAAGTTTATTTTTATGATTAACAGCTGAGCATGTGCTTGCGTGAAAACTGTTGGTGCGAAGTGACATTTGCCCCGATAACCCACATGGTTGATATCAGATCGCGGTCTGAAAGTGCCCGAGGAAGTCGCCTCTGACCTAGGTTCATGGCGTTAGGCACGTTCTTGACCAGGAACCATGATGGGATTCTTCCATCTGTCTTGAAACACCTGACCGCGGTATTATCGACGAATGAACGTGATCTCTATAAATATGGTACTACGAGCCAAAAGGGCCCCTGGCAGGTTGGAAGATGCAAGGGGATCGCGGGTATACCGTGACAGCCAGCCTATCTGAGGGCAGTACTAGTGTAGCGATGAGAGGATCTTAGTATGCGACTCGGAGTTTCGGACGAATGGGTAATAGTATCAGAGTGTATGGCGAATCCATTCAAGTTGATGCCAAGTAGGAATCATGGTGAGAATGTCGTGGGAGTGCCTCATGATCACAGGGTGCGATGTGGTTTGGATTTAAAGGCGAATCGAATCGAGGTGGAAAATTGACACAATTCGGTACAGTTCGATGTGGAAATGAGTCCGGGGTTGATACTATCAGTAGGGATTCTGCGTGCCGCCGCCGACGGACTAGTACACGACTCTGGCCAACCACAACCGAATTTCGAAAGGACCATAGGCAGCTGCCAGTGCACTGGACTTGCAGGTATTAGTACTTTTAGTAAAGACCCCAGTACTATATCCAGCATAATATCCCGAACAATAATTGAGTTCCGGGAAACATGAACGGAACTAGTAGGAACTGATCGGCGACCGGTAGTAGATCGAGATTCAATTTTGCTTTGCCGGCCGAATATATTTACATTTATGGCAATTGACCGGCATGAATAGAGGGAAATTTGAAATAGTGCTCGCATGTTCCATGTGTATCATTTTGCATCTTTCTTTGCACTTACATACTTACGAAAATCGTACAAAAGCCGGGGTCACTACCATGCCTGTCTTCCGACCATTCGTCCTTCCTCACCATCATGTCGGCTTACGCTGGGCATTCGAGCGGTACTGGCTCAGTCGATAAGATTGACTCTGAGAAAGCAGCCCGTCAGTTCATTTCCCCTTGATTCTACTAAGATTGTAATCATACTCACGTGGAAATTTTTTACATCTTTAGTTGCTATCGGTGCTCTACCCCTTGCTGATTTTGATGACCCAAACATCAACAAGGAAGAAGCTTTAACTGGCATTCTAGGTTAGCCCATCATCTTGAGTGCTAAAATTCACTCTGACCAGACCGTCGCAGAGGATGACTCGCCTTATCCTGAAGTACGATCGGCTGTATCCAACACTGATGACATGTCCATACCCGTTAGCACTCTCCGCTCATGGGTTATGGGTAAGTGCAGAAAAATCCGCTAGGCATCATGTAGCTGATTAGAAATCAGGCTTTTTTTGGGTTATTATCGTCCCTGGTATGAACCAGTTCTTCTATTTCCGATATCCCTCCGTCAACATCACCGGCATGGTTGCCCAACTATTGTCATTTCCCATGGGTCGTCTCTGGGCAGCTGTCGTGCCCAATATTTCAATATTCGGCGTCCGCTTGAACCCCGGACCATTCACGATCAAGGAGCACGTTTTAGTCACGATTATGGCTACCGTCGGATGGCAATCTGCATATGCGGTACGTGCGTTTGCTCGGGTTTTCGTCAATACAAATTAATAACATCTTGCCAGACCGACATTGTTGCAGTGCAGAGAGTGTTCTACGGTCAAACTCCCAACTTCAGCTGTAAGTATGTCCAGAGTCTGAACGATATGTTATCAGGTCTCATATCAGCGTAGATCAATGGATGTTGGTCATGTCTACCCAGCTCATTGGCTTCTCACTGGGTGGCGTTATGCGTCGATTCCTGGTTCTTCCCCCCTCCATGAGTGAGTCCTGCCTCGTATACATGTTTCTAGAGAATTAACACTTGTAATCAGTTTGGCCCACAAACTTAGTTACGTGCGCCCTATTTAATACGCTCCATGCGCAATCATACGCTGGTATTGGCAATCGCGGTGGTATTTCACGAGAGCGCTTCTTTGTTTATGTCTTCTCCGCGGGATGTGCATGGTACTTCATCCCAGGTTATCTGTTCCAAGCTCTCAGCTACTTCACCTGGGTGTGCTGGATCGCTCCAGATAACGTCGTCGTCAACCAGCTCTTTGGCTATGAAAGCGGCCTTGGCATGAGCTTGATTACGTTCGACTGGGCCCAAATTACTTATGTTATGAACCCACTCGCAACGCCATGGTGGAGCGAGGCTAACGTTCTCGTTGGCTTTGTGTTCTTTTTCTGGATCCTTACCCCGATCCTTTATTATACTAATACCTGGTATTCTAAATTCCTGCCCATCATGTCTCGCACGTCATACGATAACACGGGTGCCGCCTACGATGTCACTGCGATTCTTGGCACCGATGGAACTCTCAATGCTACTGCATATGAGGCATACAGCCCTCTGTTCCTGTCGACAACTTTTGCAGTGTCTTACGGTCTGTCATTTGCGTCAATCACTGCCACCATTACGCACGCCATCCTCTTCTTCCGCAAGCAGATCTGGGCCCAGTCGCGTCGCTCAATCGACGAACAGCCGGACATCCATGCACGTCTCATGGCTAGGTACCGTCAGGTTCCAGAGTGGTGGTACCTTATCATCTTCGTGATCATGTTCGTTTTCGGCATCATTGTCATTGAAGTCTGGCCTACCCAGTTCCCGGTGTGGGGCTTCGTTCTCGCACTTATAATTGCTTTCCTCTACATCATTCCCATTGGCATGATTCAAGCTATCACGAATCAACAAGTCGGTCTGAATGTTATTACGGAGTTGGTCGTTGGATACGCTATCCCTGGACGCCCATTGGCAATGATGCTTTTCAAGGCAAGTAGAGTCCTTGCGTTGTCTGGTGCAGTCCCTAACGTGCCTATCTAGACATGGGGTTATATTACAATGGCGCAAGCGTTGCAGTTCGCCCAGGACTTCAAGCTCGGTCATTACATGAAAATTCCTCCCCGCACGATGTTCTTTGCACAGGTCAGCGCGGCTGCTATCGCTGGAACCGTACAGCTCGGCGTGCAAGCTTGGATGTTTACCAACATCGTGGACATGTGTAGCACGAAACAACCTGACGGTTTCATTTGCCCCAACACTCAAGTGTTCGGCACTGCATCAATCATCGTAAGTTTCAATTTGATATGTGCTGTGTTTTTGTTTATTCAAGATGGTCTGGCAGTGGGGTGTTATTGGTCCTCAGCGTCAGTTCTCCTCCGGCCAAATGTACGGCGGCCTCCTTTGGTTCTTCCTCATTGGCGTGCTTTGCCCCCTCGGCGCTTGGATCATTTCTATCAAGTGGCCGAACAGCATCATTCGTTACATCAAGTATGTATCCATCCGCCTTGCTTGCCCTCGAAAACTAACAATGAGCGCATAGCTTCCCCGTAATATTCACTGGAACGTCCTACATACCACCAGCGACTGCCGTCAACTACGTGCCTTGGGCAATCGTCGGTTTCATATTCCAGTACGTTATCCGCCGCCGCCATTTCTCATGGTGGACAAAGTACAACTGTACGTATCTATCCCCTCCACTCTCATTCAACCTACTAACGCCCCGCAGATGTCCTGGCTGCTGCACTCGACTCTGGACTTGCAGTTTCTATCATCTTGATCTTCTTCTGTCTGCAGTACCCGCAAAACGGCACCATCGGCGCAAACAACGTCGCAAAATGGTGGGGCAACAATGTGTTCTTGAATACAGCAGATGGGAAGGCCATGTCGTACTACACTATCAATGGCACCTTTGGGCCATCAACATGGTAGGGAATATTGTAGTTGTATATATAAGGGTGTATATATGAAGGTGTTTATGTTACGAGTATCAATTTATTTTCCTTGCTGCTCTTTTGGTACTTGTGATGTTCCCGGGCCGTTCCTTACATATGTTCATGTGATTCATACCCCAACTCCTTCTCGATCTGAATGTTCCGCGCATTTTACAGAGCCAATTTCGTTGGTGCGCGAGTCTGTATCTCCCTTTTTTTTCTGCTTATGTGATCTAAACCTTTGCTTCCCACGTGCACTCTACCTTAGCATCGCCTCCAACGTCAACCATGGTGACCTATAGGCAGCAAGAAGAGTGGCCATCTATATATGGCTGTTGAAGTGGCCACAATATTGATTTATACGCTTCGCAATCGTGGCATCAGTCCTGCATTCATATCTAGTCTCCTTCCCGACGCTTTGTGAGCAGTGCCTATTCGTATAGCTACCCTGGTCAATCTGATCTACTTCTCATTTCCAGTCTACTTGATCCTGTATCCTACGTTTGTGTTGTGAGATGTACCCCTAATCACCAACCGTCTTTCCTCCCACCTTCAGTCCAATTTTTGTACCATCATTGGTCCCCTCTGCTATCCTCCGCCACCTTTTGTTCTCGTCAAAGTGTCGAGATCAAGGGTAGACCACGAGATCGTATTGTCCGAACACGAGAGAAACATACGTCAGACAGTCGAGGAGGGAGACGTAGTGCTGCAGCCACCTCTTCACCATAGACATTAGCAAGGTCACCTGCACACCAAAGAGGCAACGGCCAACATCAGCGAATTACGCCAACCTCCCAGGCTGGGTTACAGGGAGGAGAAGAGCACGAAGGTTAAGAAAATGTTGCGATATAATACCAAAATTGGCAGCTTTCGCGCGATGAACACCACTGCCAGGGAGGGAGCGCACCAAGCCAAATACGGTGCCAACAAACTACTCAAATCGTTTTCGAGCACAACGGGACTGTAACGAAAGCAAGGGGGTGAACGGTCGAGAGAGGCAAGAGCACACAAGTGCACATCAATATTAATGCAAGAAGGTAACAGAGGCCCCTATATTATATGAGCCCTGATACCTCCTATTAATTTGTTTCCCTTCCCTTCCATGATGGCTTCCAAATTTGAAGACCCCGATGATAGCAGGTTACTTACTCAGAGCCCACCACCCTCTTACGATAACATTTCTACACTTGTGTCATCAGCAGATTCCACCAAAGGTACTAACAGACAACTAGTACCACCATTCAGACAGTTTTTGTCATCTGTATTTTCCTACCGACAGAGACGGAAAATGGTCCTATCTCGCATCCGTGATATCGTCTCCGCTCCTGATTTTATCCCCTCTTCTATTGCCCCAGTCATCGAAACCTGTGTTACTCAGGCTGCTTTCTCGCCTGCGGATTTTTCTAACCTCTTGCAAACACCCATCATCGAAGGTCATACGGCGATGTATTGGGCGGTTATGAATCATCGATGGGAGGCTGTGTCTGCATTTGCTGCCTTCATCCCCCGATTTTCGTCTGTTTGCTTCAATGACTTGCGCCTCGCGTGCATGATCATTAATGACCACGCATCGTTTGCGCAGCTGAATTTGGGACGCGTGATCAATTGTAAGTGCAAGCCAGTAATATTTGCCCTCGCCGCATTGACTAACTTATTTTGCACTTAATTAGCCAAGGACGAATCATTGAGACGCCTTCTGAATTGTCCACCAGATGAGGTTCAGGTCCAGACAGGGGATAAACTGTTGGAGAACAAGTTCGTTGCTTGTCTCCGTATCAGGATGTTCCAGAAACGCCTGCGCATGGCTCAGGTACTGGGCATAGAATTTGTCGCCGGGGGTATAGTCCGTGTTTCTTAGTGTTCCTCACGCTGATCAATCCTTGCAGGGCGTATATGGGTGGTGTATTTCTGTACAACGCCTTCAATGATCGGGTGGTACATCAGCCTGCGTCTTTCGCGGCATAGCTCGCCCGCACGTCCGGAAATCGTGCTCGTTATCAAGGCACACGGAGGGGTTAAACCTGGCTGGTGCCGTGCAACTCGATCTCAAGATTTACGAGTGACGGATGATGACTCGACAGAGCCCATACTTGCACCTAAGAGGTAGGTCCCGTTTCATTCAAAGCCAACGCGTACTGATGATGTTTTCAACGATTCCTTGTTTTCTCTTTCGCTATGCAGATTGGCCAGAGTGCCACAAGCATATCTCGCCTTCGACTGTGTTTTTGGTGACAAGCTCATAAACTGAGTAAGTATTCTCTTACCTTCCGCTGCAATGACTTGAACTGATTTATTGTAGGACGAATACAATTTATCTCGACTGCGATGGCACTCTACATATAAATCTAGAGATGACATTGAGATAGTGTTTTTCTACAGTGAAGTGGTCTGCATGTCGTCCAATACACTTTTTTTTACCTATATAACGCGAAGAGCCGCTCGTGGCGGAGCCCGCTACCCGCCACACTTGATTCAAATCTGTGTTACAAATGCAAGTAGTTGGCGAAACTGCAGACGGTTACAAATACAAGGAAGACAGTCGATTCCTCCAATAAAGGATTACCTCATGGACCACCCTTCAAGCTCGACGTGCTGATACATATGTCACGATGTCTCCTCAATCTTATTAGAGTGATACAGAGATAAGAGATGAATGACAGTGACCTGTAAACTAGGCTAGTACCTAGACCAAATGGCTAGAACCATACATAATCGCCCATCCACACACAACCCGCTACTGCAGGTCCATTTCACGCGACCTTCCAAGCCCAAAATGGACCTAGCCCACCGACCATGAACCGTCAACAGCCAAGCACACTCAGATAAACACCAGCACTCACCAAGCGGGTCCGGCCTCTCATGCGTCGCCCCCGTCCACATCCCCAAAAACCCAACCGCCGCACCCGGCCCCCCAATTTGAACCGCCTCTGACGACCACTCTGGCTCATCTGACCCCGCTGCAGTAGATACCTTCGAATCGATCAGTAATACGTACGCAAGGTATCATAACCGGCAGGCTACAGAACGGACAACGGAGCACTCACCATCTGCCATCGAATAGTTCCATCGCTGATTATGCTCACCGTAGCCAGTGACTTTGCGTAAGTCAGTCTGTACTGCGATCGGACCCTATAGATTCACCCTCAACGTGGATGGTTGGGAGAGGGCGGGTGGTGCTGCCTGGTGGGATGGGGGATTCGGAGTAGCCAGCTTATGCGAATAGTGAGGGGTATGACTCGGCAAGCTTCTTGGACGCCGTCTTCGAGGAACTTTTCGGGTGCGAGCTGTAGTAGCGGCGGATTAGAAGGTACAGTTTGTCAGATGATGGGACTCACATTGTGCACTGAAAAAGGGCGTTCAGTATGAGCAGAGGTGGGATGAACTGAGAGCACTGACCCAAGAGGTCTCGGTAATCAAGCCAGCAAACACATCGCCTGCAATATCAACAGAATTGAGTTTTTCGAAGAAGGCATAGCCTCGAAACTTACTTCCAAATACCACTCACACCCGCCCAATCCCATCCTTCAACTTCGCCCTGCTTGCTCTTCCCACTCCCCTCGGATCCCTCCTCGTCCCTGAGCCTATTTTCCCATGCAACCCAATACCCAGGCGACCCACCTATGCACATCGTATGCATCTTGCGCATATACGGCAAAATATCACCTGTCGAAAACGCAGTCAGGAAGGGTGACTGCCTAAACATCTCCCTCAAATTCGCCTCCACGACGATACGCGCAGACGCGAGCCACACATAGTCCGGTACGAGTTCATATGGCTTGATTGGTGGACTCAGATCAGGGACGCGGCGCCCATTCATCAACCCCAAGTGCATCAGACCCAAGTCGTCTTCCTCGTCTTCGTCTTCCTCGTCATTATCTTCGTTCTCATCCTCATCTATGATGTCAAGTTGGTTTGACTGGGGGGAATCGGTGGTGTCGCGTCGCACGGGGTGGAAGGGACCCCACATGCGTGCGGGTCCGAGGTAGCGCATGTCGTAGACACGCCTGCGTGCGAGGGTGCGGGCATCCGCGGACTGCCCTTCGGGGGTGTATAACGAGCGCGAGCATATGATGGGTAGGGCAGGCATATCTTCGTTCTCATCAAGGGCAGATGCTGAGTCTGGTGATGCCGACGTAGATGTTACTGGCCAGGCTCCAGGAATGGACGTGTCTGCGAGCTCGGGTGCTGGTGCGGCAATGGGTATAAAGCCGGTACAGCAGATGAGTTTGTGGAATAGCTGGCCGACTTCTGACCCGATCCAGTGCGATGCGGAGCTTAGAGTGGGCTGGTACGGCGCATGACCCTGGACATCGAATGATAGTTTTGCCATTAGCGTGCGTGTGAGCTCAGGGGGGAACCCGATTTCCAACAAATCCTGAAGCCACGTCGCATTGACGCTACCAAGCAGGGCACTGTAATTGGCTGTAAGCAGGAGAAGCAGGGGTGGGAATGGGGGAGAGTTGATCATGGGTGCGAAACGAGAATTGGACTCGGGAGAGTCAGTTAGGAAGGTGAGAGATATGGGCGGGGATGATGGGAAGGGTAAGGAAGTGGTGATGACTGAGAGTAGTGCTTTCACTACAGATAATGACGTTGGGATGTCCGACTGCGAACTTACTGGGGCCGTCGTTTGGACCGGACGTCTGATATACCTAGCTGCGCCAATACGGTTAATGTATTCTTGAGTCCAGTTGAACTCCAAGCTAGGGTGACCACCTGAAATGGTACTCAAATGATTCAGAGCTGGTCTGGGATCATCAAAAGTAGTAAGGAATATCTCCCGCCAGAGGTGTTGGTCCGGACAACGGTAGATTAGGTCGTAGAAGAACTTGCAGGTCTGGGAAAGCGCTGTTATGGAATTCGGGTTCCCGGAGGCTGCGGACGCGACGAGCACGGCTTCGGTGAGTTCTGCTGGAAGGTCAGCGAAGGTGGAAGCCATGTCTGAAGGGTTAGCAGATGAGACCGAGCAGCTTCACGAGCTCGCTGTGATATAATATCGACACTTCTCACGGGAGCCGCATCATGAGTAAGCAACTGCGAGGAACGATGATCTAGTATGAATTCAATGCAAACAATGTCGTGTAAGATGTTGAGCAGACCGTTCCTCACTCTACGGTACCAGATGCTGTTATAGAGATTTTGCTGTTTGTGCGCCCACTCCTCGTACCCTGAGCTTCAATATTCCTCACAACATCCATCCCGTCTTCTACTTCACCAAAGACAACGTGCTTGCCATCCAACCATGACGTGACCACCGTGGTGATGAAGAACTGCAAAGCATCAATATCTAATCCAAGATTCGCCAAATAACCACCCACTTGAGAACCGTTAGTGTTCGGGCCAGCATTAGCCATAGACAACAATCCAGGCTTTTCGTGCTTCAGCTTAAAGTTCTCATCTATAAATTCAATTAGCATCGCATAGTAAGTAACTGAACGTCAAAGGAACCGACCTGCGAACTTCTCGCCGTATATTGACTTTCCGCCAGTACCATCGTGCCGCGTAAAATCACCCCCTTGAAGCATAAACTATAAAAGACCATATTCATCAGTAAAGGAAGGTGTCAAAGAGGAAGGATGTAATTACAGTGGGGATGACACGGTGAAAAGTGCTTCCAGCATAACCGAAGCCATGTTGGCCCGTAGCGAGCTCCCTGAAATTCTTCGCGGTCTTCGGGACGACGTCGTCGTACAGTTTGAATGTTATACGTCCGGATGGTTTGTTGTCTATGGCAATATCGAACTGAATTTTAAAAAAGATTTGGTTCTGGTGACACCTAATGACATTTGTTGGAACTTACGAAGACCCGCGAAGACCTGGTAGCACATGGAATCAAATTTTTACGAGTTAGTAGGAAGAATATTACTTACAGAGGCTTCGCAGTCGACGCGGAGGTCGTGAAACGACGAAGAAATGAATTCAGCATGGGTTGATCAGATAGATACGATGCACCTGCAACAAGTACGAAGACACCTGCACCTGTCAAAACAATTGTTTTCTGCAAACCCATTTTACTCGACACAGCCACCACTCAACCGAACCAAAATAAACTAATACACCATTTATTAGGTCTCACCGAAGTTCAACTTCACTGGTTTACTACTGCCAACACACGCAGCGACTGCGACTTGGTTCCACTTGCCTGATGGGCCATTGATTAGTTATTGCGACACAGTCACGGCTGGTAGACCAACACGCTTGAATTCAAAATGGTCGGAGCGCCGGCTCCGATATGTGTCTTTATTCGAAGGTCGGAAATCGGACTTAGCCTTCATTAATTCTATCTGCTCAGTCTCGCCGACGGAAAAACTTTCCTCCTTGACTCGAACGATGAAGTAGTTTTTCTGCACTGAGTCATGGTCATGAACCGATTAATCAGGGAGACGATGAGCCCACGGTTCAACGGCTACACTGGTTAAAGGCGGGGGTGCCGAATATACGAATTCAAGCTTCCATTGGAGAAGACAGTCCCGGTATAACCGCAGACGAGTTGATAGTCTATTATGTAACGAGGAACGAGTGTAGGAATAGAGTTAAGTCTTTGCGCAAGCGTCGGAGGCAGTACGAACCTTCTGACTTCGTACTGCAACGTCGCGCCGTATCGTCTCAGTCGTCCTCAACGACGACGTTCTTCCTCCTTCTCTTTTCTCCGTTCTTCCTACTCTTGCTACTACTCTTAGAAACACTCAGTCAATTTCTCCAAAACACACTCTTAGCAAACACTCTCCGAATTCACCCGGCCTACCATGCAACGCATCTTAGCAGACCCAGCGCTGGAAGCGCAGCCCAATTTCGAGTCAGCAGCATACGCGGGATGGCTCAACGCCCTTGTGGCAGGGGGCACGGCCAGAGAAGATGCACTCGAGCAAATGGCTGAAGGCTGGAGACTTGAGCGCCAGGAACACATTATCCTTTGGCAGCAACAGAATGAGGAAGATGCTCGCACCCTGCAAGAACAGTTAGAGCGCGAGAGAGCTGAAAAAGAGGCCGAGGAACAGCTAGAGAGGCGCGAAGCTGAGAAGAAAAAGCCCAAGATCAACGATTTTGATGAAGGGGCTCTCGTTGCAGACGTTATCATACCTCGCCCATCCCAGTATGCTATCCAAAGGATCAAGAACATGGAGTATGTAGAATTGTGGTACTTTAGCCCTGACGGTTGCCACGAGGCTTCCACCACCTCTAGGTCCACGTCAGACTCAGATGACGCTTTTGGCTTCGCCAAAGTGGATGGTGTAGTTGCCCTCAAGACGATCGCGTCTTTCAAAGCCTCTCAGAAGGCTCTACAGGATCATGACCTATCTTGGCGGCAGTTTGACCTCGCAAAGACCAGCTTTCTTGTGCACATTGAAAAGAACAACTGGCCGCAAAAGCATCAGCAGGCTTTAGCATTATTTTTCATGCTCATTACCAACCATGAGCATCGCATGCGGCCACGAGGAGAAAAAGGCTCTGCTTCGCTACGCAGGATTTGTGCGCCGTGAATGGCATGATCGCTTAGCGCAAGACCAAGGGTTCAACATTGGTTTATTCAATAATGCCCTATACAACTCGATATCTGACGACGTATGGGAGGCTGAACGAGATGAGGGTCTCAAAATGATTCAATCTCACTTCGGAAACGGACCCTGCTGGCTGTCTAAATGCTTTCACTCTTGGCTATCCCTGCTTTCGGGGTACAATTCCCATCTGCTTCCCACGTGCTAACACATATATGACTTCGTCTTCTGTCTTCCGCTCTCCCTTGCTTGCGCTCGCTATGCTGCCGCTCTATCTACCCTCATGCTGACACAAACTCCTGTGCTCCCGCTTTCCTGTGTCCCTCTCAAACAACTTAACCGCTGCTTCGCTTATGCCCACACTGCTTTCGCACATCCCTGTATACCATGGTTTAACCAAATCTTTGCTTTCGTATAATTGTTCGAACCCTGGCTTACTCGAATCCTTTCATGCTTGCTCTATCTCACTCAGTTGCAAAACTCGCTTGCAGTTCCCAACACTTCCTTCCGTTCTCGGGGGAGAGACATGAGTTCCAGCCGAAACGGGCATGCAGAGACGGTACCCTCTTAAACCACAGAAGTCGCAGCAGTTTTTTCCAGCGGGCGCAGGCCAAACCAGCCCATCAGCCTGCGCCCTATGCCTCGGCCGGTTCCGTCACCCCATCCACAAATGCGCATCCGAGTTCCTATGGGACAAACGAACCAAGACTCAATGTCGTCGAAACGCAGAGGGTCACTTGGTCAATCCAGAGGGCCTCGAAATCTGCTACGACTGGCAGAGACCCAAGGGATGCACCAACCCCTCTCGAACTCACATGCACGAATGTTCAGGATGCGGAGCAAAGGATCACGGAGCTCAAGACTGCCCTCAAAGCGAGAGCATCTAACGCTATCACTCCCTATAGGCCTGAGGCCTGGCTGCAGTTTCTCATTTCTTCAAATCTCATACGTAAATATGCACATATTCCGAATGGTTTTCGCTTTTGGTTTCATGGGCAGCGTCCCAACCATATCTCAAACTTATACCCCACCTAATAACCCCTCACTACATGCACATTTTGACGCCTTTACTGCCATTCTGGACCGTGAATATTCCACTGGTCGTTATATCGGACCTATATCTAAATCAGAGACTGAAGAACTCATTGGTCCTTTTCAGACAGCCCCACTCTCCATGGTTCCTAAGCCGGGAAAGCCAGGAAGATTCCGTCTCGTACAAAACCTCTCATTCCCGCTTCGTCCATCAGCTACAGTATCATCCATTAATTCCTCTATCGACTCTAACTTATATCCATGCACGTGGGGCACAGCATCAACAATCTGTCTACTCATCTGGTCTCTCCTCCCAGGATCTCAGGCAGCTGTTCGTGACGTGGCTGAAGCCTACCGCACAGTATCTCTTCATCCTTCTCAATGGCCAGGCTTGGTCATCAGGACAGGAGAAGACAGCTTTGCAATTGATTCTAGCTTTTGTTTCGGGTTCTCGGCATCAGTGGGAACCTATGGCGAGGTTGCAGATGCTGGTGCAGACATATTCCGATCACAAGGAATTGGTCCTGTATCCAAATGGGTGGATGATCACCTATTCATTCGGATTCTGCGAGAGCACCTTGCCAGCTACAACAACCTGCGCAAATCTCGTGCTGCTATCATTGCACGAAATGGTGGCATGCTTATTGAAGGAGGTTGAAAATGGTATCGTGGTTCAACCATGCCTGACGGCAGAATTGAAGAGTTTGACGAAGACTGTTCATTTCCCATCATTGATCTCTCAACAGCCTCCCCGTGATCGCCAGAAGATGCTCGCTTCACATTTTGCTTTGACGACATCAACCGCCTATCCAAAATTCTTGGAATACCCTGGGAACTGGCAAAGGACATCCTTTTCTCGTCATGTGCCCCTTTTATCGGTTTCCTTTGGGACATCGAGTCGCGTTCTATCTCGATCCCACAGAGCAAGAAGGAGAAGTATGTGGCAGCTATCAGGGAATGGGAGATTCGGTCTTCGCACACACTACGGGAAGTCCAGGAGCTTTATGGGAAACTCTTACATGCTTCTCTGGTCCTCCCAGCGGGAAGAGCTTACCTCGTTTCTCTCGAAACCATGCTATCCATCTTTCACGACCGTCCACACATGCCTCGTTCCCCCCCCAAGCACACAGGTGATGACCTCCGGTGGTGGAAAGCCAGCCTCTCTCAATCACTCGTCTCTCGGCCAATCCCAGGGCCCGTCGAAGTCATTGACCCCTCGGCTTACTCAGACGCTAGCTCAGGCACTGGCATCGCGATTTGGATCAACGGCAGATGGCGAGCGTGGCATCTCCTCCCAGGCTGGAAAAGCCGAGGACAGAGACATTGGCTGGGCAGAGGCTGTCGGTATGGAATTCCTCATTATTGCACTCCTCGGTTCATGCCCAACGGGCAGCTGCATTAAAATATTCGGGGACAATCGAGGAGTTGTCGAAGGGTGGTGGAAAGGGCGTAGCCGCAACAGAGCCACCAATGCTGTCTTCAAAAGGATCCATGAGCTCACTGCATCCGCACAATGCACTTTCCTCACGCGCTATGTACCCAGTAACTACAACCCAGCAGACGCTCCGTCCAGGGGAATCTACCCTCCCTCAGACCTACTGCTTCCCCCAATTAGCATTCCCCAGCCACTCCAACCCTTCATCACAAACTTCGACGATCCCGCTATCCCTTCTGAGTGCCATGCACGCAGCAAGAACGTCAAAGCGCTCCCACATGTCAATGACCGAGCCCCGCTCGCGAGAATCAGCTGAGCACCTCAACGACGAGCTCCGTCGCCAAGGAGAAGAGCTCTTTTAAAGCGACGCAAGCTTATTGCGGCTTATCCTGCTAATCTCAGCCCTCGGGTTTCCGTCCTAAGACCCCATTGTGCAGCTAAGGACAGGCTCCGTCTATGGCGACCAGCCACTGATGACGAATCATTATCTTCCCTTCCTCACGCCGATGCACAGCGCATTCAAGATGTCATGATCCACGCATGGGCCGGCAGCACCCAGGAGGCATATGGAAGTGGCATCCTTGCCTACCATGTATACTGTGACTCAAATTCCATCAACGAAGCCATGCGTGCACCAGCGTCTTCTGAACTCATTTCAGCTTTTATTTCAGACTTAGCCGGATCATATTCAGGGAAAACTATATCGAGTTATGTCCACGGTATTCGTGCATGGCACATCTTACATGGAAAATCATGGTCCTTAGATGACGACAAAATAGATGCCATGCTAAGAGCAGCCAAGAACCTCACGCCCTCGTCATCAAGAAGGAAGAAAAGACCACCTTACACTGTGGCTTTCATAACTAGCATCTTGCAGAAACTAGACCCCAACAACCCTCTCGATGCCGCAGTGGGTAGCTGTCTCACAACAGCCTTTTATTCAATGGCCAGAGCTGGAGAATTCACGGTCCGAACCCTTTCATCATTCGATCCCTCCATTCATGTCAAACGATCCGACATTCGCCATGAAACAGACCGCAATGGGCTCGCGACTACAGTTTTTCATTTGCCCCGCACGAAAACATCGCAAAATGGGGAGGATGTTTTCTGGGCGAAACAAGAGGGCCCTACTGATCCTGAGGCAGCATTATCCAACCATCTCAACATCAACAACCCCCACTTCGATATCGCACTCTTTTCCTATAAGTTCGGCGAGGCACACCGTCCTTTGACAAAAACGAAGTTCATCACACGGCTCGCTCGCGCTGCAAAGGATGCTGGCCTTGACCCGTTGCAAGGCCACGCTATCAGAATAGGCGCCACCTTGGAATACCTCCTCCGAAACATCCCATTCGAAGTCGTCAAGACGATGGGAAGATGGGCCAGTGATGCCTTCCAGATCTATCTTCGAGATCACGCTCAGATTCTCGCACCATACCTTCAAGCAACGCCTGCCATTCAAGATGAATTCCTGCGGCACACAATGCCCCGCATTCGGTGACGGGTTCTTCATGTAAGCATCCATCCTCCTCCTAGTTCTATGGGTATCTTCGGTTCGCTCGATGCGTCGTCGAACTCCTAGACATTTGGGAACCGCAGCTCACCTTTTATCTGGCAGGACACGCAACTCGGGACCGGGAGGCGCTGCGCGCCTTCGCCCAAATCGCTCAGAAATAGGATATGTCGAGGATCGCGAACATCGAATATTCATAGCACGGTAGTCGAGACAATGTTAATGTGATTCTCCAAGCAGAACTGCTCCAAGTGACTCGCAAAGATTGATAGTCTATTATGTAACGAGGAACGAGTGTAGGAATAGAGTTAAGTCTTTGCGCAAGCGTCGGAGGCAGTACGAACCTTCTGACTTCGTACTGCAACGTCGCGCCGTATCGTCTCAGTCGTCCTCAACGACGACGTTCTTCCTCCTTCTCTTTTCCCCACCCACCGCTCCCTTTTCAAACACGCGATGGTTCGTATCAACACTCAAGCATCGCTCATCGCTCTCCCTCTTCGGTGGTCCGGACTGCGCCCGATCCCTGTCATGAGTAGTTCGCGATGGTTTTTCTTTTCCCTCCCACCCTCGCAGCTCACCTTTTATCTGGCAGGACACGCAACTCGGGACCGGGAGGCGCTGCGCGCCTTCGCCCAAATCGCTCAGAAATAGGATATGTCGAGGATCGCGAACATCGAATATTCATAGCACGGTAGTCGAGACAATGTTAATGTGATTCTCCAAGCAGAACTGCTCCAAGTGACTCGCAAAGACAGCTATCGTGACAGTCATTCTGCAACAATTTCATTACATAATGTCCCGAGCTGCGGCGAACCCGGAATTACCACTTTTGCGATATCTCCGAGACTACTATTACTGCGATGCCATCTCATGATCATCGAATTTGCTTCAAATTCTCGTTATTAACGTCTTTTTTACCAACATCATATCCTACTAGTATCCGGTTACTCGCTTCCAGCTATGCCAAGATCGCCTGATTATCCGGGTCCCCCGCATCACGTCGTTCCCCGCTGATATAAAATGTCTCGGATTCATCACTTGGATTAGGCGTGTCTTCACCCATCACAGAGATGCGTCAAGTCCACCTCGCCGTGCTCCTTGGCTTTGCCGCTTTTGCCACAGCTTTGCCATCTCCCTCCATTGATACTCATGATTACAATCATTACGATCGTCGCTCAACCAAAGATGCCAAAGTGCTAATCCTTGGAGGAGGTGTTGCTGGCGTCATTGCAGCGCGCACGTTACACCGCAAGGGCATCGACGACTTTCTGATCGTCGAAGCGCGCGATGAGCTAGGTGGAAGGATGCAGAATTATACTATTGGCGTCCCTGGAAAGCAGTACACCGTCGAAGTCGGTCCTAATTGGATCCAGGGAACGCAAACTGGCAGTGGGCCAGCTAATCCCATTCTGACCCTCGCTCGAAAGCACCACGTCAAGAACCAGTATAATGACCTTGATGGCAGTATCAGTACGTTTACTATTCTACTTTCATCTTATTTTGTCTGTACTCACCACTGGTGAATAGCGACTTACGACTATAATGGGCTCAAAGACTATCGTGACATCTTGGACACGTCAATTGATCAATTCACTCAAATCGTAGCTGATGCAGGTATGGCCTTCTGCAGTTTGTCAGCTGTGCCATGCTCATATGTTCCTTAAGGGGAACGCGTCAAGTTGCAGCAGGTTGACCTCAGCCTTCAAAGCGCGTACGGCATCACCGGTGCAAAACCAAAGAACATATACGAAGCAGCTTGTCAGTATTATGAAGTCGACTGGGTACGTGAATCTTTCCTGTCCATGCCTACCGCGTTCCTAATGTCAAACTCGTCAGGAATGCAAGTTTTCCTTTTCTTAGACGTCTTCATCCTGCTAATCATTGCAACCGCACATCCAATAGATGCACAGGTGCGAGGACTCGATCACGTTGTTGCTTGCGATTCTCACTGTCTCGTATTAGGCCCCAGACCAGAATTCGTGGATAGCATCAGCCTGGGTATTTACATAGTATTCCACTGTGCACCTACCAGCGCCTGACGACCTTACAGAACAATAACTTTACCTTTGATGTTGATATGGGTGGCTTCTCAGACGAGAATAACCTCTGCATCGATCAGCGTGGCTTCAAAACCATCATCCAGGCCGAAGCTGTAGAGTTTCTTCAACCTGAGCAAGTCTCCCTGAATTCTGTTGTCACGACGATTGCATATAGTGGGGATGGGGTGACAGTCACCCTAGAAAATGGTACTGCTCTCACCGCGGACTACGTGCTTTGCACGTTTAGTCTCGGAGTACTGCAATACGGTGATGTCGCGTTTAAACCTGATCTTCCTTCGTGGAAGACGGAGGCCATTCAGAGCATGGTCATGGTATGTTTACTCAATGCTAACATTTTCGACAACTCAACTGTCCCCAGGCTACGTATACCAAAATCTTCTTGCAGTTCGAAGAAAAGTTCTGGTTCGATACTGAGGTACGGATGAATATCGCCGTTAAATATTTCTCTGACATCCAGAATAGATGGCCGTCTATGCAGACAAACAACGGGGGAGGTATCCGATTTGGCAGAGTCTTGACCACGTCAAATTCTTCCCTGGTTCTGGTCTCGTCTTTGTGACTGTCACCGTAAGTCCGCATGATTTTTGTTCTATGCGTTCCTGTGGCTGATTACACGGACATTCAGGGTGATTTCTCACTGCGCATCGAGGGCATGGAAGATTCAGATGTTCAAGAGGAAGTTATGGAAGTCCTCCGAGCCATGTACCCTAACACCACTGTCCCTGATCCTGTCGCATTCCATTTCAAACGCTGGAACGCGGATCCTCTCTTCCGCGGCTCTTACTCCAACTGGCCCCCTTCTTTCCTTCCCGGTCACTCAGAAAACCTGAGGGCTTCGGTAGACAAGAGGCTGTGGTTTGCGGGTGAAGCCACGAGCTTGAAGTATTTCGGTGCGTGTTTTTCCTGAGTGCGGTTCGCTTGTTCATCAGAGCGAAAAAAATTAAATGCAGGTTTCCTTCATGGTGCATATTTCGAGGGGCTGTACGCTGGCGAGGACATCGCAAAGTGCGTTGAGGGTTCTGCATGCACTGGACGGGAGCATTTGAATAGTGTGGTTGATGCTTCCCCCTATCCCTTCGTGTCCATCACGCCTTAGGTGTTTAAATTCGAGTCATGTTGTTGTTGGATTGTTTGGTATCGTTTTCGAGCACCATCAGTAATTAACTCTTCATGTCAAGAACGACCCTCATCATTTGTCTGGCCTACATTTTTTATGGCCAATTATTGTCCTATTAAGAAATACTTCTCTGCAGGACATTACAGTTTAGTCTACAGGACCCCAGTGTCCTTTTTCATCTCCTGATTCACGAATGCTCTGGTGTGGGGCGTCCTCCCACCAGTCCGCCGTTCCCGCCGACGGCCTACATGATATATATGCGCACCTTCACGACTCGTAGAATGTTTTGCGATACGGTTCTAGAATCTACTTGTCAGTCACCGGTACCGGTCAAAATTGGAATGACCTCATTCTTGCAGTAGTTGTGAGACACGGTCATCTTGATACGGTCTCGCCCGCAATCGGATCGTCGGATGTCTCACAATTGTTCCGTTGTCAGTGCACGTATAAAAGCTGCCCTCTGCTAATACTTCCACTTCATCTCTCTCCACTTCCTTTGTTTCACTCGTTTGACGTTTAACTTCATAGTACATCACGCTTTGCTTGCGGTGCTCGACGACTCGAGGCGAACCCAAACTACGAAAACCCAAATTACGAACTTGGTACGATCTAACCGATCTCAGCGAGTATGCGAATCGGACTACTTGGACTTACTCTGGCACGAGGTTGGTTGACTTGCGTTTGAAGATTCGAAAGGCCCAGTGACTCGATCTCCGATGCTGCGTCTTAATACTCTGCCATTCGAACCACGCACTTGGTACGATCTAGTACTAAACCGATTTCGAGTATGCGAACTCGACTCAGACTAGTGACCTGTATTTGCTCTGGCACGAAATTGGGTAACCTTGGTTCGAGTTCGAGGGATAGGACCGCATTTCTTCGGTGGGCTTTTACGACTTTGACAGGGGTTCGATGTCTCGATCACTTCCTGAAAACGACTGTTGAGCTCAACTTGAAGCTTGTCGATCTCTTGAACGGTCTCTGCTTCTCGATACTTTTCTCATATGGATTTCCTTTGCTTCTGACTTTCCTGGATCTTATCACAGTCGGACCGCTTAACCTCTCGATCGAGTCTCGATGACCACCGACTATGGCACGATTGACTCATCAAGTTATTGCTTACTGGTCGCGGATAAACTTCACGCCTTTTGCATTTGCCTCGAGATGTCCTTACGACCCATACTACGATCTCGTTAACGCAGCATTTCTTGGAACCTTCAAGCAGGTTTTAAGGTTCCCTTCCAGCTCCGATCGACCTCGAGTTTCGCTTTGGACGCTGACTGGCCCTGCGGGTTACATTCGATCGGACCGTCACTTTCACTCTCACTTGCCGTCAGACTTTGCTCTTGGGCGATGATGCTTATGGCACTTCCCTTACTCAGCATGCTGACCACAATTCATGTTCAACAGTCCAACACCTGCTGCTTTGTACACCATCATTCCGCCTTGATTCCGCTCCTCTATTAATCCGAGTCCCGCCCCTTCATGTATATGGATTGCCACTAGTGCGATATTGTATGTATTCGGACATGGACCCGCTTGGTTCGTACGATGCACAGGATCCTAGTCCTTCAACTTGAAGTTAACCCTAGGTCGCAGGGCATTGATCCTGCTCTTTCAAAGCCGAACTGAATCCATTTCGATTGAAGACGTTCGACAAATTGCCCACATCACACCCAGTTCTACGGCCCGCCTTTTTCCTAAATATCTTTAAGCAAGCCCATAACCTTTTCCCCAAAGAAAGTAGTTATCACCACAAACCTCGCCTCTGCTGCCAAAAAAGGACTTTTTCTCACCTTCAATGGTCGAGCATCTGATCGAGGCTTTACATACCATGCCAACGACCATACTGCACCGACGTGAAAGGAGAAACATGTCTCCCTGCCACACTGATAGTACAAGTTTAGGGCGCAAGTGTTCATCCTATAGATGTTCGGTTTCCCTTGCTTGGTAGTAGAGACTGCACTGAGTTAAGTTTACAACATTTCACAGGTAAGGTTGTTACATATACATGTTCCTATATACATTCTAGAATTATTCCTAAGAGATCGTCTGGTGTCCGAGTATGTGGTAAAATGGTACAGTGTGCGAAATTGCAATACGAGCTCAAATCTATAATGATGATCCTACAGTCCGAATACAAACGAGAAATGCAAACTTGTCTTAGTACATCGAAGCAAAATCTCCGCGAACCGGTTGCTCCAACCTCTTGTACCAATCCCAATAAGACTCCGCAGCGTCAAATTTGGAAGTAGAAGGTGCAGGTACAACTGAATCAAGGGCTGAGTATCCATGATCGGGGAATGCAAGAGAGACCGGTGAGCCAAAAAGGTCCATGTCATCTTCCCCCTCTTGATCGGTAATCGGTACGAGGGGCATACCAGAGGGTTGCTGGGGTGTGGAGTGTTGTTCATGTGGTGCCTGGACACTGGATCCCACATCGGACAGGGATATAATGTTCTGCGTGAAGGGCGTAACCTTCTGAGTCGTAGAGCTCAGTTTTGGGGCCTGAACAAGTGATTGCGCAGCGGGGCCAGAAAGAGTGTCTGACTCGGGTACAAACGGGGGTGGGGTTTGCTGGGCCGCCTGTCCAGGTCCTGTCGCTTGAAACGTGAATGGTCCTTGAGGTACGTTGACCGGGGGCGATACCGCGAAGGTTCCGGTGGCCAAATTCGTGGGTGGGACAACACAAGATTTTTCCTGGTTCCTGGAACATTGGTCAGATTTGGCATGACGCTTGAGTCCATCACCGCGACTGAAACTAGTAAAAATAGATATCTCAGCCCCAAGTCACATTTGAAAGTAGCAGGGTACTCACTAGTGGCCACAGCCTAGACACAGCAAGCGATTGGTTCGCTTCTGATGCCTGTTGGTTTGTTTATGCTTGTGTACGCTGCATTCCTTCAGGTATATCTCTACGCAGTGCTCTTTCAAGCATTTGTACATGACTTTCCCTTCCTTGACGACCCGTTGCTGATGAAACAGCCGTCAGCGGGATGGTGAGAACCAAAGAAATAAAATCGGCTCACAAATTCTGGATCGTTATCAGGGCGAATGCGGGAATTTTTCTGTTGCTTCTTTCGTACCGCCCCATCACTATTCACTGCCTTGCGCTTGGTACGCTGCACCGAGCTGCCTTCAGCTGTGCAATTGGATGGCGCTTGGTGCGCAACTCCCTGGTCGAAACGTTGGTCGCAACTGGTTGCTTGTATTTGAGATTGCACCACGGAGGAGGCAGGGGGGTGCTGCTGCATGATCGGCGCCTGAAGGTCTTTCAGTGAGTGCAAAGCCGGCCAATGTTTCACCCCCTCTGGGAGTGCAGGCAGCTGCGCTTGCATGACCGGAGCGTCAAAAATGGCGGCTGCCTGCACTGACGGAGGGATCATGCTGTCGTAAGGTGGGAATGAGGCCATACACGGCTGATGGGAATAAGTGTTAGGTGTGGGAGCAACACTTGCAGGCCCCGCCGTCATTTGCATAGATTGTCCATATTGTATACCACCAGCACCGAACGTGGAAGACATTTCATAGTCTGCCTTGGGAGCCGGTCTAGGCGGAACAAAGTTTTGATTGATATACAAGTCCAGAGGGTATGCTTGGAAACGTGACTGAGGCAGAAGCTGGGCATGAAGCTCCGGCTCATGCTGGCGAAAGTCTTGCGTTCCCCGAATCGGGTATGGCTGCCATCGATTATCAACATTTTTCTGGGGACGCGGGGTCTTGCTGCGTTGACGAGCAGTGTCAAAATTATAGTATTCGGGCGCATTGTCTAGAGTTTTCAACGCGAAGGAGTTTGGGCCCATCTGAGCTTGACGTTGGTCTGTCATTGAATCGGATTGAGAAGGTAAAGAGGTAGTGTGTGTTGCAGTCTTTGTCTATGGTAGGACCGTGCAAGTGACAGAATATGAAGGATGTTTAAACACTTGGATGTGGAAGAGAAGATGCGATTTGTGGTGAAGATGAGGAAAGGGATGTAGGACCGCTATTTAAATTGATGGGAAGCCCGCTTCAAGTAAATAAAGCGGAGGACTTACGCTGCGGTGCGTCCCTCCCCTTTCATTCGCGTCCTGGTCCAACTTGTTGCCCAGGCAAAGCGGTCAGAGCACACGAATTGGTGTCATACAAAGGGATGCATCCGCCATCCTTTCACGCGCAGATTCTGTCAACGGATAATAGTAGACCATCCGGATATCCCCCCGTACGACTGGGTGCATGTTCAATTCGATCGTTGATGGTCAAATTTCAGAAGGCTCGGAAGCTTTCTTCCTGCGAGAAGATGAGTTATTTATGAACAATATTAAACGCGACGCGCTGGAACTGAATCATAGAGTGCTTTCCCCTTTAATTGTGCATGTCGATAAATTTTCCTGCGTGAATAGGACTTGTCATATGCTCCAGATGCTGCCGGGAATCATCGGCATCATACTTGAAAATCTGATTGACAAAACTTATCAATACAAAACCATCAGACAGGGGATCGCATGCTTATGGATACGAATAAGAAATATCATGTCCAACTAGAAGGATGTGTCTCTCCAAGCGCCTAAGTCAAGGGATTAAGACCGCCTCGCACCTGCGGAATTTTCGTTAGCGCTGCTAATCGACTTGGTATTTGTTTAACTTGAAAAATAATTTGTAGAAACACATTGTCTCCCCGCCGTGGGCTTGGGCATTCCACGTGTCAAAGCACATATGAAAGTTCAATGAAACAGGACAAATGCAATATAAAGGGGCTGCACTAGCCAACCTCTATCGCTCCCGGGCGTGGCGCGTTTTCTAAGCGTCCACAGCGTCAGGGTGCACAGAGAATGATATTCTCGGACGAGACTTAGTCGATCTTTGCAAAAACGGAGTCTGGGATGAAGGGGGAATGTCGCCGATATATAGACTGGAATGTATTTATGTCATCTATCCAGATGATGCATTCTTGGTCGTATACTTTCAGCTCTGTGGAAGAATGTAGTCTAAACGGAGACACACCTCAAGATGCCTCAGTGCCTATGCCAAAGAAGTGGTCTCCATTAAAGGTGATGTGAACCAATGATGTGCTGTTTCATGACGGCGAAGTACAGGGTTCTTTTGACTGGTGCACTTACTACGAGGGGTTGGATGCTGTTGAATGTCAAGGAGGATAGTGTTTCAAGATAATGTATTCAGACGGAGGATGCGCTGGACTTCCACATGCGAATGGCTAGATGGTAAACCCTGTCTGATATCATACTTGGGTGAGCCATTCTCTGGTCATAATGGATGTCGGTCAAGACTCGTTGGAACAAGTCTCACTTGCTTAGTCAGCATCAGGTTGTTGGTTCGCTTGAACGGGCAATTCAGATTTCAGAACTCAACTTGTTACTTGAACGTGCACCCTTCACGGTGGCTCACTCGTACTTCAATGTCTTGCGGTTGGATTCTACTTGTCGGTCACCGATTGACTGGTCAAGATTGGAATGAATCATCCAAGCTAGCTGCTCGGATGTCTCACAATTGCAATTTCTCAACGCCCATAAAAGGCTGTAGCCTCTCTTATTGGTGAACTCCTTTTGACCTCCAACTTCACACTGTATTCAAGCTATATTCGCGGTATACAATAAGATGGCCCGAACCACTGTGACGATCTAATCTATTTTGACCATGCGACTTGGACTACCCGGACTTGCTCTGACGTGAGGTTGGATTCAAGTTCGAGTGAGAGGACTGTGTCACTCACGACTCTCCAATGAGCCTTTTTGACTGCGACGGTCGGGTCTTGGGTCGAACTATCTTTTGTTCCGAGTCGATGGCATCTCTTGAAATCGACTCGTTCCTCCAACTTAAATCGTGACCTTGTCTTCTCCTAGTCTATCTCCACTTCTCATCGCTATCTTGACTTTCTTGCTTCCAAACCATCCTGGATCTCACCACATCTCGCAGTCCGCTTGCAATTGTCCTCACGATTTCCCTACTGGCGACGACGGGTAACTGCCCCGCTGGGTAAACCTTGGCCATTTACCCTGAGATGTCAATTTTTCATGACCACTCGTCACGATCTCGTTTGAGCAATATCTATTGCTAATTCAGCCAGGCGCTCATGGTCCCTTCGACCTCCGATCGACCTCCACCCCTCTGGCTCTGTGCTTTCAATCGAAATATTGCTTATCCTTTCTTTCGATGGACTTTGTTCTTGGGCGATGATGGCTTCGACCCTCTCCCCGAAATGCTTACTACTGGATCAGACTCCCACTTCGCATGCCCCTTGCCGTTTTCCACTTTCAGTCTTGGTAATGAATTGGTCCTTGACATCTCCCTCAATTTACTGTGCGCGTTATCAAGAATGATGGCATCTCTGCTGCGAGGCGTAATTAGCTAGAAGTTTCGATCGACACCACTCCCATGGTTGCTGTCCCAGGAGATTTCAATTCGACAACATATCAACCTTTTTCGACGTTCACACTTTCCATGACTTCCGGTGTAAGATCCTACTTGCTAACATCTCAATCGAAAGGATCGACTTGGATTTTACTGGCTTCCGCGAATGGCAATTCACATTCACGCGCTCGTATGGGGTTGGTCCCTAGCGCATGACTCTTGTTTTTGAGCACTTTTCTATATTGCGGACCTGCGGTACCAATGGTGAGTTTCAAACCTCCGCTCTCACGGTTACATCTCCAACTACCAATGACAACCTCCAGGGTGCCAATTACTGTCGTCGGTGCCTAGACTGGCTCATTCCGCTGTTTTCTTTCACATTTTCTCATCTTGGATATATTCTCTGGTATATAACTTACCGGCTCTTCCTCGACTGCGCACTGGATACCTTGTGACTTGTATGAGCGTTGGGTCCTGGGACTTACAAATGGTGAGATCTAATATCATATATGCCGTCGACCAGTTTAAATATTGTTCTACAGCATGGTGCATCACGCTTTGCTTGCGGTGCTCGACGACTCGAGACGACCCCAAACTACGAACTTGATGCGATCTCGAGTATGCGGCTTGGACTACTTGGACACACTCTCGCACGAGGTTGATTGGCTTGCGTTCGAGGTTTCGAAAGAAAGGCCCAGTGACTCGATCTCCACTACTGCATCTTAATGCTCTGTCATTCGAACCACGCACTTGGTACGATCTACTAAACCGATTTCGAGTATGCGATCTCGACTCAGACTACCTGTATCTGCTCTAGCACGAGATTGGGTAACGGTTCGAGTTCGAGAGATAGGACTGCGTTTCTTCGGTGAGCTTTTACGACTTTGACAGGGATGAGATGTCTCGATCACTTCCTGAAAACGACTGCTGAACTCACACTTGTCGATGATCTCCTGGACGATCTCTCTATCTCGATACTTTGCTCATCTGAATTTTCTTTGCTTCTGGCTTTCCTGTATCTTATTACATATCACAGTTGGACCGCTTGACCTCTCGATCGAGTCTCGATGACCACCGACTATGGTACGATCAACTCAACGAATTATTGCTTACTGGTCGCGCGTAAACTTCACGCCTTTTGCATTTGCCTCGAGATATCCCTACGACTCATACTAGGATCTCGTTAACGCAGCATTTCTTGCAACCTTCAAGCAAACTTTTACGTTCCCTTCGAGCTCCGATCGACCTCGAGTTTCGCTTTGGACGCTGACTGGGCCTGCGGGTTACATTCGATCGAACTTTTATTTTCACTTTCACTTGCTGTCAGACTTTGCTTTTGGGCGATGGCGGCTTTGACTCTTCCCTTACTCTCAGCATGCTGACTACGATTCATGTTCAACAGTCCAACACTGCCTCCTGCTATCATTGCACCTTGATCCCGCTCCTCTATTAATCCGAATCCCGTCTCTTCGTGTACATAGATTCCCACTAGTGCGACACTGCGACATTGTATAGCATTCGCACCTTAGCCCGCCTAGTTCGTACGACGCACGGTATCCTAGTGCCTCGTAAATTCTAGGTCGCAGAGCATGGGTCTCGCCCTTTCAAAGCTGAACCGAGGCCATTTCAATTGAGTTTCCTAAAGATATTTAAGCAAGCCCATAATCTTTTCCCCAGAGAAAATAGATATCACCCTCACTGCCTAATCGCCACAAACTTCGCCTTTGCTGCCAAAAAATGACCTCCTCCCACCTTCAATGGTCGAACATCCAATCGAGGCTTTACACACCATGCCATCGACTCTACTATGTCGACGTGAAAGGAGAAACACGTCTCGCTGCCACACTGGTGTAGTACAAGTGCGCAGGTGGTCATCCTATAGATGTTCGGTGTCCCTTGCTTGGTGGTAGAGATTGCATTGAGTTAAGTTTACAACGTTTCACAGGTAAGGTTGTTACATATATATATTCTAGAATTATTCCTAAGAGATCGTCTGGTGTCTGAGTATGTGGTAATATGATACAGTGCGAAATTGCAGTCCGAATACTAACGAGAATATGCAAACTTGTCTTAGTACATCGAAGCGAAATCTCCGTGAACCGGTTGCTCCAATCTCTTGTACCAATCCCAATAAGACTCCACAACGTCAAATTGGGAAGTAGAAGGTGCAGGTACAACTGAATCAAGGGCTGAGTATCCGTGATCGGGGAATGCAAGAGAGACCGGTGAGCTAAAAAAGCTCATGTCATCTTCCCCCTCTTGATCGGTAATCGGTCACGAGGGGCATACCAGAGGGTTGGTGGGGTATGGAGCGTTGTTCATGTGGTGCCTGGACACTGGATCCCACATCGGGCAGAGATAGAATGTTCTGCATGAAGGGCGTAACTTTCTGAGTCGTAGAGTTCAGTTTTGGGGCCTGAACCACTGGTTGCACAGCGGGGCCAGAAAAAAAGTTCGACTCGGGTACAAACGGGGGTGGGGTTTGCTGGGCCGCCTGTCCAGGTCCTGTCCTTTGAAAGGTGGATGGTCCTTGAGGACCGTTGACTTGGGGCGATACCGCGAAGGTTCCGGTGGCCAAATTCGTGGGTGGGACAACACAAGATTTTTCCTGGTTCCTGGAACATTGGTCAGATTTGGCATGACGCTTGAGTCCATCACCGCGACTGAAACTAGTAAAAATAGATATCTCAGCCCCAAGTCACATTTGAAAGTAGCAGGGTACTCACTAGTGGCCACAGCCTAGACACAGCAAGCGATTGGTTCGCTTCTGATGCCTGTTGGTTTGTTTATGCTTGTGTACGCTGCATTCCTTCAGGTATATCTCTACGCAGTGCTCTTTCAAGCATTTGTACATGACTTTCCCTTCCTTGACGACCCGTTGCTGATGAAACAGCTGTCAGCGGGATGGTGAGAACCAAAGAAATAAAATTGACTCACAAATTCTGGATCGTCATCAGGGCGAATGCGGGAATTTTTCTGTTGCTTCTTTCGTACCACCCCACCACTATTCACTGCCTTGCGCTTGGTACGCTGCACCGAGCTGCCTTCAGCTGTGCAATTGGATGATACTTGGTGCGCAATTCCCTGGTCGAAACGTTGGTCGCAACTGGTTGCTTGTATTTGAGATTGCACCACGGAGGAGGCAGGGGGGTGCTGCTGCATGATCGGCGCCTGAAGGTCTTTCAGTGAGTGCAAAGCCGGCCAATGTTTCACCCCCTCTGGGAGTGCAGGCAGCTGCGCTTGCATGACCGGAGCGTCAAAAATGGCGGCTGCCTGCACTGACGGAGGGATCATGCTGTCGTAAGGTGGGAATGAGGCCATACACGGCTGATGGGAATAAGTGTTAGGTGTGGGAGCAACACTTGCAGGCCCCGCCGTCATTTGCATAGATTGTCCATATTGTATACCACCAGCACCGAACGTGGAAGACATTTCATAGTCTGCCTTGGGAGCCGGTCTAGGCGGAACAAAGTTTTGATTGATATACAAGTCCAGAGGGTATGCTTGGAAACGTGACTGAGGCAGAAGCTGGGCATGAAGCTCCGGCTCATGCTGGCGAAAGTCTTGCGTTCCCCGAATCGGGTATGGCTGCCATCGATTATCAACATTTTTCTGGGGACGCGGGGTCTTGCTGCGTTGACGAGCAGTGTCAAAATTATAGTATTCGGGCGCATTGTCTAGAGTTTTCAACGCGAAGGAGTTTGGGCCCATCTGAGCTTGACGTTGGTCTGTCATTGAATCGGATTGAGAAGGTAAAGAGGTAGTGTGTGTTGCAGTCTTTGTCTATGGTAGGACCGTGCAAGTGACAGAATATGAAGGATGTTTAAACACTTGGATGTGGAAGAGAAGATGCGATTTGTGGTGAAGATGAGGAAAGGGATGTAGGACCGCTATTTAAATTGATGGGAAGCCCGCTTCAAGTAAATAAAGCGGAGGACTTACGCTGCGGTGCGTCCCTCCCCTTTCATTCGCGTCCTGGTCCAACTTGTTGCCCAGGCAAAGCGGTCAGAGCACACGAATTGGTGTCATACAAAGGGATGCATCCGCCATCCTTTCACGCGCAGATTCTGTCAACGGATAATAGTAGACCATCCGGATATCCCCCCGTACGACTGTGTGCATGTTCAATTCGATCGTTGATGGTCAATTTTCAGAAGGCTCGGAAGCTTTCTTCCTGCAAGAAGATGTATGAGTTATTTATGAACAATATTAAACGCGACGCGCTGGAACTGAATCACAGAGTACTTTCCCCTTCAATTGTGCATGTCCATGAATTTTCCTGCGTGCATAGGACTTGTCATATGCTCTAGATGCTGCTGGCAGTCATCGGCATCATACTTGAAAATCTGATTGACAAAACTTATCAATACAAAACCATCAGACAGGGGATCACATGCTTATGGATACGAATAAGAAATATCATGTCCAACTAGAACGATGTGTGTCTCCAAGCGCCTAAGTCAAGGGATCACACGAGCAAATGTCAAGGTGTATTTTCAAGTCAATGACGACGAGTAACCCAGTTCCGTGAATTGATATGTAAATGCAGTGTCCATCACGGACGATGATGAGACCGCCTCGCACCTGCGAGATCTTTGTTAGCGCTGCTAATCGACTTGGTATTTGTTTAACATGAAAAGTAATTTGTAGGAACACATTGTCTCCCCGCCGTGGGCTTGGGCATTCCACGGGTCAAAGCACATATGAAAGTTCAATGAAACGGGACAAACGCAATATAAAGGGCTGCACAAGCCAACCTCCATCATTCTCGGGCGTGGCGCGTTTTCTAAGCGTCCGCAGCGTCAGGATGTGTGGAGAATGATATTCTCGGACGAGACCTCATCGATCTTTGTAAGAACGGAGTCTGGGATGAAGGAGGAATGTCGTCGATGAATAGACTGGAATGTCTTTATGTCATCTATCCAGATGATGCATTCTTGGTCATATACTTTGGGGCCGAATGTCAGCTCTATGGAAGATTGTAGTCTAAACGGAGACACACCTCAAGATTTTACAGCCCAGGCTTCCGGTGTTCGGCACGCATACTAGTATGTATGGTAATGTCAACCTTGAATTCTTGGGGCGGGCACATGGTCTCAGCGTCAGAGAAACGCCCAAATACTGGAAATTGACATTGTGAGTTCTTAAGGTGGTTGATGTGTGGACGAACAAAAATGGCGCTGGATCACGTGCGCCCGCACAACTGATCGATCCGCGATCTGCATCAGCATACCATTGACCATGATGGGAATGCTTGATGTGCTAAATGCCCGAGGCTTGCCGTTGCTGTCGGTGAACTATTCTTTCTCTCCATGCCCCGCGATTTCGCTCCCTCCGTCTCGCGTACTACAAAATGTATTCTGCTGCTCTGCTCCGTATATGCACTGCGCTCGAAGAGCTGCTAATTTACCATGTGCCCACACATTTTCCACCAGCACTCGACCTACCACCCAATATCAAACACCTTTCTTTCAGAAATCCCAATCACACATACCACAACACGCTCCAGCCTACCATCAAAGCAGTGGACGTGCTTCCAAGCCTTAAAGTCCTAACGTGTGACAAGAACGCGGAGCAGCTGGTCAGAGGTTATGAGATATTGAGGACGAATCATCTGGGCGGAGTATGAAAACTTGTCGGCGTGTCTGGATTGTCCGGGTGTACGTGATGTATTGTCATCCCTCGCCACCTGCATGTCTAATCCCAAAGCACGGTCGTGGGCGTCCGAAAGGTGCTAAGAACCAGCCTGGGGCGAAAAATGTTGGACGGCCCCGCAAAAATGGGCAGCTCAGCCTAGAATAAAAGTACACGCGGTCCGCTTTTTTGTTGGTATCGCAAGGCGGTTGTGTGCTAAACTCGCATCTTGAAGTAGTTGTGAGGCAGTACTTAAACCTGACAAGTCGCATCCCGTCATGTCGTAGTCACGGCTCACCCTGTACAGTGACATTATCGATGGCGAGGAGTCCGTAGGATACTAGCCGCCGATGCCTGCGAAGCTTTTGCTGCTCGTCCGCGTCGAGGCCGAGCCAACGTGCACATCCGAGTCAGCGCTAATAGCCGCTTAGTAAGCACTGCTAAGCAGTGCACTCGCAGCATTAAGCTTTCAAACCGTGACGCGTGACGACTCATCTGTCTGCAGGTCATCTGCAGGCCGGAGCTTGGGCACATACGACTAGGCCAGAAGAATTTATTGCCAATGACGAGGATCTTGCTTCGATTTCAAAGCGAAGAATGTTAATATTAATTCAGCAGAGGCTGGTCCTGCGATGAGATCATTGGTGATGACATTGTTCTGACCAGCTGACCCGCATGAACAGATGACCTAGTACTTGACTGAGCATACACCGCTGCTTCGATGTTAGGTAAGATGGAATCACCAACCTCGCATCGCCTCGCCCAAGTATTATGGTGGATGGAATTAGAGGGCCACGGCGAGGCTACGCCTTCTGGTCCAAAGGTTTGTCACGCATTGCCTTCGACAGATTATCTATGTCATCTATTAACTATGTCATGGTCCCAGCTGATGCACATTGAGTGACACTTTTATTTCGGAGGGCGCACGATAGCCGTATCTAGGACCCACAACTTCTAGATCACAGTCAGATCTGTGCCCAGACACCGTAGAGACTCCTCACTATTTTATCTTCTCGTGTTTGCTTCCGAGCAAGGAACCATTGATATCCGCACTATACACCAGACAGGGGTTGCCTGGAGGTTTAAAAGCAAGACTCAATGCCTGCTTAACAGTCATCACACCAACGACCTTCTACCAATGTGAGTCACAGTTAGCAACACATCCACAGTTGATTATATTCATCTTCTCGCGTTGTAGCAACAATGTCAGACCTTCTGCCCACCAACTTCGTCGGTACCGCTTCGGCTGCCGTGCAGAGCACAGACGGGAATTGTCGGGTCTACTTTCAGCACAAAGACTATAATATCTACCAAATGATGTTGACCGACCCAACAAGCACTAGCTATAGCCTCCAGAATCTCATCAATTCTCCTATGCCCGCTGCCCGTATCAACACGCCCATCGCAGCCATATCGTGGAATGAGCTGCAAGAGGTACAAGTTTTCGACGCTAGCCCTTCCATACCCCGCAATCTCACTCTCACTTCATCATGACAGATCCGCGTGTATTACATCACTACCGATAGTCAGGTGCAGGAGATGTACTTCTCCAAAAGTGGTGGTATGCACAAAGGCCAGGTCTTGGGCACCGCGGTTGAGAGCAGCGCCTTCTTGTATGCGCAAATCGCAGTCAAGCCTCGGATTGTGGTCAGGGTTGGGTTCCAGTCAGCCACTGATCCCAAGACTATCACCGAAGCTGTGTGGGACAATGGGTGGAAGAACCGTGTGCTCTAAATTGGGAACCAATGTTAGCATGGGCTCCCGTGTTGAAGATACGGTATACGGGATCAATTTCAGTACTTGGCACAAATGTTGTATATGTAGTGTAACCATGTCTTAAGCCAATAGCTTGTCGTCCACTCGCGTGCCCTCTCCACCTCTATTGCATCTTGTGATGGAAGCCGATTCCTATTTTGTATGCAATAAATATAAACGACTTTATGCCTCCCTTGTGTAAGTAGCCCCCGAAGCTTTTGTTGCTCATCAAGGCAGGCCGGGCACTGGCCGGGCCCAAGGGTAGTCGACGCGTTAATAGCCGCTTAGTCAGCACTCACAGCTTTGTCGCGTTCAAACCGTGACGCATCTATCTGCGGGTCATCTGTAGGCTGTCACTTTCCTCATGGTATGGTATGTTTTTATTGTTGCATCGTACACCAGCTGAAGGCCCAAAGTCAGCACTTTTCAACTTTCAGTCCCTGCTTTTGGTCATCTTATTGATGATCTGCACTTGCACCTACGTTCGCGCAGTTGCCCCACGTCTGGTCGATAGAAACAAGGAAGGGTATGTTGCTCTTATTGACTGGAAGGGTGTCCATGAATGCTGAGACAGTAAACAGTTTCCTTGGACTATTCTTTATGTCTGCGCGCATAGGTACGTTCTGATACTTGCAATTTCCTGCCGGCTTCCTGAAGAACAGCCCTCACACAACATATCTACAGGAGAACGCCTCTCCCCATACGTCGCATTAGCATGCATAGCCATGGCGGTGACAATGATCGCACAGTAATTATACAGGATTATATTATGTGTACAGTGATGAAGTTGACCTATTCGCCGTCCGCTCGACTACCGACGTGCCATCACGGAACCGTGTTCGAAACAGTACGTTTGCATTCGTGAATAGGCCCTCTTTCAGTGAAACGACTATAAATTGAGAGCCCTTGAAACGAGTTCGGAATAGGTGGCCAATATGCTGGGTATGGGAGAGGTCGAGAGCGGCATCGATTTCATCAAGAATGTACATGGGCGCCGGCTTGAATTGGAGAAGGGCCATAATGAGAGAAAGCGCGATCAAGGAGCTGTGAAATACTCGTCAGTCACAATATCTTACCGACAACTCTTTCGTACCGTTGCCCACCACTCAGTTCGGTGAGACTTTGCTTCCAAACAGTCCCCAGTTGTACTTTCACCTCAAGTCCCTGCATTAAGTCTTGACCTTCTGGAGGCTGAAGTTTGGCGAAGTTGCCAGGTAGCAGTTCGGCAAAGATGCCACCAAAGTCACTACAAAAGTGGATGAGTGGTGATGGGCTGACGGTGAAGGAATCATCATACCCGTTCACTTTCTCCCATGTCTTCTGGAGGGCATCACGCTTATATCGATCCAGCTCCTCTATGGTGTCTTCGATCTTTTCTTTGTCCTTCAGAACTGTCGCCAACATCTTCTTGAGGTCCAATTCCTTCTTCTCGACACTAGTCACAATTCATTCAAATCAAATCAGTATCTTGCTGAAAAGACTTACGTGTCAATCATGTTCATGACCTTCGGGTTGACTTTCTTTTTCATCCCCTTCTGTTTCTCTTCAAGCTCGTCCGCCTTGGCTCGTAACGAGGGCATATCTTGATCAAACTCATACTGTGAGCCGGGTTTGCCAAACGACCTTCGAGAAAGTCAAGTATATTCAAAAAAGAGCAAGGGATTACCCACTGGTATTCATCCCGAATCCACTCATGCTGTTTCTCCAAGTCGGTCACAAATTTGGCCTGCGTGACTTTGTCCTTTTCAAGTGCGACAACATCGTGTTCCAACTTTTTCAGCTCGATTTCCGCGTCAGATACTCCCTTCTTCTGCTCACGAATGGCATTCTCCAGGTCCTTGAGCTCGTTGTCGAATTGAGTCAGCGTTGCCCGTTCCTCCTGAAGCTTGTGCTCCGCTCTTGCATGGTCCGCCTAAGTTGCATGAAAAGGATCTGCCAGGACGCCGGAATTGCAGAGAATCGTACCTCGTGCTTGGCAAGCTTAGTATTGAGCGCTGCCATGTCCTTGTGAAGCTTGGCGATTTGAGTGTGAGCACCTTTGATGCTGTCCTCAGCCTCCTTGATATCCTTTTCCATTTGTTCTAGGAGTCATTAGCGAGCAGAATAAGAAATTGAAAAGCTTTCCTACCAAGCTCGAGTACTGCAGTTTGATGTTCCTTGTGCTGCGTCTTTACCACAACAGCTTGTTTCTGAAGAGCTGCCTTCTTCTTGCTAATATCGGCCTGCATAGCTGGTCAGCGTGCTAGAAGGAAGGATGAAAGGAGTACTCGCCTTCAATTCATTGATCTTGCCTTCTTTGTTGTTTTTGAACTCGTCCATGTCCTTTTCAAGCTTACTGCACTCCTCCTTGGCGGCTTTTTGTTTCTCCTTGGCTGCCTGGACAGCCAATTTTAAAGCATCAATTGTCTTCTTCAGATTTTCTACCTCAGCACCGAGCTAGACGACATTGGTTATTAAATATTGAACTGAATGAATGATGACGATGACTGCACTCACCCTTACAGCGTTGCTCCCTTCTGCTTGCTGCTCCAAAAGACTGACTTCGTGCAGCTTGATGTCGAGTTCGCGAGTGAATTTTCTCCACGATTCTTTCTTCTCTCGATTGGCCGCTTCTGCTCTTTCAAGTTCACTCAAACGAGACTGTGCCTCTCCCAGCTTGCGCTCTGCCTCGAGGAGTTCCTGCACCCTTAGCAGTGTGCCGCTTCCGCTTGGAGCTGCTCCTCCACTAAGCGTACCAGAAGGGTCGTACAGGTCGCCGTTCAAGGTGACAGACCTAACCTTTGCACCGAATGTGACCGCATTGGCGGCTTCAGCGTCCTCGCAGACGATGGTGTCTCCGAAGACAAACGCCATGGCGCGAGCCACTTCTTCTGGGTAGCCAATGAGCGATAGTGCCAGGTTAGCTTTACCCGGTGCAAGCTGATCAACCTGCGCCAATCTCTGGTGAAAAAATAAGCATCCTTCCTTCACTAGCTGAGCCAATAAGATACGCACTTGAGCATTTAAAGCGAATGAATTTATTTTGTTCAGTGGAATGATGGTGACGCGCTTCTTCAGCTTTCCGTTCTGGAGGAGGTCCTTGCCAACTTTCTCATCTTCAACGACGACGTTGTAGAGCTTGCCTCCGGCAACGATTTCTAGCGCCTGTGATTTGTTCTGGTGCTGGGGAGGGATCGAGGTCAGGTTAGCAACCAACCCCTTCACCTTGGTGCGGTCGAAATTCGGGTATGGCATCGAGTAATCAAAGTTCAATGACGATAAGCGTTGTTTGATTGCATCGCGTCCCTGCATGACCGTTATATATAGACATAAAATAGAGCATAGAACATACCTCGGTAAACTGCCGGACCTGTCCCCTCGCGGTCGCTAGGGAGACTTGGCTTTCTTGCTCTTGTTGGGCGCTCCAACCACAGTCGGCGATCTTGCGTTTGAGCTTCTCGGCTTCCGTCCGCATGTTTTCCATATTACGCTTCCCTTGGCCCGCTTCCTTCTCCACATCCTTCCACTTTGCTTCCAATGCCTTCAGCTCCTTCTCACTCATATTGAGTTTCACGCGATTCTGCTCTTCCTCAGCCGACCCTTGGGCCATGCGGGCTTTTGCGTCTGCAAGCTGACCCATGTAGCCACCTCCAGAGTTCCCGGTGTTGCTCGATGACAGACCAGTGAGCAGCGTCTGCAGTAGCTCCTCTGATTTCGAGAGCGATCCTTGCGTGTCGTTGTGCTTCGCTTTAACGGACATATAAGACGATTCGAGTTCTTGGGCCTGGGCACGCCTTTCCTCCAGAGATTTAAGGAGCTCTTGTAGCTCTGCCTCGGCACTGGCGACGCTTTTGTTTTCGTCGGTGATGTTACCGTTCGCAAGGTCGACTTGGGTTCGAACTTTCACCAGCTCCTTTGCCAAGAGCGTTACCTCCTCCTCCATCTTCTTGAACCTACCACCTTTCTTCCGCTCTGCTTCCCGTTTCGCGTTGACCTCCTGCGTCTCCTTCTCGGCTGCCTTCATCTCCTTGATAAGCTTCTTCTTCCGCTTCTCTGTCGTTTCCATCTCTGCTTTCTTGTTCTCGATATCATCTTGCGCCTTCTCTACCCTCTTATTGGCGGCTGTCCATTCCCAAGCACGCAGTTTCCTGCCAATCTTCTCCAGTTCCGTCCGGGTCTTCTGGAACGCAATAAATTGACGTTTCTCTTCCCGGAGTTTATCTAGCTTAGGTGTGATCTCCTCCTCAAGGAGAGACGTTATCTCTTGCACGCGCTTCTCCTTCTTCGACATCGTCTTCTTGGCCTTGTCCTTTCGATCCTCGAACATGCGGGTACCTGCCGCTTCTTCGACCATGCCAAGGATTTCTTGTGGACGCATGTTAAGGACCTGTTCAAAAATATGTAATCCAAATGTGCGAAAGCGACGAAACTGAACTTACCTTGGTGATACGGCCTTGCATGATGAGGAAATTAGGATTGTTAATATTCAGCTGTACACTCTGGAATAGAGTCTGAATATTGTTCTGCTGCGATTTGTGACCATTCAGAAGGTACTTGGATATATTTGGAAGCGCTATCTGTATAGGATGTGAGTTTCAAGCACAGATGTGTCACAAGTTGTGAACGCACTTGACGCGTGACTGTAATCTGCTTCAAGTTCTCGAATCCAACTGGACTCTTCTCTCTATCTGAGTTGTCGAAGACTATTGTTACGCTGGCCTTGGTAACACCAGCTTGGCCTCTCTTATAAATAAGGTCTTGCTGGTTTTGAGCTCGCATCTGCGGTGCGGGTGAGTGTGACAGTTAACAAAGACACTTTGTACTCACTTGAGACATATTAGTGATACCAAGCACAAAACAAATCGCGTCAAGTATGTTGGACTTGCCAGATCCATTGAGGCCAGTGATTGCATTGAATGATGGATCCCAACCCGTAATCTGAGTTCGGACTGGATATGATTTGAAACCTTCAAAAGAAATGTTATCTAACAACTCATTTATTTACTTGAAGTCATACCTTCGACCACAAGTTCTTCTATCCGCATGATTGAAGTTTGGCGTTGATGATATGGTAAGACGCGACGCGACGCGTGTTTGTGGCGGATCCATTCACCTTGCACGTGACCAATCTTTTATACAGAAATTTCGAGCCAAAAATGTTCCGTAAGTTATTACAAATTTGAAAGTCATTATGTACTAATGTACTAATCGGTAACATCCTGTGTACGAGGAAGCGTCTGTACGACAATTAAGCGCAGAGGACTTGGCGTCTATCTCAGCTGGACATATATGTGATTCGGATCGCTGTCTCACCAGCCATAAGTCCAAGTCCAATGTAATATTCGACAGTTGTATTGATGAAAGCGTTCGGGATTTTTAGCACGGATTAGCGCAAATACTCCCTTTTCGCTTCATTTTTTGCGTCAAACTTAAACACACATGAAGCTCGGGGGCAAAGATCTTCTTTCAGACGACCACTATAAGATTGTTAGCGATTTGGTCAGAACAACTGCCACCTATAACCCAGTATCCTTCCTATCATGTCGCTGTCAGATGTCTCTGACTTGACAGATTTATCTTCTGACGAAGACGACTTCCCGCTATCCAAAACAAGTCGGACAACGGCGTCAAAGAAAGGCACCAAAGAATACAAGATTTCAGGCGTCCTACGCGCACCACGGACCACATCGTATACAGCCAAGTCACTCTACGGTAAGGCGAGCGGCTCACTACCGGTGTTTATCGTACATTACCCTTCTTGCAGACCAAATCATCGACAATGCGATTGACCTTGACCCAGAATACCAACGTGGTGAGTCTCTCGCCCTGAAAGACACGTCTCTCTTTGTCACTTTGCTCGCAACATTTTTTGATGTTCCATCTCGTTCAAAGATGTTGTATGGCCAGAGCTAAAGCAATCCGGTCTTATCGACTCCATGCTGCGAAACTACTACATGCCACCAATAATATTTGGCAAGTCTATTTCTCCCCCTGGTTGACTCATGCATTAATAGGGAGGGCATCACTAGCGGTGTCAACAGCCGATGATGGCAGTGAATTGCGAACTTGCATCGATGGGAAGCAAAGGCTGACTTCAATACAAAGGTATATACAGTGAATGAACGGGAATAATTCGCTGATATACCGCCATTTTGATTCAGGTTTATGGATGGACAGGTTTGTAATTTTTCCATCTGCAGGGTCATCGCTCCACTAAATCTGGATTACTAGATTCCACGTTAGTCATACATGCTTTTACTGCATGCACTCACTCAATTCGGCATGCCATCACAGATAAAGATTCGTACGTTCCTCTAAGCCCCCTATGATGCATATTATCCAATACTGTCTAGGTTCACAAATGAAAAACTTTGGTACAAACCAAGCGCCAGGAATGCTAGGCGAAAGCTCCTTCCTAAACAACTTATCCATCAATTTTCGAACAAGCAGATTGTATGCGTGGAGTACAGCGACATCAATCCAGATCAGGAACGTGAGATCTTCCAGGTAAGTGTTAAAGCCTCGTTGCATGCTACCAGCTCACACGATGATTAAGAGAGTGCAACTAGGGGTTGCGCTTACTCCTGCAGGTCAGCACTGCTTTTTTCATTGTTGTACAGTAGCTTGATGCACACGTAGAACGCATGCAAGCAATTGTTGGCCCTTGGCCTACGATCATTCGGGAGATTCAAAGCCAAGTCCTTGGCGAAGATGGATTTCAGGGTTACCTTGACTGGGGTCACGCACGAGGACGTGACTTTCAGTGTGTGGCATCTATAGGCTACCTCATTGAGAACCATCCCAAGCCCACTGTTCCGTCCGCCCCGACACTTGAAAAGTGGCTCTTGAAGAGCGACCCTGTCTCTCCGAAGCTTCGCGATGACTTGCTAGATACGTTCCGTGTCTTTCTCGTCCTTGCTCGGGACCAGAAATACAGTCGCTCGCTTAACAAGCCCACTCGTGTTTCTCCTATAGAGTTTGTGATGATCGGTGTCCTAATTTACCTCTTCCGTGGTCGGCTGTCACTTACACAACTCTCCTCTGCCATTGAAAAGATGCGAAAAGATGTACGCGATGACCACAAAGATATTCGGGCAAACAGCAGGATCACCAAGCATATGTTGTCATTCATGACCAAAAGGCTCAAAATATCCGAGCTAAAAACTGATGGGGAAGGTGACAAACCGGCTGTTGGAAAACCTACAAAAACCAAGAAACGGAAAAGGGTCGCAGAATATGATGATGACAGTGAGGAGGAAGAGAAGCCTCGCAAAGTAACTGCGTCGAAGGCGCCACCCGCTGCATCTTCGAGTGAGCCGTTTTGTTAAACTTTTCTTGACAAATCTTTGATCCACTACTTGCATATGTAGCTTCAAAATCAAAGTCTTCGGGATCTGCTTCCCAACAGAAGACTGGATCCGAGTCAAATCCTTTGCCAACGAAAGTGTCGGCTGCCCCTGCAATGTCTCAGTCAAAGCAGAAAAAAAAATCCCCAGATTCCCGACTGCCTGTTGAAAAGGCTCCAGTGCAGGCAAAAGCGCCACCTCCGACGCCTACTCCTCCCGTAACATCTACCAGGCCATCGCCACCTTTCGCACAAGTACCCCCCCTTCAATCGAACATAGCAATTTTGGCCCATCCTGCGAGACCTTCCCCTGCGCGCATTAGGACCGATGCTCAGGTTTCTCCAGTGGTAAAGTCGGAGCCACGTATCGCTTCGTTATACCATTCTCCTGCGATTACATCCAGTGTATCAGCGGCCGATAGACTTGGTCCTATTCGAGCCGCGAAAGAGGCTATTCGAACAAATACTGGCTCTCAGGTCCAGTCTCCTGTTACTCCTCACCCAGAGCATAATGGTGTGAGTTCTATCTCAAATCTTGACGTGAATGGCTCGGCAGCTATGCGTGATCCTCGCCGTGCTGGGCCATCTCCACCAGCTGTCGCTGTTCTGCCACAACAAGGCCCGCACCCGCTTTATAACGGTGTGAGGCAACAATTCCAAATCAACCCTTCGGAGGTTGAAGCCCTTTTGCGAGCCCACGGATATCCAGTGCCTCATAATCAACAAATTCCAATGACATCCCCTGTTGCATTGCCTGAACAAGTTATGACAGCTGTGCAGTCGGGTCTGAATATTTTGAGCGGGGTTAGTGCTTCTGCCCCTGGTTCTTCGAATTTCTCGCAGGGCGTATCAGTCAGTGGTTCTGGGCGGGACATGCAGCCTGTTCCGTCCTTCCAGTATTCTCAGGGAGGCCCTCAAGCTCCGTTGTACTTGCCTGGCCCATCACAAAATGGGTTCTCAAACGGGACTCACCCTACTTCTCGTCATTCCCTCCCACCCCGACCGTCATCGACTGCACCAGCCCCGGTCAACACAGGCGTATCAACTGTGCCAATGCCGCCGCCGCCGCCGTATTCTGCATCCTCGACTGGATCGTTCAAAGATGAGCGACGATATAATGAGTATGAACGACGGGACTACCCGAAAGGCGGTGGGTCTTATGAGAAAGACTATCGACGTAATGATTCCCGGCGGGATTCGAGCGGGTGGGACAGCCACAGAGGAAGGGATGGTGGCTGGGGTCAAAGGGGGAGGGAGAGCTGGCGGAAGCCATAGGTGAGCAAGTAGCTCAATGGTAACAACTGTGGTTCAAGGTAGGACATGAGTCTAAGTGTGGCCATCCATCCCTGTACTTATGTGATGTTCTAGGCGTCAATCAGGGCGCTAGGTGGCCATTTTTGGGTCCTTCTGCGGCCCCATCAACACCATGCGTTGTCCTCGTTTCAATGATTGTGCTATCATGTTGTGACGTATTTTGCCTTTTTTTATCATCATGACAGCATACCTTTCAGACTTCACTGCAACGCGACTGGCCTCATTCATTCATTATACCTATTGCAACCCGTTTATAATGGACACCATAAATACCACCACGTTTTTCCTCTAGCTTGTAGATAAAGGTAATATGCATCATATCGTATGAACTGTATTGTGAGGGTTCCAAACTGGTTGAAACAATATGCGCTTCAGTACAAAAACGAGTGTCAATAAATTAGCAATAAATGGTCCGTGACGACACCTTATCTAGCCAATGACGATCATCAACCGCAAGACCACTATAGCTCCTATCATTAAGACATGAGGCCGAGCTTCGCGGGCGCTATTTGTACCCTGTGCCCCGTCTGCTGCCCAGTCACGCCACGCAGCCTGCAGCTCCAGGATGAACGCTTGTCCCTCTGGACTGTCGGAGCCCTGCTCGCCATAAGAGTATGGATTCACTACAGGGGTGAGCCATCCTTCCGGCGTGAAGTGGAGCAGGCCAGGCATGTTTGTGCCCATTGTGGGAAGTGCGGTGGATGTTGTGCTTGGCGCTGGTGTTGTTGAGGAAGTGGTGACGGAAACAATGGTGCCAACAGAAGCTAAGAGCGCCTTGCGAGCCCTTTCAGCGAGGGGGATGTGTGTGTGAATGTTGCCAAGGAGAGACAACCGATAGACCGTGCTGGCCAGTAATGCAGTTGATGAGGCATCATAAAACGTGGTATCATTGTCAGCGTAATTATAGAACAATCCGTTGGAGTTCTGATCTGGTGATAAGACACACTCTGACAGGCCAGTTTTGAGATTGGACGCACAATGTGGGAATACATTGCTCGGTGAATTTCGTCCGCCCAATTGGCAAGGTCGTTCTGTTGACTCTTGAGCGAATTCGCGTACGGGGAACGTTGAATAGTCCCCAGGACCCGTATCATGCCTGCCGCCGCCCATGCATTACCTGTAATTGAACCGTGCAAGGAATTCCTGCTATGCTCAAGAGAACCTGCGCACCTGTCGACCAGTACCCATCGTCATTTCCTGTCTGACCAAGTTGTATATGCTTCCATAAATTGCCGGCCGTCACATCTTGAAGATATTTTCGGTACAATCTGATCTGTGTATACGCCTCGCTCAGAATGGTCTGATTTCGTGTCAGGACACCATAATATGCCAAAAAAGGGGGGACCATGTACACAGAATCACTCCTACGTGAAGACGTTAGTCATTTATGGGAGCATCCAGTGATAACTTTTATGTTTACCAAAGTTGCAATTGGTCCACTATGTGAGAAATGGCACCATCGCTGGTCTTGGACACGTTTTGAAACAGGTAGTCGAGTTGGTCCCGCGCCGCCCCTGCATAGTCTAGTCCATCTAGGGCCCCCTGTCCCGTCCAGTTAGCAAGTAACACAGCAACTCCAATACTTGCTGGATCTCCTGCGCTCGTATCAGCAATCAGGGGCTGGGGGCCAATAATATTGGACAAGCTTCGGGCGACGATAATGTTGTGCGCAATGGTGAACACTTCGCCAAGTGCACTTGTTATATTAGATGGAATGCTTCGGGGAGGCGGGACGGCGTTGAAAGACACGACGGAGTATGTCGGCGTATTGAGCTCCAGGAGAGCCTCGGCGCGCGTTCCATACTCCCAACTGCAGAAATAAAGGAGGTGCTATCAGTGAGATTTATAATCCTTGGGACCATCGAATAGAACTGAGAAGTGGGGCTACTACCCAATGCAGAATGTTGAGTGACGCCTATGCTCACCTGTGCACTGCACCCTGAGCCAGTCGCTCACTGATGGTGGATATATGTGCACTTGTAAGATTCTGTGCCCTTACTTGACTGGACAACCCCAGTAAGAGGCCTGTCATAAAAAGCAACATCGTGTGGAGTTCGAGGGATCGTTGCAACATTGGACCAGCCTGAGACTGGCTTTAAATAGTAACACCGCCAGGTCCAGGACCACTCCAGTGTTCAGTCCGAGTCAGCCGTATACGAAATTTGGACAAACGCCTGGTCTGGTCTCATGACAAGCAGTTGACGTTGATAATAAGACATTAAAGGTCACTATGAGGGATCAAGCAGGGAAAATAACGGTACAGTAAGTAGTTGACACGAACCGCCGTATACGCTTTGTCCTCCACTGTGACAGTCATTAATATTCACGTCTAGCAATCGACGATCGTAGCGCCAAGAATATATGAAACCCAAGATCATAGCGGACTGGTTGCTGAAGCTGTAGCAAGAGACAGTTTAGCATCAGAGACTAATGTTCCGCTTCTTACTATGACAGTACGAACTCGATCGGCGAGGTTCGAACGTTTATTTACAGACCATGTAAGATGCATGAACAACTTTGATGACGACATGGTACATAAGGCAAGCGCCGACTAATAGTATTGCGGTCCGGCCCTACCCGGTTACGCCATGATCTGCTTCAATTCCCAAATTGTCGAGCGCCCGGCGCCCTCTCCAAACCCAGTAAGACAGCGTCAGCTCATCACTAAACCACATTCCTACTCCTTCTACACCAGCACCAGGAAGATCCTCAATTGATATATCAGCGGTGGTAGACTCATCATTCCCGGTCTGGATAGCTTCCTTGTCGACAGTAAGAACGGTTTGTGCGGGAGACGATGCTGCTTGTTCCGCATGTTTTCGTTTTTTTGTCGCGAGTCTTTGTGCTGCCTGAAGCTCTTTCACTGTGAGCGATTGCGCTTCCTGAGAGTCGGCGGACAGTTGCAGATCCTCGACAGTGCTTGCATCCGTGGCTGATGGAGCGATAATGGATTCTCTTTCAGCCTCAGGAACTGGAACAATATCCCAAAGACCGCCGCTCTGTATCCACCCAGCGACACTACTCTGCTTCCTAATCTCGTCCAGGACACCGATAACTGCAAGAATGGTGGGGTCATAGGGCTCAGCACATGATCGAGATGATATGTGTGGTCTTTCTGCAGGTGGAATGAGGATAGAAGACTGCTCTACATGAGCGGAGGTAGCATCGATTACAGTCGGATCAGGGTCTGAGGAGGGTAACAGTATCTCTGCCGACTCGGTTTGGTCCGGCATGGATTCATTTGCCATCCGTTTCCGCTTCCTAGGTTTGTGCACTCGAGATGTTTTCTCGTGGTGAAACTGCCGAAGGTCTTTTTCCCTGAACGAGGAAGTATACTCAGGTATACAGACGTGATTATATGGCTGGAGACGGGCCTTGTGAGGAGAGTCGTCAAGGAGGAGGGTGGTCATGGCAGAATGTGCAATCGAAGGAGTCAACCCAGCTTGCTCAGCGGCACACTCTACTTCTAATGGTACCGCGATCTCTGCTGGGTTGGTGCCTAACGGAAGCAATGTCCAGGGCTTTGTAAGATCCTTGGTCGTCAGCGCTTTTCGGTCTACCAATGATATCAGCAAAGCGTAACATCGCAAATCATTCAAAGGCTGATAGCCAAACACTTACGATAGTCCTCCTTAGTAAGCCCCAAACTCCCGCGGTCCCAGACTGCGACGAGCTTGCTTTTGACATCACCGAAAATCCTGTCGACCATGTCCTCCACACTATGAGGTTGTGCGGAAGACCAGACCATGGTGTCCAGCCATTCTCGAGTCTCGGGTGCAAACAGATATGCACGAAAAGCGGGTATGTAAGGACGCGGCTGCACTGCGCGAAGGCGCGGTGCTGAGTGAATGCTGCCATACGCTCGAGCGCGTGAATGTTGCGATCGAATGAGTAGAGTGCCATTCAAATCTAGTATGAGAAGCTTTCGGGAGGCGCGAGGGTCGTCAACGATGTGCGATGGCTCAAGTGAGAGTGCCATATACGCTGGATCTGGCTCCGCAGGTGGAGGGGGAGGTGGTGGTGTTGGAGATCTCATATATGTGGCAGGAAAGGGACTGTCAGGTGTTCTTCGACGAAACGAAGGCGAAGTAATATATGGGGTTGGCGAATCAGCACGTGAATGGTATTTTCTCTGCGGACTGCTGCTTCGTCGGCTCTGCCGTCTCCTGTAAGAACGCTCATCGTGATAGTGGTCATTCGCATGTTCATGACTGCGAGTGTAGTTGACGGGGGACTGGCGGTGGTTTTGGGCGTGATACTGGTCATTGTCGCGCCAGTAGTTATATCCCTGACTTGGTTGAGCATCTGCATAGTATCCATTCGAGTGGTAGTCGTATCCGTGCGGCTGCCCATGCGAGCTGCTATGAGAGCTGTAGCTGGAGCCACCGTGTCTGTGGTAGTGATCATCTTGGTTTTCGTTATAATTCCGTCTTCCGCGCCACCCGCGATTGCGCGACATCAGATTTACTGTTCTGACTAGGAAGGGGCTCCGAAAGGACGCCCACGAACGCAGAGAGATCAGCTTGACGATGTCAACAGGAAACACCAGTTTACTATAATCTGATCTTTGACTTAATGCTCCGAGTGGAAGAGTCTGTCAAAGCCAAAATTTCTTGTGATCCCTATATAGCTAGACACGGTTGGGTTAGGGTTGATACATTCCGAAAAACACCCGTAAGGTTTGATGCTTACAGTCAGCAAAAACCTTAGCTATAGTCTGGAGTGTGATAGAATTCGACAACGTACTATAGCTATGATACAGGCCATCTTTTATAGGTACGGGTGTGAAAGGGAGAATAGAGTGGAAAGAAACAAAGGGTGAATGGAGATTAAGTATTTCCCGCACCCATTACGTGTTTGTAAGTGCAGTACTTGAAAGGTCATTGAAATAAAGGAACAGAAAATGATGTGCTGTGTCAAAACTTGAGTGCACGAGGAGGAGATAAATCTGCGTATTTTTTTCGCATCGATGAGACACACGGAACGCCTTCGGAATTCATATCAGTTCGGCAGGATGACTCGGACATTCTTACACCTGGTATCATGCTTCAGTCGCTTTGGGAGGTGGTGATTATAGATACACGAAAGTAAGTGAAATGCGCACCAGTTATACAAAAATTCTATTCGAGAAGGGAAACATGGCAAGAACGCCAACTTGGAAAGAGAATGATTCTCTTAGAGGAGTGAAATCACGTTATGTTGACGCTCCTGCACAGTGCAGATAAGAACTTTGAACTGCGCAGATCACTACGTACAAAGACCAGCGATTATTTCAACCCTTTGTATCATTCAGTCCGTCAAGAATCTATACTTATATCATATGCATATGATACATAGATCTCGTGTTACATCGTCATACTAATAATTACCACGTCGTCGGACTGTAACGCGCCCGTAAGACCACCGCTGAAAGATACAATGAACACGGCTACTCACCCGAAAGTAGAACCTTCCTGTAACGTCAAGAACGGCAGAGACTTTCCATCAGCCGTGTCCAAATAAACAGTATTGCCCCACCACGACTGAACAGTGTTCAGTCCAATTGTGCCGTTTTTGGGGTATTGGAGGCAGAAGAAGATCAAGATAATGGATATGCCCAAACCAGAGTCCATGGCAGCCGAAAGGACATCTGGTAAAAAGTCTGTTTCGGCGAAAGGTAACACGAGACCAGGGGGACCACTTACAATTGTACTTCGTCCACCAAGAGAAATGTCTACGCCGGATAACATATTGGAAAATGAATCCAACAATTGCCCATGGAACGTAGTTCACCGCACTGGCTGGGGGAATGGCCCCCATACCGCTGAAGATAACGGGAAAGCTGTATTCGTGTGACCTCGTGAGAAGTGTTCCTTGGCGGATAAGAGAAGACATACTTGACATAGCGAATGAAGCTATTTGGCCACTTCAACGAAATCAACCATGCGACGGCCGGGCAGATCGCGCCGATAAGGAAGAAATATACAAGCCCTTGGTGCAGAATCTTTAGGTCTATATAAATTTAACGTGCTCAAGAAGTGCTCACCGTGATAGACCTGGCCTAACGAGAACTGTCTCTGTGGACCAATGACCCCCCAGATAAAGCTGGCGGTTCCGAAGACTTCTGTGTTGGGGCAGATGAATCCGTCTTTCTGAGTGGTACTGCACATGTCTGGAATGTTGGAAAACATCCATGCTTGCACACCGAGCTGTACAGTTCCTGCGATGGCAGCAGCTACGACTTGACCTGTACGGCATTCAGTGAGGTGCGCGATGATAAGAAGATGGAAACCATTGACCCCAGAACATAGCCCGTGGAGGAATCTTCATGTAGTGACCAAGCTTGAAGTCAGAAGTAAAGGTGAGAGCTGCAGACCTTCCAGTTAGAGACGTGAATTGACGAAGTGGGAAAGCTAACCTTGGTACATGGTGATGTATCCCCATGTCTTGAACTGAGCGGACAAAGTGTTACTTCTCTTCACGATATCGTAAACATAACATTCTTACCATCATCATTGCAATGGGTCTGATGCGATTTATTAGCTGGGTTGTCAAAGGCACGGCGACCTCGCGACTCACCTGCCAGGAAGGGCATATCCAACGACTAGTTCAGTGATAACGCTATTGATGTCAGCTTCGTCAGAAGAGCGTATTTACTACCAATGACCTTCACGCACTTCAGTCCAACTTGTTGGTTGGTGATGGCCTGGATCATTCCGATGGGGATGATGTAAAAGAATGCTGCGGAAGCCGATCAGTCTTTCAATCCCCATAATATCTGACACAAGTGAATCACCGATAGTCAAGGACAGGACGAAAGCCCAAACTGGGAACTCAGTGTGCCACAGTTCAATGGCAATGACACCAATTACAAACATGATCACTGCATACTGATCAGCGGGGTGATCGGAAACTTTCAAAGGTATGACACACCAAAAACAATCATGTACCACCATTCTGGCACTTGTTTGTACTTGGACATGAGCCTGGCGTGGATGTCGGGCTGCTCGTGCATCGAGCGTCTGCTCTGGATCCATATTTGTTTCCGAAAGAACAGGAAGGCATGCGTGAGCGTTGCTGTGATAGAGGCGAATGACAGGCCGTAGGACAAAGCGAAAGTCGTCCTGGATCAGGATACATAAGGTGCAATACAAGAAATAGATGGTAACAATAGCGCACGAGAGGAACAGAGGACTATATTGCTCATATTCCGTCAAATTAAGAGAGGCATCCGAATTGATGATACGGGTGATATTGTATGAGGCGCCAGTGTTGTCAAACGATGTCCTCGAGGAAACTCTAACAGCGGTGGACAATGTTATCAAGGTGCACTGGGGACGCAATGAAATAACTCATACGGCATGTATTTGCTGTACCAGGTGTTGGTGTAGTACAGCACAGGGACAACGAGCCCTAGATATCTTTTAGCAAAGAAAATGACACTGCGAAGCAAGAATGCTTACAGAAGAAGAATGTGAAGCCAACTGCAATATTTGCCTCGGCCCACCCTATGCAAAGAAATAATCAGGTCCGAACTGACGGGAAGTCTTTTCCGCGTACATGGTGTGGCTTTGTGAAAAGTAGTGGATCATAACTTGAGCCTCTCCTCGACAAAGAATGTCTAGTGACTTACCAAGCGGACTACCTGGGTTAATAGTTAAAACACAATTCATGACGATATGCTCAAAACCTACCAATGTAAGTAATCTGAGCCCAGTCGAATGTGACCATGCTCATTCCCAATCCGCTCACATATCCAAACATCTGATTGACCACGATGTTGTCTGGTGCAATCCAGCATACCCATGAGAAGTAAGATAGGCCCTGGAAGAGGTACCCAGGTACAAAGTACCATATGACACCACACATCCATGCATAAAGGAAGAAGCGTTCACGTGAGATTCCTCCGCGGGTACCTATACCTGCATATGTCTGCGAATGGAGGGTGTTGAAGAGAGCACACGTCACGAGGTTGGCGGGCCATACTGTGCCAAGGTGTGAGTTACGGATTGAAGGTGGGAAGAAAGCTAAAATCGTACTCATTGAGGGAGGCTGAACGAGGAATCGCCGCAAGATACCACCAATTGAAAAACCAATGAGCTGAGTGGACATAACCACCATCCATTGGTCTACCCACGTAAGCATATTGATCGAGAAGGGATCATGGACAATGGGTAGGGGAAGTCGCACATTCCGTGAGTAAGGTTCATAATACTTGTTCAGGGACTCACAAACAAAACTGTATCTTTGTCCATAATAGACTCGTTGGACCGCAACGATATCAGTCTGAAGGCGACATCATGTGAGTACTTCCTGGCAAGTTCACAGCTGATAGACGTACAGCATAGGCAGCTGAATACTCTTAGTTAATCGTACAGCGGAAACAACATGATCACAACACGCACAATATCCACCCACGGTGGCCATGATAGTAACCAAGACATGTTCTTTAATTGAAAATGGTCCAGGATTCAACTTAACACCGAAGATGCGGACATTCGGTATGACCTATTCAGTCCGAATGCGGTTCATTGTGAATGATTGCAAAAAATAAATCAAAAATCAAATGAAAAACATCTCGGACTCAACTGGCTTACCTTTGCCCAGGCGCGACCCACGGGGAAACAAAGCAATTGTGCCGCGATACTCGTGATGGTCACGGATGGGTAGCGAAAGTAAAAGAATTGATTCAGGCCCGCGACCACAATGGCCCATGAGAGGCCTGTCGGTCATGCCCATCAGCATCGAACATCTCTGTCAACAGAAAAAAATCAACATACCTATGACCCAAGCGCGGAACGAGCTGCAAGGGATAGACGGGTCATCCGTGTTAGCTACAGCACTGCGGACCTCTGGATATGGGGAATCATCCTCTACAGAAATCATGAGGTTGTGCACTATGACTAAAATTTACAAGTGAGGTTCACCAAGGGCTCCGACGATAGCACCGTCACGATCTATGTTCGGATCGTCAAAGTCAGCGATGTTCTCGAGGACCTCTGTTATAAACTCAGGTAAGCATTGGAAGGAGAGGTGGTGTACCAACTTACCTTGAACCTTGATATCACTCTTCTCGAAACCGGTTGGGCTGTACCGCTCATCTTGAAAGTCGACCATGACCACAGCTGGTATCCAAACAGCAACAGGAGAAAGAGATGTCAGGAATGAAACTTCAAGTCCTTAAGACTCAGGCTTGTAACCCCCTTAAATTGCTTCGGGAGCAGATTCGCATGGGTCTTGAATGATAAGGGCAAATGTCTCTTGTGCTCGGAGGATTCTGAGCAAATATTTCCAATCATGCCGACCTGCCAGAGCCTGTGCCCCATCTGCACAGGGACTTATGAATCTGTTTGCATGGCCAGGCATGGTACATTCAACCCGATTCAGCAGGCATATCTCTTATCGCGGTTAAACTAAGGGGAAGAGACACGCCGAGGAGCAGATGCATAAATAGCACGCCGGTCAAATGATGAGTAAATCCGCTGTAGGAGCAAGAGTTGAGAGTTTACGGTGAGCAAAACCAGTTTCCGAGCCCACGATAGTGGAATTTTAGCACGCAGAGAAGGACGCACCATGCTGGTCAGAGAACGGATGAGAACCTTGGTAATATTCGCATGTTCTTTGCAAGCATCAAAGGGCTTGAATCCCCGTTCGGCCAGTCAGACGGTCTCGCGGAAGGACATCTATAACTTAGTAGACCGATCTTGTACGGAAAGAAGAAGCGGAAGTTGATAACTTTGGGAGAAGCCTGATGTCCATCTGGATCCACAAGAACATCCTTTGCAGATACGTGCGAGAACTGCATATGATACAGATCCAGACCAGCATTGAATATCCAGCACGACCTAGGGCCGCCAGGCTAAAACGCATCACGCGGCGTCCGCCAAGCACGGAAACGAATCACCCGTCGTCGTTAGCAATATCATATATCCTAGCGCTTCAAGCTTCAAGCTTCAGGGACAAGGTAGAATATCGTGTTGCCATATCGTATGCAGGATCTTGCTTAGCTAGTGCGGCATGCGTCTGCCATGTCCGATAGTTGCTGACCTAATACTGCTGTCAGGCGTACCCCTGTGTTGACAAAATGTTGCCATGTTGGATCCGCCCACTCTAAAGCTGGGAAGACGGTATGTGATAGTCTGCAGATATTGTTTCTAAGACAATGTGCTGGCAGACGCCACCCAGCCGGAAGCCGTGACAGTCCTTATTAATATCATATCAAAAATCCCATAGTCCAAACGTGGTGCCACGTGTGCATATGGGCTACCTCCTGCACGGCCACCCGAGGTCCGTGTTATTCACCAACGCTAGTATCTTTATCCAACATCGATACCTTCACCGGATAATTGACACAACTTGAAAATACTGATACGATACAGATCTGCAACGATAGCGAGTAGTAATATACCTCAAGTTCCGCGAGTGTATAGAGCAAACATACAACGCTCCTATCTACTTGATCCAGCATTCCGTAGAGCAGCGGGTGCAGTTGGCGGGATGCGTGGAGGCGAAGGATTTGAGATAGACTTCTGAGCATCGCGGAGGGCTGCCAGTCTATCAGGAATGGCTGTTGGACGTGGCGGCGGCGGTAGAGGAGTGGGAGCGCTAAGCACAGAAGGATTGACAAAGTGAATTTGGTTGTGGGAGCCCACAGTGGGAGACAGTACTGGCAAGGCCTCAGTCGGTTTTCGCTGTTTGCTCGGTGGTATGACCACATCTTCCTCCTCCAGCTTCCGCTTCTTCCCAGAGGTGCTTTGCACCTGATTGCCAGTCCCCTTGACGAAGTCAAGCAATGTCTTAGCGACACGACCATTCATTCGGATATCTACGTGTTCTTCGCGCACCACCTCCCGCATGCGCCCGAGCTTCTCTGCGAGCGCACGTAATTGTAGCTTATCTTTCTCCACGGAGATCAAGAGACATATGGTGATAAACTCAACGGGCGCGACGCGCCAGCCGGATTGTAGGAATATAGGGGACAGATCAGGGTCGCTGACTAGCTGCGAGAAAACGCGGAACGTGTCGTGGATGCATGAGAGGTAGAGTTCATCTTTTGTGAGGTCTTCGTCATCATCACTTGCTTTCTTTTTGCTTTTAGTCCGTCGGGTGGGGTTTTGCAGCCATTTCTCTATCTGCAGGACGGTACCCACGGACTGGAGGGAAGGGTACTTTGAAATGCAGTAGAGCGCCTGAGCGATACACCGGAAGTCCCCACCGCGTGAGCGGTCCCAATCTAGGGCGTCGCCACCCAGAGGCTTGTCCGCTCCGAAATACTCTCCTTCTAGCTGTCGTACGAAGCTAGCCATGGGGGCATTAGTCACCTGCAATTTCTCTAAGAAGAGGGTGAGCCAAATGCAAGTGTAAGTCAAGTATGCACTGACCCGCAGGGGTGAGGGCCATTCCGAGTTGTACTCTCTGTACTTGGATCAGCGACAAAGTTACAGAATATGTTGAAGACCCACCTGGAAGATTTCGCGTTCTTCGAAGTCAGGAAGGTCTTGAAATTCTATACATACGATCTGCTTATTTGCAAACAGTCGTTGATATTTGACAGGCAGGATGTAGCCCGGGGACCGTCCGGTTTGGTTGGAAGTAGTCGGCTTGTACCAGTACTTGTCACCAGTTTGTCTATATCGTGTAATATTAATAGAAACCAGATAATCGACGTTGGATTGTTTTCACTTACGGGTCTTTGTCTGCCGAGTGTTTATTGCGATTAGGAGTGAAAGCAAAAGAAGAAGAATTACTAACGATGAATCTAAGAAGTCTGTAAGCTGGATTGCACAGAACAGATAAATATGACCGACCTGTCCATCCATGAACCTGTGGCGGAAAAGAGAAAATGATGGTCAGTCGTTCAGTAAGACAAGTAGTCGAGAACATGTACCGTTGTATTGACGTGAGCCGTTGCTTTCCGTCGATGCACGTCTTGGATTCTGAGCCATCTGGGTGCTGATTCGAAACTACAGGATGAATGGACGGGGGAATGAGTGGTGCGCCACATGATTTGCTATGGTATCATGCTCACCGAAGATCACAGGAGGAATATAAAAATTGCGAAGTATAGAGTCAATAAGGCCCACTTGCTTCGATTCTGGCCAGACAACGTCTGAGAGAATATAGCTCTAGTCATTTAGACTTGAATTGCAGGAAAGACTTCACGAACCTCTTTGATACTCTGGTTCTAGGTTAACGTCGCCACCAATAATCTGCTCTGCAACGGAGTTGACGGGGATCCATACACAGAACACAACAAGTAAGAGGCATACCGTAGAGTGCCTGTGTCGTGTAGGTTGTGGCACGGGGAAGCTTGAGGACATTCTTAAGTATGTAGCCGCCGTCATCGTTCTTCGAGCGCTTGTCGCCGGAATCGAGTTCATCATAATATTCGTCGCCTGCTTCGGATTCGCTTGAATTCATGATGAGCAGAGCCTACTATTGAATGTTAGCGTCAAGTTAAAGGTGGAGCCTAGCTCTTGAGTCTTGCCAACTGGTTTCGAAGGCTAACTGATGGAAATTAAAACCAAACTTCGACAAGGTGGCTGTGCAAACAAAGAGTTCGATCGTTTCTGTTTACAGTAATTATAAGCGTTCATAGCGACGCCGACGATGTTCAATGGCAGTTCAACGTTCTCAAAGCCTACCACCAAGGGTCCACTACTGTCCTCGCGTTCGGCTACCACTAAACGTGACTCCTTAATGGCAGAACTCGAACGGGGTGAGTTCACTGGCCCTCCTGCTGAAGAGACACGCCTTCGGGATGCTCATGTCCAGAGAAACCTGACCTCAAACAAATTGCAGACCCACAACATTCGACTGCAAAGCGCCAGCAACGCTCTAATGCGTTCACCTCCCATGTAGCGCACGCCTCTCTTGAACGCCAACTGCTCGCCGCACAAGCCAGTAAAACCGAGCTCGAGGCCAAACTCCGTGAAAAGGATATTACCATTGAGAGGCTGGAAAGAGATAGAAGGTGGTTTGCGGAGAGAGAGGAGAAGGAGCGTGAGGAAAAATTGCAGGAGCAGTCGGAAAGAGAAGAGGAAAAGGTGCGTCACGCGAGGATGCATGCTGTCGGAGCTCACAACTGTTCTGTAGCGCAAGGCAGATTTAGAACTTCGACAACTACGCAGTTCTCTCGCTGCCGTTCGAGAGAACCTTGCGGAACTCGAGGACGAACACTCGAACCTTTCTCGCAGCCACTCACAATCACTCGCTTCTTACAAGTCGCAGTCTTCAGTTCTCGCTCGCCAAAACGCAGCGTTGGAGAAAGAAGTTGCAGACCTTAGATCTATCGCAGAGGAACGATGCACTGCAGTCCAGAATTTACAACAACAGTTGGACGACGCTCATGCTGCCACCGAATTCTTCTGCGAGAAGTTCTGATGAAAACGAGAATTGGAGTGTTGTGCGAGACGAACTGCAGCGACAAGCAGGATACCTCCGTTCTCTCGAGTCGATCAACGCTAAACTCACCACTGAACTTGCACGGTACAAAGACCGGCACGCCAGCGTAGAAGTCCTTCGAGAAGAGAAACGTACTTTGGAAGGCAAGGTGGCTATCATGGAAGGGCTTCGAGAAAAAGTTGCCAAGCTAGAGGCTCAAGTCGACGCTGCTCGACAAGAACGGAAAGATTGGTAAGTCTCGACCCAATCTCCCCACTCGAAAGCTAATTTATGTATTCTAGGGCGAGCAAAACCAGCGAATCAAATACATCATCACAAACTTCCATCTCCTTGGTGCAAAATCTGTCAGCATTACGTCTGGAGAATGCGCGTCTAATGGAGGAGCATGGCGCAAAACACAGCACTCCTTCGTCGCCGCGAGGCCGAGCTATCTAACATTGATAAGATAGCGTTTGAAGCTCGGGAGGCTGCGGACGCCCTGCAAGCAGAGGTGCAAACACTGAAAGAAAAGGTATTAAGACGAGAACAACGAGCTCAGCTAGCAGAACGAGAAGCCAGATTCCTCCAGGCCCTCGTCGTACGTGTTTGCGCCCTGAACTGGTGTCTTAATAGCTTATTACCTATTTCAGGCCAGCTTCACTGCTGAGGAGTCAGCTGCACGCGAGTCACCAGCTGTGGACAGCCTTTCTCAGCAGCGGATCCAGCATCTTGAACAGTCTATAACTGATTACAAGTCTGAAAATTCTCGGTTACAGAGCGCACTGGATGTCGCCCAGGCTGACAATGCCATAGGAGGGCCGAAACGCACACGCAAGGATCTCGTTCGGGAAATCGACGCACAGAAAGCTGCAGCAGACGAAGCAACGAAAGGTATCACTCCATAGAAACATATTTATCTCATTCCTCACTCAATGCCATACAGGTCTACAAGAAGCGCAAAAAAATCTGACGCAGCAAGAAGACAAGATCGAGACGCTCGAACAAACACTCTTTGAGCTCCGTGGCGAAATCGGTGCGGGGAACCACGTTCCACCAGGCATGCGTGTGCTGTCTCTGCGCGACAATCCGGCGCAGCAGTGGACTGATCTACGACAGTCGGTGATGGACCGTCTGAAGGGCGAAAATGAAGCGCTCATCAAGCGCCTGCGTGAGCTTGAGAGCAGCGGAGCGGTGGTAGCCAATGGCGGGGTTCCGCGCGATGATTTGGTTCCCAGGGAAAGTTGGGAGGTGCTCGATAAGGAAAAGAAGGAGCTCGAGGAAGTGGTGAAGCAGAAAGAGAAGAGACTCTTGCGCTTGCAGCAGGTGCGTGTATCTTCCGTACGGTTCTTTACAGTAATTGACGGGCGGTTCGTTAGGTGTTCACCGCAAAGAGCGCTGAGTTCCGAGAAGCCATAGCGTCCATGCTCGGACTCAAGCTCGCGTTTTACCCCAATGGGCAAGTCCGCGTGACGTCGATCTACGATCTTTCTGCGTCATTCGTGTTCCAGCCTTCGACGAAGCCCGGCGAAAGCGGAGAAGGAGCGAGGATGCAACTCATTGCGCAAGGCGAAGGCGGTCCGCAAGATCTCCCGCAACTGATGCGATTCTGGGTGAATGAGGAGCAATGTATACCCGGGTTTTTGGCGAGTGTGACTTTAGGAGTGCTATGACAAGTCGAAGAGAGAGACGGTTGGTACCGAGTCGTAGTATTCGGTCGTGATGTTTTTGATCGGATTGAATAAAATACTACAGTAGGATATCTGTGCTACCCTTGGCCAGAGCGATTTGGTGTAAAGTAGCAGGGTTTATAATCGTATCTTGCTCATTTGAAGGGGTTCATCCTTACAGCACGGTCTTTCTTCGACTAATGGCGAGCCTAGTTCGCTTGGCCCGGGGAAGGGGTAGCGCATCGAATTAAGTCTTTTGCGGCATAGCTCGCCAGCGCATCTGGAAGCTGCCGTGCTTGGCGCAACCCCACCTCAGGATCTATGATTGCCGTATAATCAATCTGAAGCACGGTGTACGCGACCCCTTGCACCTAAGAAGTAGGTTCCGTTTCATTCCAAGTCAATAGTTTTTGATGGCTCCTCTTTCCCCTGCCGGTTATGCCGCAGATTGGCCATACCATTAGCTTTTGTCACTCTCTTTTGGGTATACCTGAAAACGAGCATTTATTCTCTTACTTATTTCCTGTTGCAATGACCTGAACTGACTTGTTGTAGGATGAATACGATGTACCTGGACTGTAATGGAACTCTACATGTGAAGGTGGATATGATATTGAGATAGCGTGAAGCAGTCCAACATATGTTTTATACCCATATCATATCCACCTTCACGAGAATATCTAAAAACTCTGTCATCGACAGCGTACAGTGAAAAATACATGCGATACTCACCTTCTCCGCACCAGCCACGGCTTCAACTCACAAGGTACTACATATAGGCAATCCATCCGTACGATTTTTGTGCGTCATTTGTGTTTCAATATTTGCCGAAGCCCGGGGAGAACAGAGAACTTGAAGGAGCAAAGCGAGCCTTGAAGTTGTGACTTTGGAGTACTATGATACGAAGAGAGAGGTCGGTACCGAGTACTACTCGGTTCGCCGTGATCAGTCTCCCTTGATGGTCACAGTCGTTCCTCCTATAATCTTAATGCGGCCGGGAGGCATTTTTGATAGCAATTAATTATGTACTGCTACGCCGCCCCAGCTATAGAAGGCTATAGGCCGCCGCGAGGATCCAATATTCGGTTCGAATGGTATAGTCCCGACGAACTTAGATATTTTTTTTTTGCAATTTTCAATTTGGTCATCGCCTGACCCTGGCTTGTTGCAGCTCCGTTTTTAACAGACAAGCCTTGTTTTTCCCCAACACCCACCGGTGTAGTCTCTAAAGTTTCTGATATGCATGATCTATACTGAGTATGTGTCCAAAAATTGATGTCCTATAGTTATTTTTAAGATGCTGACGCATGGCAGACCCTGCCAGTGATTTTGCGTGGCCGTACAATATAGACTGAGGCATGTTGCTAAACGAAGACCCCACAGCGAATCACATAAGAATTCCTGCTGCCCCCGCTTTTGTCCCCTCACAAGCGTCAAAACCTCGCGTCCGGATATGTCATCAGTGTGGTTTCGTTTTACCACAAGATTTTCCATGGATAGTTTGTGATGACTGCCAGATACCGCTCAGAGCCCGAGGTATTCCTTCACCCGGACATACTCCCTTTGCAAACCAAGATGCGATGACCCTTGGACAAGCTGTGAGTTTTGCGTTTGAGTGCCTGCGGGGTTATTGGATTGGATTGAATTTTTGGCGTCATCCTGACTATGCTACTAGGGACAGTCCTTTTCATGTATCTTCGTGCCAAATGACCGTAGAAGGACCAAGAATCACTTCGACCTCCCACATACTCTGCTCTGCATGTCGAACGAGGCAAGAGGGCATGAAACTGAAGCCTACAAGGCGCATTAATCCGCACATACCATCACTACTCCCACCCACATCATCCATCATCGCACCACCCCGCGACCCTTCCCGCCCGTGTTTCTTCAACTCCCGTGGAGAAATTGTTGCTCCTTCACCTGTCCCTGTGAGTATTCATAAATTCTTCCCTTACATGAACTTTGACCATGATTGACACCAGGCTGTCGTGGCTCCCGTGGCGCCCATGCGTGTGTGCATGCGCTTCGGCTGTGGAGCTCAACTAGCATCCAACCAGTTTTTCAACTTTTGCGATGTGTGTCTGCGGTTGGGGTTTGGCCGTGGAGAACCTGCACCACCCCCTACCCCCAAGTGCCTTCCGAAGCGCATGAGAACGGATGAACTTCCCTCTGGTGAGCTTATCTCGAAGGTCAAGGTAAAGTAATTTTTATATTCTTCTGTCTGGAATGTAGTTGAAACATGGCAATTTGAAGCGGGATATAGATACTGCGCAGAGGGTGGATGCCCTTGTACAGCCCCCGCAGGAAACGTTTGCGGAACTTGGTGCACGCAACGATGATGATTTGGACCTTGAGTTGATGTATCCTGAGGTTAGTGAGATGCGAGTTTCTTTTCGACAGCACTGTGTCTGAGCTGCCAAGTAGGATGAGGAGCTTGCAGCACAGGATTCTGTCGACTCGGTATCGAAAATTGTTGGTGATGATGTCCCACCTCCAGGTGCTGTCTTGGAACATGCGCCTTCACGGCTTTCACCCTTGGTCCTCAACACTACGGCTCGTTCTCCAAGCCCTCAGCCAGTCCAAGTCAGTGGTGTTCAATTACTGTACAATATGTGTTAGACTAAGGATCCTTACAGCGCACCTGTGAAACGCTTGGGTGCGGAGGAACCGTGTCTCCGTCAGCTACATGGCAGAGGTGCTATAACTGCAGCTTAAAGCGCTGGAAAGAGCGTCAGCAGGCCGCTATTGCTGCAAGTGCAACTGCAGAGCCTGTTTTGCCGGCGGAAGGTACACATGAGGGTGCCTCGAATTCTGCTGAGGCCATGCATGGCGTTGGGCCTCCGTCACACGATACACTAGAGACAATCGTGGTGGATCGAGTTGCGACAAGCAGTGAGCCAGAAGTATTAGCTTCGCACTCACAAGGAGCAGTCCTTGATGCTGTAGACAATGTTCTGCCATTGTCGGAGCTTCCTGACGGACAAGTCGTCATTAATTCCGCGGAAGTCGCGAGTACTTCTAGTACACTCATTGCAGAGTGTGGTAGAGACGCTGGCGGGGAACCTGAAATTAACAAGGTTTACGTCTCCGGATGGGACAGCGACTTGACAGATCTCTTCTCGGAAGACGAAGACGTCGATTCGGACCCTGGTGCCAAAGACACTTCCACGATCAAGATTCGCATCCCTGTCCTTGCTTCTCGACTTCCTAGCGGCGCCAATGCGCGAGTGTGCGGGATCAAGCGCTGTAACATCGTATTGCCTCCGGATTACCGCTGGAAGATCTGTGATTCCTGTCGGAGATACCAACGGAAGTACCAGAAGATTCGTATGGAGAAAGCACGTCGTCGTATGGAGGACTTCTGTGAGTATAATTGTCACATCTAAAATCACCTAAGCTAACCATATGTAATTTTAGCTCGGATAGGCACTCATGAATCTGCTCTCGTTCGTAATCATCCTGCACCGTTTCCGGAGGTAGGACACATTAAGGGTTCCTGTTTAACCTTGCACCGCTGACCACAGATGCAGGAACAAACCGACGAGGTGACACCAGCGGAAGGCTCGCGCGTCTGCGCTGTTCCTCGTTGTCACACAAGGCTGTTGCCTGTGACCGAATACAGGTGGAAATGCTGTAGAGTTTGCCGCATGCGTGCTCGTGACGACGCAAGAGCAAAACGATCGACTGCCGGAGCCATCCTAGACTTGGAAGATCCAGTGGAGCAGACTTCTTCCATGGACATTTCGCCCTTTCCTGTCTTTCAAAACCGCAGCGTGTTGTTGTCAGAGTTTCGCACAATGCTGGAGCGGTTCTTGGAAGCACAGATCTTGTACTTGCGCGTGAAGCTACAGACAGCAGGTGAGAAAGCGTTGTTGAGGCTCGATCCCGTGTTGTTTGCGTTCGACGGCGAATATTCGACGGTGACCGGCCAGCGGGGATACCAGGATCATGTCCAAGGCAAGTCTGGTCCTGAGCACATTCAGGAGGAAGAGATGAAAAAAGAAGCTATCTCCACTGTCAGGGAGCTCGATAGTACCCTCCTCACGGAATTTAAGTAAGTGTTTTTAGCTGTGAGCTACGGTCGGACGGCTGAAGTCGCCTACCCTGTAGGCCAACAGAAGGTTTTAGAATCAAGACCGGAGGGGTGATCGTGCGATACAAATGTGCCTTAGAGCTGACCATCCCACTACGTCCTTTACCCAAGACAACGGACTCGAAGGATACCAACACTTCTATACCCTCAGAAAGTGATACTTCGTCATCACATGTTCCTTACATGAAGTCGGTGTTTGGGGAACTGGAAGTAGCGATTGTTCCCGATGACTCACACAGTATTTTACTGGGTCGACGAACTATTATCCGATTCCGCATGCTGGGCTAGCTAGGATAGCCTTCGTTTGGAGCCGTTTTACGATACTTGCCTTACAACTAATTTGCATTACGTTGCTCATATTGTAGAGATATTAACTTATCATCCATTCATCGACGTACTTATCATTGCCAACGTGTTCTAGCATGTATTGTAAAGAAATCGAGACTTGATAGTATGCTCAGTCAACCGATATAGGTGAAAGTGTACGACATTGCGACCACCTTGATGATTTCTTGCGCCTCGAAAAGTCACGATTAGTGTCCTAGATTATTCGTTGGAGTCGCTGCTGAACTCTTGTGCTGAATCAAAGTCACCCAATAAAATGAAATTTCAGTTCCTGTTAAACACCCAGCATCGGCGGGTTTCCAACAATTTTCATTGAAACTATTATACACACGAACACTCTTACAAACGACTTTCTACGTTCAAGACTCCCCAGAGCACACCGACTCCAGCCACTCAACATCACTCCTGACCTTGGTGAGGTTCTCGCACCCATCTGAAGTGATCAATACGTCATCTTCAATGCGCACGCCGCCCATTTCGCGATACTCCTCCAACAAGTTGTGGTTCACATATTCAGACTCCTCTACAGCTTTGAGTAGATGTTCACGGAAGTAGATCCCCGGCTCAACGGTCTATCGAAGTAAGTAGGCGAATAATCCACACATGGCTCAAACTTACCACGACCATGCCCTCTGCGAGCGGTAGCCGGAGCCGGAGGTATGTGTAAAAACTGGGGTGCCCAACATTGTCTTGTGGAATAGTCGTATTGTTCATTGGTTTACTTGCACTCGGGACATCATGCACATCCATCCCGAGTGAATGCCCAACTCCGTGAGGGAAAAAGGCTGAGCTAATTCCAGAGCGCAGAACCTCGTCTTTCGAGCCTTTGAAGAGTCCGAGATCGAGGAACCCCTCAACAAGAATCTGATGACAGAGTAGCTGGATGGTGTCCCAGTGGACACCAGGTTTGAGAATTTTCATCGATTTCTATGCAAAAGTGTTACGCGATGGTGCAAAGGATGCATATATAACCTACCTGTTGCATTTCTAACACAAGAGAGTATATCTGCTTGCCTTTCTCAGTAAACTTTCCGCCATTGCCAACAGGCGTCGTGCGTGTAACTTGAAAATAGAAGTTCAAACCTCTCTGGCATTTAGTTGCTGCAACTCACTGTCCGCAGAGTAGCAATCCCATTCGCATCCTGCGTCGATAAGGAGTAACTGAGGCTCTAACTGCCTTTCGGGTGCAGGACCGTGTGCCAATGCGCCGTGGTTCAAATGATCGTGGGGCTTTACAGGTCCCCAGGTGAACTCTCGGTCATTACAGCAGTAGTGTAATGTAGCGGCTCTCCTGGAGGCAGCGACGATAGGGAGATATGCCTGATGAACGGCCCTGGTGTGATTGGTGAGTTGTGAGGCATCAGTACTCACTAGGGCGTACGTACCCTTCACGCCGGCATGATGCAACAAAGATCGCCTCCGCCTCCGCCTCTTTCTCAATCAGCCACTCTCCGGGAAGAAGAGGACGATCAATGCCTGCACCCTTTGCCTGAAGAATCTTACCCTGTACTGCGTTGCCCAAAACGCGCATGACGGTCTCATGCGCCCTGGAGCTGATGTCATTTGCACGTCGGAGCATCGTTACCTCGTTCTCATCCTTGATCAATCGTGTTTTGTGCAAGGAAGAGAGTAAGTATGCATCCGTTGCGGTGTGGGTCTCTGATGTAACAATAGTTGCCATGTACTCCTCGGGTAAAGTGGGAAATAGAGGCGAGTTGCGCGGCAGAGTATGGAAGACAGCTTCGGGATGTGACTGAAGGAGTAACTCAATGGTACTTTGTAACTCTGAGCTATACGCAATGTCGGTTACGTCGAACAACTGCTTCGCTTCCCCAATTGTGGGTGGAGGAACACTCCACATGAGATCTGCGGCCTGTATTTCCGGGATAGATAAATTGACACTCAGCCTTGTGGAAGCATTCGTATGTTCAGGCTGATACAGAGCAAGAAGGAATGATCCAGGCACAGAGCATCCTGAGAGGTAGTAGAAATTAGATTCTTGGCGAAATGGTAGCTCGCGATCTGTGTCGTTTCGGAAGGGTGTTTTTCCTCCTGCAAGAAGGATGACTTGGGGCTACTTGCGTTAATCAATGCTAAGCGTTAGTCTATCGATAACATATTGAGCTACCTTCTCCTTCAACTGCGATGGAAGCACATTCATAAGTTGTTCGAACGTCCTCTGCACATGCGCCCTTGCTGTGTTCAACTTGGTCAGTCTCCCTTTGCCGATGGATCTATAACGATAACAACTAACCACAGTAACTCGACCCAGACATGATGATGAATGAAGTGAATGAATGAGATTGCAAGATCCGGGTCCGTTCGGTTATGTAACATCCCGGCCAATGTTGTGTTGGCCAAACCTTATATATGCACGCCGATGGTGAAGCGGTTATCATGCTTGCCTTCCAAGCAAGCGGCAGGGGTTCGACTCCCCTTCGGCGTATTTTTTTCATTCCTATTTGAAGTCGCTCGAAGCTTTTTTTCTTCTTATAGCACTAGTATGTAATGCACTATGCTGTGTTTTGGGCCAACCTGAAGCTTGAAGCTTGTCGCATAATGCATTGGATCCAGGTCGAATCTGCAGTCAACTTGATGGGAGCCCAAGCTGCGAGGTAAAAAAATCCGCAGTGCAGTTGCTTGTACTCCAGTAACTCCACTGGCAGCTGAACGGACACAATTGGCAGCGCCACTTGCCAGTAACAGTTTGACAATCATCATACCGTCGAAAACATCCAGGATCCGCGCTCGGAAGAGGCAATTGAACAACGAGCTGCGGCAGTAGCTATTATCTAGCATCGGCTTGTCATTACAGCATGCACTGGCATGTGCGTGAGGTATACGAGACCTTTTATTTTTATCAGCCTTCTGATTCACTGAGAATCACGCATACTAGTATAGCTAGTGCAACGATCGTCAACCTTTTGTGGCATATTGTGACAAATCACTGGACTCCCATGTCCATCGTGAGGCATGTTCAAGTTCGCAATGGCTTTCTCGATAGAGGACAGTGCTGCGCTGGCAATCTGCTTTCTGGCGTTACTTGCACTCTCCAGACGAACGGCGTCCTCCCACAGAAAGAACCTCCCTCCTGGTCCTACTCCGATTCCTTTTCTCAGAAATGTATTTGATATCAAGGCCGATGTACCTTGGGTTTCATACGCCACGATGCAGAAAACTTATGGTACGTATTCTCACTTCTTTCGGCTGGCATAAATTTCCTGACAGTCTCCACCGCAGGTGATATCATATATACCCGCGCCTTGACCATGGAGATTATTGTTTTAAATTCCGATGAAGTCGCAGACGAATTACTTGAAAAACAATCTCGGATCTACTTTGACCGACCATACCGTAGCCACGAGCGACCTGTGCGTACTATGAAATCAATGTACGTCACCCGCAAACTGAAATGGTTATTGCTATAGTTTCGGCTGGGAATGGGTAACGTCGATAGCAAGATACGGTCAAAGGTTCAGAATCCATAGGCGTCTTTACCATCAAGTCTTTCGATCTGAGGCAGCTTTAACTTACCGCCAAAGGCAACTACAAAAGACGCGATTCTATCGAAACAGTATGTCAAGGACATGCTGGACTTCCCATACAACCACGTCCGCCACAACATAGCAAGCTGAAATATCAGAAGCCTTCGAAGAGGCCTACTAATTGCACTATCAGACAAATGGATCTGCGCAGGCATTCATGGTCTCTGACGCGCTGGAACGATATCATATATCAGAAGACACAGACAGCCTGGAGATGATGACAGAGATCAAAGCCTCGGCCGCCACTGCTTATGCTGGTGGGTGCAGTCGATACCTTGTTGTCATTTGGCTAACCTTTTGCAACAATAGCCTCTGTCGAAACTGTAGGTCTGATTTCCATGAAGTGTTATTTCAAAGACATCAGCATTCATTAGACTACAGCATCTCTGCTCACATTCACCCTAGCGATAATGAACAACCCAAAAGTTCAAGAACGCGCCCAAGCAGGGATCGACAAGGTCGTCGGTCTTGATCGTCTCCCTAATTTTGATGACCTTCCAGCACTCCCGTACGTCGGGGCATTGATCAGAGAAGTAAAGAGATGGAATCCTGTTACACCGCTAGGTAAGCGGGGTCTACCTCGTACGCTTGGAATTCCAGAGGTCGCTGAATTGTGCGGTATTGCCAGTGAAAAAGGAGCTGCTTGTTTTTATTTGGTAGCAAAATTTGGACAGGTTTCCCTGAAGGTTCCCGGTCACGTCCAGTCCAACGTGCAAATGTTGAGGTAGGTGACAATGAAGATCTCCAAAACGCAGAAAGTGGATGATCAAACAATGCGTCAGAAAACCTTGACACCCAGGCACCAACACTCAAAGTTTAACTCTTATGCTACATTGGGTATGTAAAACTAAGCGCAGATTTCCTATGCAACGCTTTGGGATCATATGAATTAATATGACAGTCTTTTAAGATTTGCTCTGCTAGTATACGTCAAGATCCATCGCTGTCGTCCCTATTCCTCTGGGAGCACAAGCGGCACCCGTGATCTGCAACGCACCCATCACATAGCACACGGTTGCACGAGCATTCAGCATCCCTCACACATGGCGTGCAAAGTCGTCTCGAGCACACCGCGCACGAAGCCGCCAGATACGACTCACAACGATCGCACATCTTTACTTCACAACTCCCACACGACGCCACGAGTTTAGCAGGCATTTCCTCTAGTTCCTTGTCGTCCGTTTCCGAAACTTCTTCGGCGCAGTCGTAACAGAGGTTCGAGCCATTGCACAGGACACAGTCATCGATGTAGCAGCAACTGTAGCAGAACAGCCGGCGACAGCGCGGGCAGCGGATGAACACGCTAGGGTCATGCTCCGCACAGAGGTCGCATGCCCACACTTCCCCACACATACATGTCAGACCGCCACTCGTGCACTCTGGGCAGATCGAATGGGACCAGCATAGCTTGTTTCGGCAGCTACGCCAGCCGGGCAATTTGCATTCTATGCAGGAACCGCGCTTAGGAGGGTGAGCCCGCGCAGATTCAGCATAGGCCGTAATTAAACCAGGAGCAACGAACTTCTTGTTTACACGAGGCATGAGCGGGATACTGAGCGGGTGACCGGTACATGAGGAGATATCTCTCGCGCAGCACCAAGAGTTGCAGGGACACTTTTCTAGCTCCTGCTTGGACCCCTGTCCCTGGAGGCATGGAAAACATAGCACCTCTGTTTTGTGTCTGACGCACCGCGCAAAAGGGGGGTCAGAAAATCCACGGCAGTCGTGCGATTCGCACGATGCGACCTGACAGCTATTGCAGTGAATAAGACTTGAATCACATATGGGACAACGCGAAGTGTCTGATCGTAAACCGGTAATGTCTACGGTACCATCACCCTCCTGTCGTAGAAGGCGTTCGTAATATTTCTAACGAAGTCAATTCACTTCATGATAATGGATAGTTACTGTTTCGCCCTTACCTGCACTTGCAGCTGCTTCGATACCCTACGTGCAAGGTCAGGCTCCGCCGTCCAACAGTCCGAGTCAAGAGGAGGGATGATCAACTGCGACCTCGCGACAACGAAATCGTAGATATCCTTCATGTCAGGCGCAAGCTCGTCAGGGACGGGAATGCGCACATCATACACCTTGTCTTCAATCTGCATCTCACGGAGTAGGAGAGCAAAGCGCGTGACAGACTCTGTGGAGAGACGGAAATGGATAATAACACTTGATAGGATGGGTGGTTCTGGCTTTTCTTGTAAGACTACCGCGTATCCGAGGGTCGCGATGTGACCCACTTCAGTGATTGCGGAGGGCTCGTTGGGTGGGTCTAGCATGCGGTAGACCGTTTTCATGATCCGGAACATCTTCATGCGCATGGGATGGCCCTTGTCTCGCTCGCGTGGCGAGATGATTGTCCAGGCGGGCATCGCAAGCGCAGCCTGAAATGACTGTCAGTCTGTGGTACTATAAAATCATCAAAATTCCCCGACTCCCAGAGTCCCAATATTGACATTAATGAAAAAGGCCCACCCCGGCTACACCCGTGTTCGGGCCTTTTCGGTTACAATCAGTTCTCGCTCGGAACCCCCCCTTTTTCTGTTATCCATGCCTCGGTGGGCCACCCCTACATAGTGTCTTGAGCTTTTTATTGTGGGGTGTTCTAGAGTTTAGTGTTGACCTCTGTTCTGCATCTCTGTGAGGTACCCGGATCTTGCCGCGGCAATCGAAAGTAAATAATTCTTTGTTCCTCGACATCGAGATTCGACAAAGCGCACGCAAACTACACACATCAGAACGATATGGCTCGCTCTGCCACTTTCAATTCTTCCAGCCTCGCTGAAGCCTTATCGATGGACACTCCTTCAGTCACTGGCTCTTCCAATGCGACTGAGGATGACTTGAAAGCTAAAGGTAGGGAGGTTTATCTTTTTCCTGGTTATCAAACTCACTTTCAAGTCCTTAGCTTGAGTGCATTCTTCTGGCCTCCGGCCCCATCAAGATTTTCCGTTAGTGGTGAACCCCGACAGGTCTTTCAAGAATCTAGGTTAGCACATACGCACCTCGGGAATATATATTGTGTTTCTGCAACGACTCCGAGTCTCGCGAGGCGTGAAGGTGAATTCCTTTTCATGGTCAGACTATCACATACAAATGATTGCCGCTGCGCGGATCGGCCTGTCAATCTGCGTGGGTTTGCTTCTACATAGAAGAATTCTTTTATATCAATATGCAGCACTGAGTAGATTATCATCCATCTTATCATGCGAAAACAACATCTGCGTGCATGGTACGTTGTAAATGTGAAAGAGCTGTATCGAAACAAAAGATAGTTTGAGTAGGTTCAAGTGCGTGGCGTTTTCTGCATGCAGCGGAAATCGGAACTCACGCGCAGGTGCTGAACGTGAAAACTTGAGCTGTATTGAATGCAAATCATGATTGTGACAAATGTCGTCGACCTTGTGACAAATATCCATATACCACGATGATGACTGACGTAGTTCAATTTGATAACCGGAGTGAATTATATTTTTGAGAGCGGGGAAATCGGCAGCATGTTGTAAGAGAAGGAGCAAGAAGGAGCAGAGATGTTCTAAAAGGAAAATATAGTAATCGGCCTCCAGCAGGCGCAGCGGAGCAGTGGGCTTCAAGTTTGCGAGGTCTATATATTGTGGAAAAAGGAGGTTTCGGTGCAATGACTGGGTCTAGTTAAGATGAACCTCCGAGGATCTATACACCGCAAAATGTTCAAGTTGTCAGCAGGTTTCGAACCAACCCCAAGAGAAACAGATTTTGACTCTGTTGTGGTGACTACCTGTCTAAGACCAGTTAGATAGACCTCCGAGGAAACTATCCATGAGTCAATGTCAAGGTGTGTTCCGATAGAAAAAAACTTGTCGTTCGGCGGGCTTTGAACCTGCACAGTCCAAGAGAAAGAGATTTTGATTCTGTGGTACCCTCTTGGCTAAGACCAGTTAAGATGAACGCCCGACGAAACTATCCATGAGTGAATGTCAAGGTATGTTCCGATAGAAAACAACCTTGTCGGCGGCAGGTTTCGACCCCACGCAGGCCAAGAGAAACATATTTTGATTTTGGTAATCACTTGGCTAAGGCCAGAGAAGATGCACCTCCGAGGAACTGTCCATGAGTGAATCTTCAAGGCGTGTTCCGAAAGGGAAAAAAACCTTGGCGTCGGCAGGTTTCGAACCTGCTGGCATATGGTCCAAGAGACAGATTTAGATTCTGTTGTGGTAAGTACTTTCGCCAGGACGAAGTTGAGAAGAACCTACGAGGAAACCATATGTGAGCGAATCTTCAAGACGTGTTGTGACATAAAAAAAGCTGTCGATGGGCAATTTTCGAACATGCACAGTCCAAGAGAAACAGATTTCAATTCCGTTGTGTTAACCACTTGTATAAGACCAGTTAAAAGGAACCTCCGACAAAATCATTCGTGAGTGAATATCAAGGTGTGTTCCAATAGAGAAAAACCTTGCCGTCAGCAGGTTTGGAGCCTGCGCAGTTCAAGAGAAACAGAATTCGATTCTGTTGCGGTGACCACTTGCCTATGACCAGTTGAGGTGAACCTCCAATGAAACCGTCCATGAGCAAATCTTCAAGGTGTGTTTTGATAGAAAAAGACACCTGTCATTCGGCAGGTTTCGGACCTGCGCAGGCCAAGAGAAACAGATTTTGATTCCGTGGTGATAGCTACTTGGGCAAGACCAGTTAAGATGAGCAGCCGAGGAAACCACCCATGAGCGAATGTCAAGATGTGTTCCGATAGAAAAAACCTTTCGTCGGCGGGTTTCGAACCCACGTGCGCAGTTCAGATTTCGATTCTGTTGTGATAATCACTTGGCTAAGACCAGCTAACATGAACCTCCGGTGAAAGCATCCATGAGTGAATGTCAAGGTATGTTCCGATAGAAAACAACCTTGTCGGCGGCAGGTTTCGAACCTGCGCAATGTTCCCAAGAGAAACAGATTTAGATTCTGTTGTGACAACCGCTTTGCTCAGGACGCTCTTCTCTGATGAACCTCAGATCTTAGAACTGTCTATGAGTGAATGCCAAGGTGTGATAAGAGGGACAATCATTTTTCGAATCCGCACCACCCAAGAGCAGATTTGAACTTACTGTTCTGGTACCAGTTGGCTATGACTAGACCTTCAATGAAGGGATCCATCCATGAGTGAATGTTCAAGGCGTGGTAAAAGGGAAAAAAATTGTTGAGCAGGGAAATCTGCAACAGATTTCTGTCCAGAAAGTTGCTAGATAATGTAAAATACATATCCACACCAATGTTATATATCGTCCTCGGGACCGTCCTCAATCATCTTTGCATAGTCTTCGTAACTTGCAAATGTTGGCAAGCTTCTCAGCTTCTTCCGCTTTTCACGTTTGGACTCGTTCTCCTGTTTTCGCTTCTTTGTACTACCGAAGCCATTCCATTGTTCTTCGCCGTCGCCGCCATTTTCATCAACGATTCCGTTGTACTCGATGAGACCCTGAGGAACTTCATCCAAGCCGAGGAGATCCTCATTGTCAGAAGCCTCAACCATGGAGAAATCATCACCGGAACCACCATCTTCATCCTCATCTTCATCTTCTCCATCAACTTCAACTTCCTCATCATCCCCATCGGAATCACCAAGATCGGAAGCGACGCTGTCGCTATCCGCCATGAGGTCTTCATCTCCTGTCATACGAGGCATGCTAGCTTGCATCGCCTGTTTGCAAGATGGCTTGAGCTACGGATGCAAAGGTGACAACGAGAACTGAGTACCTTCCATATATCTGCCTCTTCGGCGTCACTGTCTTCGTCGTCTTCACTGTCGTTATCGCGTTCAGTATCATCTACGTCTCTGTCCTGCGCTTCCTCCAACTCGCTCGCTGAAGCATCTACATCAGAAGCATCATCCGATTCCCCTGCATCACTATCCCCTTTGCCGGTATGGGCGGTTTTGTTTTTGTCTTTTTTCACGTTTCCTCGAAAGAATTTATGGAAGAAGACCTTAAGTGACTTTAGCACGGTCTCGATCACCGAATAAGCAGCTCGTTACCTCGTCAACAGGAATATCCTGCAATCGCCTGTTCAAAAATTTCTCATCGTTCGGTAGAGCACCGCCGGACGATTCGCCTTTCAGTAACTTCACGCCAATCCTGTCGTTCGCGCTAGCTGCAGGTTGCATGGCGCTGGAGCCTTTTGTCTTGATTTTTTTGGGATTTTTGTAGACGAAACGATCGAGGAAATGAGAGAGGGTATTTAAAGACAGATCTGGGCTTGACGTGATAGGTTGGCCGGAGAGGAGTTGTTGTGCGTGTAAAGAGACGGTCGGATGATAATGGTGTATGAGGGGAATCTAAGAGACATGAGGACTTTGTAAAATCAATGTACATAAGCGATTACCAATTCGAACAAGGGAGAGGCTGAGGGGTGCGCAAACTGCGGGTCTCGCTTTCGTGGATCATACTGTTCTTCAGAAGTGGAACGGGATCCTCTGGAAAGGTCCCGCAAGCCTGGAACTGTACTGAACAACTTGGAATAGAGTCAGGTGGGCCATAAAATAGGTGAGCAAGGGCGCCTTACTTCTCCTAGGAGGTATAATCCTCCTACGATGAACTCGGTCCCGCCCGCACTGCCACTGGCAAGAACTTGTACGAACCGGCGGACAAAGCTCTTCACGCGTTCGGAGTTGTCGTCGGCCTTGAGAGACTTAAAGAGTAGGTTCAAGTACATTGTCTGTTTTGAGGATGAGGCGAGACGACCATCGTGTAAAGACTGGTACAATGTTCGATAATATCGATCCACGATGCTCTTCGAGAGTGCAGAAGATGAAGACTCGGGTAAGTGGGAGAGCGAGGATGATATCTGCTGAATAAGGAGTAGGGCTTGCAAAGAGGTGTTGAATGTTGAGGTATGTGTGATGAGGAATAGGGTGTCTATATGTTTGTTCAAGCTTGTTGGAGAGAACGTCAGGTGAGAATATACCATGCTTGAGGAACCTACTTGACATCCGATGGTCCCAACTTTGCATAGGGCAACGCGCGATTCACACCTGTCAATATGGCAGAAATCGATTTTGAAACGCATCTTCAACTTCCGCGAAACCACCGTCACCAACAACCTCTTTCGTTGTCTTCCGCTTTTTTTTCTTCCCCACAACTTCTCCGTCTTGTTCTTTGGCGTTTCCTTGTTCCCAGCCGATCGACTCTCCCCCAATAAATCCTTGAACATCTGGAAATACACATCGATGACCTGTACAGCAACATCTTTGTCCCCCAGAGCAAACACAATCTGGTTAAGCGTTATCGTTGCATAATAGCGCGCATGGTCGTTGCTCGTTCTCTTTGTAGCTCCGTCAAGCTTCGGTTTTGGCTTCGGTTTCGGTTTTGGTTTGGAAGTTGAGGTGGTCGTCTCGTCGGTGAAGCGGATATGCGTATTGGTAGTTGGCGCAGTGGCGGGTGTCGCGATGCTTGGTCGAAGGATGAGGGACGTCATCTCGCGTACGACGACACCTTTCATAGATGGATGAGCTTGTAGGAGTTGAAGGAGGTGGTAGGAAGCGCGAGAACATATGGATTTTTCAGAATCGCCCTATGTACCATGATTAGCGAATTGCTTCACGACTTAATTTTTTCCCTCTCACCAGTTTGTTTACCAATAGCCTAAGTAGGTTATGCTCCTGCTCAGGTTTGTCGCGAAGGAGCGTGTAAGTTAAGGAGAGTGCTTGGGTGCGCACATACACCAAGGGGTCCATTGAAAGGACCTGGAAAATGTGTGAGCTCCTGCACTCGAACACGCTTATAATCCCACCTCTAGGATTTGGAGGATGGAGAAAAAATACTTCTTCAGCCAATCCTCGAAGTACCAAATGAGAACATGATCATCCTTGACGCTCTGGTGTGATAGAGGCTGATCACGGAAATACCTGAGCAATCATCAAAATTTCATCCACGAAAGCAGCATGTCCATACGCACTTTAACTTCCTGTTCGGCGCGCCGCCTCCAACCCACCAATCAAGTATACATCGCAAAGCCTTAAGACTTTCTTCTCGACCTCCTTTTCCCTTTCCTCGCTCAGCCATCCCCTTCAGAGTTTCCAATGCTTTCGTGTTGTGTAATGGGCTACTTTGCACGAGGAGTGTAAGAGCACTGAGTCTGTCTGACAGCGTGCCTGAGTGCAAAATTTTCTGCAAAAATGCATAATCTGAGCTGGATGATGTGGCTGTTGAGGATGTCCCAGACTGGTATGTCTCTACCGTCTTCGCATGAAGAGATGCGCCGCGCTCCATCAGGGAGGACAATTTGGCAGACGTGACAGGTGGGAGAGCGGTAGGTGACCCAGATAGCTTGGGTACATTTTGATACCATAGAGGAGACGCTTCGATCTGAGGTTTTTTCGCGACTTTGGAGACATCGGCGCGAGCTGGTGTTGGCATTATTTTGTCTTTAAAATTGTGCGAAGCGCACGAGCTGTCTTGACCATAGCAGTTGCTTATACTGAAAGGGTAATAACCTTAGATAATCATCAAATAATCATCCAACTAATTTCGATGTTGAACCAGAACGTTGATCATGTCTCGTTACCACAGGACGCTATAATCAACGCCTCCAATACACAACCTTGACATTTACAAATTCAAGCTTCAACATCAAACGCCGAGCTCTGCAAAATATGGAGGACTGAGAACAAATCAAATTGCAATGTCTAGTCTTACTCTGGCTCTGTATTCCTTCATCGCGACAAACCACAACAAACGATTACCGTGCCATCGAGGCAAAACTTACTGTTATTGCAGGTTCAGCACTTCTACCCCAGAGGTGTGTCACGCACTACTGTGAAGGAATTGACTCATCATTTAACTATGTTATCATGGTCCCTGCATTTAACATTAGTACACTCAGGCCTAGGGGAGTCAGGTATGCTTGAAGTGACACGTGCCCAGACACCACGGAGACTCCTCATGTCGTATCCAAGCATGTTGAAGATCGAGAGCGACATCCACGCTTAGGAGAACAACGGCGGGTTCAGGCGCCGTTTCTCACTATCCTTCTTCGCAACCGATACCGAAACAACAACACATGTCCTGCATACTAGTACATGTCTGTATGCGTCGTCTGTCCACGACGTGACCGTTGCCCCTATCTAACAGTTGTTGGCCTTGTGGAAAGACCGGAGAATCACCTAGGTGTTCCGAATTAAAATATCCACCTTTGCCGTCGAAGCGAGATTCTCTACCTTTAGCGCTTCTTACCCAGAGGTGTGCCATGCACTGCCCTATGAGTCAATTGTCTATCATCTGACTATGTAGTCCATCGTCACTGGATAACACGCAAGCCTAGTTGCGCATGAAGCGACATTTTTTTGATGGCGGTTTTTTGAATTAACAATATCCACATTCGCTATGCCGTCGAGGTGAGATTCGCTGTCATCGCATGTTCAACACTTCTGGCCCAGAGGGGTGTCACGCGCTGCCTTGTGAGCGAAGTGACTGACTATCATCTGACTGTGTAATCAAGGTCGTCAGATTACATACGGGCCTTGGTGTGCAAATTACTTCTGAGGGCACACGATGACCCCATCTTGGGTCCTAGATTCTGTGCATGGATGACGGTCAGATCCGTGCCCAGACACTAGTAGCTCCATGCTAGTTCATTTTCTTCCCAGCAAGGAATTATTCATACCTGCACTATTCTCCAGTTACCTAGAGGTTTAAAGGCAAGACTCGTTCAATTCATCACATCAAAGACCTTCTACCAAAATGAGTTACAGTTAGCAGCACCACATCCACGGCTTCTCGTATTCATTTTTACTCGTAGCAACCATATCTGAATCAGCAGCCGTCTCATAGTCCGCGACCTTCGACCCACCAACTTCGTCGGGACCACTATGTGCGCAGTGCAAAACGATGGCGGGAAATTTCGTGTCTAGTTTCAAAATACAGACTGCCAGATCTATGAAATGTCGTTGAACGACCCGAAGAGCACGACCTATATCCTGCTCAAGCTCACCAACAGCAACATACCTGCTGCCCGTATCAACACGCCCATCACAGCCGTGGCACGTAACAACTTGTAAAAAGTACGTGTTTTGAGGCCTTCCCGTGTCTCGTAATCTCATTCTCGTTTCATCATTACAGATCCGAGTTTTTTGCATCACTGTGAACAGACATGTGCAGGAGATTCGTCACTCCCAGCGTCATTGTTGGCAGACAGACGCGACCAATGATTGGCGCCGCTGTTGAGAACAGCACCTACTTGTATACGCAAGGCCGTTCGCCCATAATGAGGCTATGCGCTGGGTTGGGATCCAGTCTGCAGCTACTCCACGGACTATTACAGAAGCCTACACTATGAAAGACGACTGGAAGACTCGTGTACTTTAAATTGGATAGCATACTTCGGCTTGCATGCCCAAAAAGTTATCATGTTACGGGATGTATCCAGAGGTGTGTGTACCTTATCTAACATATGACGTGTGGCATGAACTGACAGACTCGCGACTGATATGACCCTAGAGCTTTCCTATATGCGTGGATCAGGCTGTGAATTCAATCTATAAAATCGTCGCAAACGCACCGATGCAAGTTTCTGGCCCCCAGATAAAGCAACGATGCAACAGCGCAGGTCCTTCGAATACCACTGCCTTGCGAGCCAGGAAAGGAGACTACGATTCAGAAAGGGTTGAATATATGGTCAAGCTTCTCCCAGTTTTGACATGCATAGTTGAGAGTGTCGGAAGTTGATCTACTTTGCTCTCGTGCTACGCTTGGAAAACTTGAAAAGGACTTCATAGCATGGATGATATCCAGTCTCGTCCGTCTGGGGTCTGCAACCAAATTCGCCCGCACTGTGCCTGGAGCTAGTCTCGCCCAGTGGGAACCGCAGCCACGTCTTGCACCATAGGACTGTAACCAATGCCACCCACCCAGAGACTGTAGCGGGTCCACCATTGCTGAGGCTGGCATCGATTATGGCCAGGGTTCATCCTAGCCTGTACCAGTCCACCACGGTCCACTGGCCACGGCCACGCCCGACGTCTTGTGTAGTGCACTGCACGTGATCGATTCAGACTGCTTGGATTTGAGGTACGCTGATGTCCAAAGGAGTCGTACATGCATGCCGACTCTCACCCAGAAATATCAGACTAGCTTGGTATCAGTCTAGTTCTGGGGCGCCACCGGGACTCCATCACATGAGCGACACAGGCATGCGAATCTGTAGGGCTGTGGGACGAATAGTATCGAAAAGCTCGAACGGCAGTCCGTCTTGTCACGTCTTTGTCCCACGTTGTGTTTGGCGTGTCGCGAAGCTCTAAGGTTTGCGCTATAAATTACTTTGCGTACTTTGAACAAGTAACATAAGCGTAATGGTCATGGCACAATCCACTCCTCGAGTTTGGTTGAGTGAGTCGGGATGCAACCCCTCGCCATGCGGTTCACTGAATGTTTACAGTTACTGGTTCTTCCACTGGGTTCGGCAGGGCGATGGTGGAAGAAGTCCTGCTTAATGGCGAGATTGCTGTCGCGACTCTGCGCAAGCCCTCCGTCCTCGATGATCTCGTCGCCAGATACCCGCGCACCCAGCTCCTAGTACTTCCACTGGACGTGACGAACGAGGTGCAGGTCAAATCTGCCTTCGTGCAGGCCAAGGACACCTTTGGACACGTCGATGTCGTGTATAACAACGCGGGGCAGGTGTTGTTTCAGGAGTTGGAGGGGGGTACCAATGGACCGTGCCAGGGCGCTGATGGATGTTAATTTCTGGGGGGCGGTAACGGTAAGCTTCGAGGCGGTCAGATTCTTTAGAGAAGTGAACCCGAAGGGTGCTGGGGGGATGCTCGTCCAAGTATCGAGCATGGTAGCAACCGCCGCTGGTCGGGTTCTATAACTCCACGTGAGTGGGTCGACGCTGTCTGGTTAAGCGTCGTTGATGCATTTGTTGTTCGTAGGAAAGCAGGTAATACTGCTTGTGACAGACTGTGTGACTTAAACTCACCACTATGTAGCCTTGGATTCGTTCACTGAAGTTCTGGCACAGGAGCTCCTTCCCGCTTGGAATATTCGGGTGAGTAGCTGAAGAGTGACAGACAACAGTCGCCGAGTGCTGAGTACTGAGTGGTCATACAGATCGTGAATGTCCACCCGGGTTCGACGCGTACCCCCCTTATGTTAAGTGAGATGCTCGAACCTCCAGCACTGTATGCATCGGAACCAACAGCTGTGACGACGAAGTTGCGTGCTGAGGCAGATACGCTCATCGCAAGCGATGCACTGATTGGTGTTGAAGCTGTGACGAAGCGCATTTGGTCCGTGACGCGTATGGACAACGAGGACCTGCGGAAGGGTATGCAAGAAGGCATTCCAGGCCTCGTGAACATGCATACGGGCATGGACTCGCTGGGGCGTGTGCATGCAAAGATCGGGCGACTGCAGGGTGAGCTGATGTGGAACATGAAGGTTCATTATGAACACTAGTCTCGAGTATGTCTTCAAAATGAACGGTTGGTTCCGCAGAAGCAATTCGCGTGATTCCCATGTGTGAACTCCAACTTCATGAAAGCAATGGATGTCGATGAGGCGTTATTGTGCCGACAAGCTGATGTAACCGACGATGTTTTCACAATCCACCTGTCGATCATCCAAACTCGAGTCTGGTACCCCAGCTTCAGATTTCGTAGTCCGCGACACACTGAGTCTGATATAGCCCGAACCAATGGAACTCACTCATAGCGACAAGGTACTAAGACACTCGAACTAAGATGTCGAAAACCATTTACCAGGAGAACAATGCACTAAGGGTCGGGCCCTGGGATCCACTGGCAGGTTGCACTCATGGATGTAGCACTGAATGGCACCTGCAATGCCGATTTCATTGTACAGGTCGTGGGGCAGACTCTTAAAGAGCGGAGCAAGGGTCTGCATGTCTCGCAGAAGGCGAAAACGATGTTCGGCTCTCGCGCATTGACGAAGACATGAAAACGAAGGTACTCGACGGCTCGCATCATACAAGCGCAAGGACGACCTCATCAATATCACCGACGCTCCTTCGCTACCGAGAGATGGGACACGAATCAAAGAACATCTTGCAGGAAATCCTGACTGCCAGACAGCCAAAGTTCACGGGACTTCTTGAGGGCGAACGAACGAGTGCCGCCACAGCGTCAGCAGCTTCAGCTCATAGAATTTGCCACCAGAACTTCCTGCAACTTCCAGTTCCTCCCAGCCTGGGCATGCGCTACTACCACATTTCAAACATCCATCGTCTCACACTGCATTCACCATATTTTTTCGCTCAACCCCCACATCCGGCGAGTCACGGACTTCGCAGTCCATCTATATATCAATACCCACTGGCACATCCTCATACATTCTCTCAGCAACATTTTACACAGCATTAATGATTTGCTTTTAGCTCTATATATTTTCGCATACTGTAGTTCACAGATTTACTCGGCGCCTTTGTCTCTGTTTGTGATACCACAGTTCAACTAGGGTTACACCACACGTTTCCCCACCGATCTTGCGCCGCACCCGTACTCCCCCACGCCAAAGCACACCCTGTTCCACGTCATCGATAAATCCGACACCGTAGCTCGACGCCGCATTAAACCGTGGAGTCGGACACTTCATCCCCAAGAAAGTTGGACATGAGCGATCAGCAGCACTGCAAACTTCCAGACAGGGCAAGACCGTCTGGTATGAAAATGTAACATTGGGCAGGAAATGGTTCCGTGCGTTCGAGCCGCCGTTCTGAGGCAGAGTCAATGCCGGCGTCGGGGATGATGGCGAAGAACTTGATGGGGGCTCGGCGCATCGCGGGAAGGACACGGAGCATAACCAAGTGCGGTATGCTTCCTGGCAGCTTTCACAGGTCTGCAAGGGAGAGTATAGGTCGCGCCCGCATGCAAATGTGAGAAGCATGGTCGTAAAGTTAGTCATATACTGAAGAAGGGGATCTGATACGCTCTGTGGGAGATTTGAAGAGTCGTAGGATGATGCAGGGGATTGAGGGAAGGGAAGAGGAACAGCGTATGATGTAGATGGACAAAATGGAAGGGAGTGCACGAGGGGGCAGGGGAATGATGCTGATACGGAGACATAAGCGAACGTATGCTACACTGAGGAGAAAACGCACGAGATTTGGTAGTGAAATATATTGGTCCGCTCAATTTTACCTGGTCCTGGATAACATATGCAGTGTAGTTCGTGCTCGGTGTCAAGTCATCAATAAGCCATTGAGATCCTCCACCCGTAATTATTGCGCAGCCAGAGATCGTTGCTTACTACCAAGCCTGAGGAGGAAGTAGAGTTGATGCTACATGCTGTCTGCATGCCAGAAGCAAGACCAGAGGAAGTGGGCGCAATGACGAGAGAGAATGCGGGGGGCGATGACGGCGGTGAAGGAATTGAAAGATTGGCAGGAGGAAGAGTGTAGTTGGGATACATGGACGGTGAGGATTCGATGGGTGATATTGGAGGCGAAAATATCAGAGCCTGAGTATTGGTAGTATCTCCGAGGAACGGGAGTGCAGGAATTAGTTCATGCACAAGAGCTACTGGCAGCATGAACAACTATTAAATTCAGTGTTCATTCGGTGTACATACCTCCTGTCGATGCGGCAACTTGGAATGAGGTCTGACCGACATTTTGTACTACTAATGATCCACCTTGTTGTGCAGTGCCAGTCCAGTTCCCGAATCCGCTCTGCAATGGAATTTCAAAAACATCGGTGGTACTGGTAGACGCTGTGTTGTTATTCACCAAAAACTGGAGATGTCGATCCGGTGGAGCAAATGGCGACGGATACCGTCAGCTGCTGAGCTTGTGGAAGAGAAAATGTGGGATCACTAGACAGAGATGCTCCGGAAAAGGAATATAAGGTATTGAGAGTAAGTGACTCTTGTGCATTAATAGCGAGTATTGCATGTATAAGATACCAAAGAGACCGCGGAAGTGTTCGCATCTATGAAGTCCGTCGATGTCGCGACAGTCAGCTGCTGAGCGTTGTGTCACTTGGTTCGGAGATCGTTGTCGGGTAAGTTTCGGAAGTGGCTGCGCTTGGCGGCTGCAGCTATTACTAGAACAGTCATGCTCAAACTTCTCAAGCTTCAATTATCACAGTCCATTGCCTGCCAAATATCTTCGAAGTTTGGGGTCTTTCGAGATACAAAATTGAGCGGTGGGTTTGCCGTGGAACTTATGGCATGTATTATTTTTTCTCGTTTTCTCGTTGAACTTCAGCATCTGTAGGTCGGTCCTGGTCCTGAAATTTCAAGGGCCGTAGAGAGGTTTCACTGAAAACTGAGTCTGACGTTGTATACACACAGAATGACTGTCTCAGGGTAATCTTCCTGATGAATCTATTCTGAATGTCAAAGTATTCAATGAAATTCATGACAGAGCTCAACGTCATCCATCATGATGTGGCATGATAGTGCGACCCTCAGAACACGATCTGTGACCCTACCTTGCGATATTGGTCTCGCCATTCTAGTATTTGTGATCCCAAGACTAGGGTCTGTACAAACGTAGAACATACCATCATATGGCATTGTACGGGGAACGACGTCCTTCGTGAGTGTAAATACATACTGGCGTTCAGCAATTCATGCCGTTCTCTTGGTCCATGCCCTCATGTCCTACTGTTCAGGAATCAGGTCGTCACGATTATATCGTGTTGTTTGCCTAGACTCTAATCTATCTCGCGCATGGCGCCGCTTCAAGACCGTCCTATCCTTTTAGGTAAAATGAGGAACCCATGATGGTCCATACGCTATCGTCGCTGTACACTCCGACGCTTCACTTCATAATACTCTGGAAGTATAATATTTTTGGTTAAAACTCACCTGATAACCAATACCTTTCTTGCCCTTCCACTAATCAGCATGTCGATAATAATAGTTGACCTCTTCTTTGCTAGCTCAATCGGAACAGCCTCCTCTTGCCAATCTCGACGGAATCTCATAACATTCTTAATCTCGAAGACATTCCGAGACCACCCCAGACTACATTTGGGTTCTTCCGAAGCAATAGCAGCCGTCTTTTTCAACCCCGCTTCTCATGATGTAGACTAAGAAGCCATCATCTACCGTGACAAAGCTAACTAGTTACAGGCGGATTTGTGTTCATTTCCGCAGTGAACCATAGGGATTCTCATTCAAATAGTATCTCCATTTTTTCCTGGCGCAGGCGCGAGTGCTGACAAAAACACAGCTTCAACTTTTTATCGCACAGAAAATCTCTAATTTGATGGCCTAAGAACGATCATTAAAGTGCAACTCAGTTGCCCTGGTATGAAACGCGGCAGACTGACATGCCTATTGATGTTCAAGCTCAAACCAAGATATCACAATCTAGAAGCTTGCAAATGAACTCTTCTTGTGGCCCATCGTGATATTGACAAACAGCTTAGCCCTAATCCGTGATTTCGAAGACGACCTGAAGGTCAGCGTTCCTACCATGCTACCATAACCGTCCTTCTCGAATCCGTCCGCAAGACCAAGGTCATGCCGACAACTCGTCACGCTTGTATGTTTGCTTCATCGAAAATCATACATCACGGTGGAGTAGGGGTCCCTAGGGGTGTAGGCAGAGCAGCTGCGGTGTTTAGAGTAGAGTTTGCTGGTAGAGAGCCGGAGCCGCGCTGCGCGGGAGAGCAATCGATTCCTTCCCGAGCGTAGCATCCAGTGGGAGAGCGGGCCGAGCCCGCTCCAACGGGAAGCTGCCTATTCACCGCCGCTTCTGGTGTGGATGCTTGATAAACACTCAGGCGTTTTTGCTGAGCTCTCATTCGCAATCCTTGTTTGTTATCTGGTATTTGTTGACGATGTGTGCCTAGCTTTTCAAATGTCGGATGAATATTGGTCTTGACTCTTGACCATAAAGCTCATCGAAATATTAATGCCATAGAAACATTTCTATATTAAATTATTATTATAAAATTCCAGTTGTAGCGGGGCGTTCCAGCGAGGCCAGATTTGGTGCAGAACAGTGTAGGCCAGTGGAGTGTCAGCGGCAGAGTGAGGGGTAGAAGTGACTGGGGAGTCACGATCGATGTATATGGACGCGGTGCAGACCAGTCCTGATAATCGATAGCAGCTTGGTCCTTTGCCTTCTCTCGAGCAGTGCCGGCCAGTCCAATATATACACAAAGCGTTACTATAGAATAAATTTCTACTGAAACTATCGTAAATCAAGATTATAATCGCGCTGCTGGGTATACGCAATAGTGATACCACACCCAGAGTAAAGCCCCAAGCTTCAACTGTGTCCTGTATATTGCTTTCGCGAGGGACGCTGGCTGCTGCGACGTGTTCAATCTTGATGCACTTAAGCATCCCCCCCATCACTCTTCAAAGATCATCAAAGTGCGATGCACCCGTAGTTACGACCGAGCTTGAGGGATTCTTAAACATGTAGTATATCACACACTGGCAGGGCGTCGCTCCCACGTTATGTGAATACGGATTACTACTGACGTAGCGGGAATACGGATTTACAAAAGCTAGCCAACAACTATGCCAGTGTATACCGCAAGAAACCATTTCTTCCTCGCAGAGCTCATAGTTTTGCCCTTGGTAGCGGAATTGCATCCATGATAGCATCTGGACACTCATATTGAATCCAGTGACCGATACCGGTAAGAGCTCTAACATTCAATCTCTCCACGTCACGAGGGATGTGTTCCAAATTACAAATACCAACGCCGAACTTTGGGTCTGACACAAGTACGGTGATCTTCAGGTGAAGGGGGATTTTTTTGAGCAGGCCACTAAAACCATGGACTGTTTTGCTGTTCGAGACCCAGTCAGCAATGCTTCACATTCTGACAGTTGTAAAATTACCCGAAAAACTTCGACAGCCGTGCGATCGCACATGGAGAATCCCAGCGTTCTTAACATGCAGTCACGGTGTGACCAAGCAGGATTTTTAGCCATGTGCACGTTGACGGGCTTGATATTCGCCGTTTCCTTTAGAAACAGATTTAAGTTCATCTTGTTCTGTTCCTCTGTAAACTCAAGGCCAGGATCGAGGAGTATAACGGTGGTTTCTTTCTTCTTGGGTAAAAATGGCAAGAGAGATACTGTCACTGCACCGCCAAAAGAATGACCAATAATTACGTCGTAGGATGTGTCCATGACGAAATATGGTCGGAGGTCCTCTGCAAAGGCGGATATACGGTAGTCGGTATTGCCCTGCCTCCATGCATGGGCAAGGAGATTCGGTGCTACAACAAAGAATCCTGATCAATCTGTCAACAAGGAAGAACATCACTACAGTATGCCGAGCTCAACCTTCTGCCACCAATAGCTGAGCGAGACCCTCCCAGGAATTCGATGTCATAGTAATGCCATGAATGAGCAAAGCCCGTCTGGTAGCGGTGGGGGAACCCCACTGGGTCGCTGAAATGGTCATTTGTGCACGCTAATATCAGATTTTGGAAGCGGAGAAGGGTGTAGGAATGAAATTCGGAACTCAGTCTCCATTTTAAAGGCTGAGGGAGCACCAAGACCTGCAAACGGGATGCCAGTTCTGGAGTCAGAGCATGGGAAGAATGTGATAATAGCACAAGGCCTTTGACAAGCGCATAAGACATTGAAAACTAGGTTACAGAACCAAATATTACGTTTATCGATCATCGAATAGTGGACGTTGCATAATCTCGCTTGCTGAATAAATCGGGGTGCCAACCGTATCTGTGAAGGTGGGCTCAGGCGGCGAGATAATTGCATGCGGTGAGAAAACAGGTTGGGGATGTGACGTGTCAACCTAAATGCAAAAGTCGAACGGAGGGGACTGTAGAAAACCGCTATCAGTGACTTTAGGTACATCGAATCGCTGTGAAGCAGTCCGACGGTGCGACCGCACGGTCGAGCTGCTTTGATTTTATCATTACTTACTTCCCAATAATCTTTTAATGATCTAGTATCACAAAGACGGCGGTGAGAATGTGCAGTTGACAGCCCTCCAGAACGAAGACTAACATGACTTACAGGTACGAGTCAGCACTAGCAGTAGATCTAAGATTGTGTGGTCTAATGCCTAGTAGGCTTTTATACTCTCATGGAGTCACTTGGATACCGCATACATAGCGTTGAGAAGCTGCGGATCGGCAGTACAAGCCTGCAGCGGCAGCATACCGGACGAGTACTGGATCTCACGGTGGCAGCGATTAGTGACCCCGCGCATAATATTCGCGCAGACTTCATCGATATCATTGGGCAAGGGTGCACGGCATCGGATAACTGAGAAGTTCATTTCAGTTTCGAAGTGCTGGCACTACCAGAGGAGTGCATGGTCACGGTGTGACACCTATATTTATTGAAATCGCCTAATTAGATCTTCAAGTTCACGTCGAGTCAAGAATTTCACATTGCTTACTCTTCGACGAAACTTGGTGAAAATAAAGATGATATCACTCCAAGTAAAACTTTACTGGGTTAGTAACATATATGAATTCTCGTAAATTACATATAGTATATACCCGCAGTGGTCCATGCGAGAAGCTTTCGATATCAAGCAGGTATGCCGTGGGCGCATCGTAAGTACCATACACGTAATGTTTATTCAAGCGGTCGACGAATCTGGAGACAGAATTTATATATATACCTTGCGCAGTTACATAAGGTCCGCAAATATGGCATCGGGTCTAGACTTAGACTACTGGAAATTCATTCAGAATGTTGATGACTAATAAATATGGGTGGCGAGTTATAAGGCTTGAGTTTGGGTTAGTTGTCGCTTGCATTCCTTTGTGACCTCAGCTTCACTGAATGGTACCGACCCCGCTTAATATTTCTTCCCGCTCCCCCCGTCTTAGTCTAGTCACTTCATTCTCACTTCTATCCAATATGTGCCCAGCATCACTCGCAAACTCCTCGGTTCCACGCCCGACGATGGCAGTCCTTCAGCGCTGCACGCTTACGCGAAGCGTGCGGCTACAAGCACTCACGGACCCGAGTTCATCGTCTTTGCTGTCTCATTCCTGTCCTCGTCCTCTTATCAGGTCTATTTGCCGGTCTGACTTTAGGTTACATGAGCTTGGACGAGACCCAGCTTAATGTGTTGAGCATGAGCGGCACTCCGTTCGTTAGGTTTATCTCTATTCGTCTGCTGTCTTCCCTCATCTTGTCTTTCACAGTCAACAAAAACGTTACGCTGAGAAGATCATGCCTATCAGGAAAAACGGTCATTTACTGCTGGTGACACTACTTCTTGCTAATATGATCGTCAACGAGACTCTGCCTGTCATCTCCGACCCCATTCTCGGTGGCGGAGTGCAGAGTGTAGTCGTCAGTACCGTCCTAATTGTCATGTGAGTATATTCTCGCGGCCCCAGTTCCTCAAATATTTCGGCGAGTCGTTTAGTGGTTATGATCCGTCATCCTTGACGTATCCTCTTCTGATCCGCAAAAAGAATCCGTCAGGCGATAACTCGGTTATCGACGTCACCTAACATCTTTACATTCTGATGTTTCTATTTAAATATTGCTCACCCAAAATTGCTTCTAGCTTCTCGGAAATTATTCCGCAATCGTTGTGCACCCGACATGGTCTTTACTTTGGCGCTCAAATGGCAGGCTTCACTCGAGGCTTAATCTATCTTCTTGTACGTCATTGCATGTCTTGTAAGAATGTGAACCAATTTATAGTAGGGGCGTCATTGCATGGCCTGTTGCCAAACTTTTGGAGTTAGTACTCGGTCCCCATCATGGAATTATGTACCGTAGAGGAGGTAGAAGCCCATGTTTCACATCTATAATTCTACTGACAGTTTTTCTTTTCTGCTCAGAACTGAAAGAGCTCATCGCATTGCATTCGTCAATGTCTCCCCTTGGTGGCGATCTCAAGACTGATACGGTCACAATTATCGGAGCTACTCTTGACCTACAAGAGAAAGTGGTGAAGCAGGTTGGTTGCCGGACTAGCATACGTTTTTCAGAGATATCGACTTATGTGTCTGCACTGACTAGGCGATGACTCCCATTGAGAACGTTTTCATGTTATCGATTAACTCGAAACTCGATTATGCACTTATGAAGAAGATTTGCCTTACTGGACACAGTCGTGTCCCTGTATATGAAGAGGTCGAGATCCCTGCTGATGCATCAGATCGCATGTTGAAGGTTAAGAAGATAATCGGTATTCTGCTCGTTAAACATGTGAGTTGCTCCTCGTGTCCGTCTTATCTTTTCTGATCTGATGTTCTAGTGTCTTCTTCTTGATCCGAAAGATGCAGTTCCTTTGCGCAGGATTCCACTGAACAAGGTCCCTTTCGTACCAAATAACGAGTCTCTTCTCGGCATTCTGGACAGATTTCAAGAGGGTCATTCACACATGGCTATTGTCTCTCGCTTTAGCGTCGAGAAAGCTGCTTCAGTCAAGAAAGTCGCCAAGCGTTCCCCTCACGCAACGCCTGCGGGAACGCGTTGGCATGGGTGACTCGAGTGATGAGGGACGACGATAGTAAAGAGAAGGATAACACTAAGAACCAAGACGGAGAAAAGGCATCGCAAGAGATATCCTGTGCTGATGAACTGGACGCTGATGGTCAATCCACACTACGCGGAGACGACAAAGATTCAGCTATACATATACCCCAGCGAGCTGTCCGGACCGGCCGTGGGCGAGGACGCCCCTCGCAACGCGGTAGGGTAAGGCGTGACATAGAAATGGGTATTATTAAAGAGCAGGCCGTTCAAGATGATACCGCCAAAGAGAAGAAACTCCGTATACCTCGCTCGGCGTCTGCGCTGGAGCAAAGCATCCCTGATGACGCTGTTCTGACGAAAGAAGGTGCCGAGGACTTTTTACAGGTCATTGATCCCGCAATAATGCCACTCGGCATTATTACCCTGGAAGATGTCCTCGAAGGTACGCGCTTGCGACTGCTTCTGATGACCGGCGCGCCCTTATAACTTCCGTGTAGAACTTATTGGTGAAGAAATCTATGACGAATTCGATCAGGATGGTGCTCGTGGCACTATCTCGTCTTACGTCCCAACAGAACATCCACCTCTTTTAGAGGTCCATGGGGAATCCTTACCTGACCTACACTCTACAGCCGCACGGCCTATTGAGGCGGTCAAGCCTGCTCCCACCGGTCCAGTCCTGCGTCCACTGTCGCTGAAGTCGTTCGGCTTCCTCCGTTCTCGTAGTGAGCCCCCCGACACCTCATGAGACGGACGAAGTTGTCTCGAAGACTTCAGCATTATCTCCCACCAACGATAGTATCAAGGAGCAGGTCACACCTGAGACAGTCATTCCGGTCATTCAGACCCTAGAAGCCTTGGCAGCGATGGATGAGCCGCAAGACATGCTCCAGCCCGCAAACACAACTAACGCTGCATCCACTTCACCTGAGGGTTCTCTTTCGGCACCTAATTTCACCATGAAGAAGAGATCTGCTTCTATTGCTGGGATTGCCACTTCTGTTCCCGGTTCTGTCAGCGCCCCTGGTACACGATCTTCGTCACCAGCACCGTCTTTGGAAGCTATCCTATTTGAGAGAAAACGTCGTCTCACTGCCGCTAAGGAGTCGGGGATGAGCCCGCCTCCCGTTCCTCTACCGAGTGATGTGCGCTTCCCCACCTTACAAACGTGTCCCTACGGTCAGCGTCAAGGCAGGGAAGTTCAAGAGCAGTCCCTTGACTGGTGGAGAACGTAGCCGAATTGTTGTCGCCGAACAAGTCATGCAAGATACGATGAACGCTGCTGACAAGGAACGGATACTGGATGAGGGTGATGACGTTGCTCATGACAAGAAGGAGGACGACAGCGGTTACTTATAACAACAGCTCCTGGCGTTGTTTCGCCACTAGTAATCTCTTTATCCTTCTGCAGATTGTAGGTCAAGAACGATGTGTAAGATTGTCGTGGTAGTTTTCTCTTAGTTACTTACGTTTGTGTTAGTCCGTGTTCTATGTATATCCCCCGCTTCTATTCTCTTCTTTACCCCGTCTCGATGTAGTAGATAGCATTTCCCACTTCGGGAGAAGCAAACTTCAATGAACAATCGTCCCTGTGCCTCTTGCGAGCGTCTCCAAATTCCAAAACAATTGACAATGAGTATTTTGGTGATTCTTCGTTGTCATCAGCAGGCAGGATGGCGCGAGTGGGCAAGCCTAAACTGCAGTTACATTCAAGTTGATGGTGGTACTATGTATCAATTATACGGATTGGTATAGTGGTATTAGTATCCCTCGAGAGTCTCGGAGTGTTCAGAGAGCTACCCTGCGTGCCCTCAGTCCTTCTGCTAACACGCTCTCCATTCCTGGGCCTTTGCTGACAGACTCCTTCATTTCAAGTCCAGCTCCCTGCAATCCATCAAGTACAGCACCATACAGGCCCCTATCCGTAGGCCCCTGCACACCGCGCATCTGAACGCCACCATACAGAACCTCGAGCGCAGCGAAAGCGACAGGCAGCCCAACACACCGTGCCATCGCAGATGCCTCAGAATTTCCATACGCCACCAAACTCGACGTGTGAATTTCCGTGGCCGAATCTATAGATGAGAGTGACGGCTGAGCGACAACTTCGTGCGACAGCACGACCATGTCGCGTTCCCCGGGATTGTATCTGAGCTTGTGAGCAAGGACCGAGGTGAAAAGTTCGATCGGTGCTTGTGGTTTGAGTGATATTGCTGAGGGGTTGCATGGAACGCCCTCCGGCGCAAGGCCCAGCCAGTCCAGAGCACTGAGAGCACTTTCCGCACGTTCGACAGTCATGACGGTGGAAAGGGCTGACAAAAACGAGCGGCGATCATTTCCGATCTGCTCTCCAATCTTCTTCTCCAGGGACATCCGTGCGAGGGTCACGCCAATCACGCAGCTGAATGGAGGTTTCCGTGTCAAGTAGCCCTATGACCTTGAAGGCGTGCATCAAATCAGAAAACCCAGGGTATCTGACATGTGACAGTCAAACCTTAGAAGGCGATGATCTGGTGCTCAACAGCCACCTACCTGAGAGTCCCACGAAGAACAGTCTGCAAATTCTCAAGCTTACCAAGCCCATACGTTTCCGCGTACGGAAGGCTATCTCGATTCGCAAGGCCCTCGAGCTTCAGGACATGCGAAATCGGGATATCGGGGAAGTATTCCTGGAGAAGATTCTCTCCACCTATTTCCATCTCCTATACGCCAGAATAATTAAGCCTTCCTGTGCGTGTTTCGTGCCATTATCGACGCACCTTCCCATTGAGCTTGAATCTCGCTCCATTGAGTGCAGCGCTGAGCACACCCCTCGGACTCCAGCTGAACTTGTATCCAAGGGGCACATCTGCGCAATCAGGGGCGGGCAAGCCGCCACAGAATGACGTGAATGAGATCACACGTTTGTTATCTCGCTTAAGTTGCGCAAGCAGCGATAATGCAGAGCAGTGATCGATCCCTGGGTCAAGACCAATCTCATTTAGCAAAAGCACATCTGCTGATTGAGCCCTATGTTCCATAATGCATGCCAGATCCAGTGATAGTTCCATGGTACCAATATCGGAATGTTCCATAGGCGACCAGGGGAATATGAGAAATGATACGAAGTAAACGACTCATCAGCACAGGCAATAACGAACGTAACGTTCGCGTCAACTGACCGTTCATGTAAGGCGCGCATGGCAGGCGAGATGTATGACGCTGTCACAAGGTGCTTACGGTGTTGAATACACAGCTCCGCGACGGCAGGGTGAAAAGGAACTGGGAGCAAGCTAATCTCAAGTTGATCATTATGTAAACTGAAGGTGGGAGGACGTCACGCACCTAATAACAACATCGGCATTTTGAATCAACCTTGCCATCTCTGCAACATCGTGCACGTCCAGATACGTCGCTTTCGCGTTCGAGTATTTGTGTGTCAAAGCCTCCGTTTCTGAGCGCACGTTGCCGGCTATCAGCGACATTCGTTAAATCATGCGATATGAATGTCCGGAAATTAAGGTATACATTAATCCAACGTCCATGATGTGTGAAAAACAACAACTAACCAACAATAATCTCCACGTCAGACCTCTTGCAGATCTCTTGCACAGCAGGTCCTGCAACCATTCCAGAGCCGAGCATGAGCACGCGTTTCTTCCTCAGCGATGTCCCAGCTACTCCTGCCTTGCTCGCTATCTCTGCGGCTTGGCTCGCTTGCCACTTCTCAACAGGAGCCGCCAGCCCACGATGCTTGCCTTGCAGCTCGCCATTCCGAGCAACTGTTGCAACGTTCAGGGCCTCGAGATGTTCGCGAGAGCCAGGTCGACCACGGCATTCGTCAATCAGGGCGCGTAAATATGGCATTAAAACCCCACAAAAATGCTGAGAAGCATCGAGAGGAAGACTTGAGGGAAGGATATCAACAGACATGATCGTCACGCTCGGAAGATGAGAAGGTAGAGAGGATGGACGGTGCTTGAAAAAGGGGTCCGAGAGGGTCGATGCGTGAGGTAGGAACTCGAGACCTCCCTGTAAGACGGTATGAGTGATTAACACATCCTCCGACAGTAAACGATCGTCGTACCTTAACGTCACAACTGATGTCGCCGATTATTCCAAAGCGCGCTCGCCCTACTTCGGCTGCACGGGTGAGAGCAGTGGCTAGTTGTTCGTTCGTCATAAGTCGCGGGAAAGACGGGAGCCAGCCAACGCCATTCAGGAAGAGCGTGAGGTATGGTGCAACCTACCGAGGAGAAAATATGAGAAAAAGGTACCAAACCATTACCTGGTGAAGAAGCTTGCCTTGGTATCGAAGTCCGAGTGGTACATGACCGGGTTCTTGTAATAATCATCACGGGAATATTGACCACCGTCGGAACGAGTGAGGTAATCTTTGGGGAGCGCGTGTACGAGGTATATCTACCAAAATGTTTAATGATCTTACTACCATACGTGGCAAGAAAGAATACCTTATGAAGGTCAGTATCTAGTTGGGTGCGACTTAAGCTTACATTCAGACAGAGAAAGATAATCAATACCTGGATTACTGACGAGTCCAGGCAGGTCCTTCACGGCCACATTCACAATCGGGAGCTCGTCTAGAATGGATAGACATCCTTGTGTCACTTTCCCGCTTCTATCAACGCGGGTCGTCAATACATTCTCTGGATCACGAACGAGCACGTACCCTGTGAGCCCGATGACGAACGGTCCTAACGCCTTAGGTGTCCCATTGTCTACAATGTCCTGACCAATGCTTCGGAGTGCAGAACGGAGCGATGGAATCGATGGGTGTGTGTGTGGACGAGGCGTGTGCTACCGGCGGCGATTGAGGTTAGGGTTAACGATGCTAGGGTTAGGATTACACGAAGCAGTGGAGTGTATAGCAGCACCCACAAGGAAAGGAGAAGCAACTCCAAGTTCAAGATGCGCGTGAGCAAGTGCAGACAAAGACTCGAGGGCACCAGCAACTATTTAATGGTAAGCCATTGCCAATAGTTTTGAGCCACCGCTTACCTCCTGCGAACCACCCAAAACCAACTGTTCGTTTGCCGTCCTCACCTACGAGGAGTTCATAATCAATCAACCGGGGCAACGATGGGTTCTCTTGTGGAGCAAGGAAGCGAGAAAGCAACTCCATATTGTAGGGCTGACCCTTCGTGGTGTGAGAAAACATTAGATGGGTGCGGGGTATGGAAGGACCTGAGCGCAAACCCGGCGCTGAAACAGGAGACGTAACCAATTCATTGAGTGGTGTCTCCTTGATTCCTACTACAATATGTGCAGGTTCCAGTGTCGGGTGTAATTTGGCGCCAGCCTGAAACAGAACATGATCAGTCACCGCCTAGCTCGGCCAATATCGGGCAAGGGAACAAATGAATGCACAGCAGAACTGCCAGTGACCAATAGTCATTGTAGTGGTTCCTTGAGAGTCAGGTGGAAGATATCATAAAGACTTGAGGAAGGAGGTACGAATGGCGATATCCTACCTTGATAAATTGATCGACGGGGAACACTCGACGGTCACAGTCCTGGATGAGAACGTTGACGTCGAGGTGCTGAACGAGTTGGGCAACTTCGTCAGGCGTGACGGGGCAGCGACGCTCCCATATCCTTGATGGATCTTCTCGTCGTATGCCCACTGTGACTTTTGCATGTTCAGGCGACAACGTAACAAGTGTCCTGCGAGATGGCAGAGAGTAAGCACGCTTGGCAAGTGACCTAGGCAGATACTGAGGCGAGCGTCGGAGGCTCGCGATGGTCATGGCGTCAGTGAGTAAGATGGAACGCTGTGCACTCGGCGAAGAAGATAGATAAGAAGGACAACGAGCGAGATAAAGAAATGGAAAAATATGAATCGACCTGTGGATATAGTCCAGGGTTTCTAAGATCCGCCCGAGCAGGCGTCTCGGATTCCGATCGTAATTGAGGGACGTTTGACTCAACAATCCTCAAGTATTGATGATCGGAGAACTCATCAACCTCAGGGAATCCCGTTGCCATCATAGAATCTATCATGTTCATACCAGGGGGCCTCCCGGGCGTAGTATGCATTGCATTTCACTGTATTGTAACAGCTCGGTTCGAGGAAACCTATGAATGTTGAAGATGGTAAGTACTACTAAGCGCGGAAGTCTATTGACGTCCATTCTATGTACCCACGCCGATGCCGCCTATCCGGGTTACAGTTACCGGGTAATCTTGACCCTAATTTAATTTGACCCTAAAGCACCAAGTTACTACTACCGACCCCGGGCCCCTTGTATCTGATAGTATTTGGGATCACACAGCATAGTCGCGGCGCTCCAGGATAACTAAGTATAAGCTACATAGATAGGCCACTATCATAGAAGGCCCTTGATTTGTGTATGTAATATATAAAGCAATTAAAAGGAAAGTCGTATGATAGATGGCACGCCCCATTTGCTAGCCGAAGATTACAGAGGTCATAAGTGTATGTGGATATCATATCCGATTCTGCCAGCAAGAAAATATCACCGTATTGTAGGTATCGTAGGAAGCTCCGTTAGGTTGTAGCCAAGTCGTTCCCGTTCGCGGATGGACTTCCTAGCATTGAGCCTGACCACCGATTTAGCGCCTTGGTGAGCTTCGCGTACAGAAACAATCTCACTCACACCGTCATCATCGAGTTCATATAGGCTACGACGAGGGTTTTAGTGTATTCGCAGAGCAAAGGAAACATACTGACATTTTCCTATCACCGCTCCGGGCGCAGCGGTATAGAACTGTCCGATAAGACCATCTTGAAACATATACTGAAACAGTCTTGATCCCTCGTCTTGCAAGCATGGACGACAACCACTTACCACCACAGTCACGGAGATTGCTAAAATGCTAGGAACCATATGAAGTGGAATATACAACAGGTATGAATGATTGTACATACCACGAAAATAAACCCATGTTGATAAAAATCCACATCATATCACTGATATAATCTCTTGACTTTCTCCTTCCACCACGGAATCCTACATGAGTCAGACAACAAGCAAAGCAGAAAGACTACACACCGAACATTGCCTCTTCGTGCTGGTCGCATGAACAACCATACGGACCCTGTGATGACAGAATCACATAATGCGCTAACGAATGACGATATTGGCGACCACTAGTTTGAGGTATGGATTCATTAGGATTATTAAAAACTATACTATCCTATGACTGGCCGGACCTTGGTGCTGAATATGACTTCAGGGCTTCTTGTGTATAATCTTTGGCACCTAAGTGAGGGACCGTATAAGCTCGATGATCAAGCACTCACCCTAAACAACAGACGACTAGAAACCAAGACGACGACATATCAGAACAGTGGCATCTGAATTAAAAGATTAATGTAACTCATGCCACAAACTATAGTGTTCAAAAGTCAGAGAGGTTACATGGCTGATCGAAAGAACTGACCGAACGATGCAGTAGTGAGCGCGCACTGATAGTCTGTGTTATCATGACGGCTCTCCACGAAAGAAAAGATGAAAACGTGATCTCACAATTATCCCTGTGATCCAGTAATTGTTGCCCGTGACTAAAAAGAACACATTGAGACCCTTACACTTGCAGATACTGAAGGACTGACTTATCCACACCCTGTACGCATAGAAACTGCATTGTTAAAACAAATGAGCATCGTCCTGAGGGCCAGCCACTGGGAAAAACATACCACTGAACGAAGAAAATTATCGAATACTGATAATTTGTTACTAGACATCATAATCGACCAAACATGGAGAACTTACTCCCATAAATACTCCCAGCTTTGATGCCAGTGATCATTATACGGTACACTACAATAATACAAATGTACTTGCCAGCAACTGCCTATTCTCCAAATGAGCCCGTTTAAGATCCAGGAATAAGTCTATCGACTTACCAGGAGAGTTCAGTCGTGCACTCGAGGGACGTGCTACGTCGGCACGAAATAAGGGTAGACCAGAATATCCCTATCAGTGCGCATTGGTGAATCGTGTCGAAAAGACTGCGACACCGTTGTGGTATCAGTATATACTCAATATCATGCGAAGCACCCACAAGACTGTCATTACCTAGTGATGAAAGATGTCATGGCCGATATTTTTATGAATGTAAAAAGTTGTGCTCACGAATAACTTGAGTGTTTTCGAATCTTGCGGAAAAGATCGGAGATAGAACATATACTGCCCAAAGGATATCCCATAGAGCCTTTGTAATTCTGCAGGTCAATATTGGATAGAGACTGAGTGATGCGAGTCCATACATTGTAGCTATGATGCATCCTTGGCTTGGAGTCAGCTGCGAGATAAAGTGAAACACCGGAATGCTCACCGATGAGCCCCGGTCCCCACATAACCTGAGTGGAATAGGGCGCCATAGAACACGAAGGGGAAACACAATATATTAAAGAAAGAGCTGAGTGAGCTGAAGTAGACTGTAGATTTGCGAGACTCTTGAGCTTTTATATTCACGCATCTTTGAACGAGTGCGCTTGGCACTGCGGCCATAAGGGTATTCCGAGCTTTAACCGAGTCCGGGCTCAGCTATTAGTACTTAAATGGACGAAATGGAACGAAGACTACTAGCCTGACTTAAGCGCAATGTTCGCGTGTAGTAATTATAGGGAACCGCGGGGGTAATAAGATGCCGTCGGGAAATTTTGTCGGATTCAATAGCAGCTACCGATAGACCAGGTTTGTCTTACCGCTATAAGTTTTACTTCCCTTGGTCGGGCGAAATACCCTTGATTAATGGCAAGAGCGTTTTGCCTGGACCCTGTTGTTTGCCCAGCTCCATAAAGTAAGTAAATAGAAGTGGTAGGACGAAAAAAATGAAATCTGATCTATCGATGATATGAAAGTAGCTGTAATCCTGATTTGTTCTCAATACTACATCGCGACTAACCTCCGGTATGAGCTTTACAGCATAATTTATTGGCCCATCTGTGTATCAATTCTCTATATTCAAACTCGTATCCGCTTGGTTGCTACGTGTTGTAAATGGTTCTGTACGGCCCCACTTTAAGTGGTAGTTGGTGGCGTACTTAGTTCGCAATCACTCACTTGCGTTGTGATACTTCGGCAAATGTCACTGGTACAATCGCCGTGCCGCATGTGCACACTGAAATATATACCAGTCCAAGTCTAGTTAGATAAGTACTTAGCTAATAGCAAATAGGGATAAGTGCACCCTGGGACCCACATCGTGACATTCAAATCTACTAGCCCTCAAACGCCCCAGGCCCCACCTCAACACCAAATGTGCTTCTCGCAAACCCCCTCACGCTCCTCTCCAGCTCATCCTCAAATCCGCCATTTGTGAGGCCCAACAACGCACGCACACGCTGCCGGATCTTCGACACCCAGAACACGACGTCGAGACTGAACATGGCGGTGCGGAAGAGTAAATCGCGCCAGAGCTCGCGCGCGTCGAAGCGGGCCCACCATGCGCGAGAGGATCGTTCATGCGTCATGACGAGCGAGCGGGAAGCCCAATATGCGGTAATTTTGATGCGATTGACTGGAGAACCAAGCGATTGGTTGTTGCCTTGTACGATTCTTTGAGATGAGAGTTAGCAAATGTGAATGTATAAATATGAGATCTACGTACCGCATATTCCGCCCTAAGAAAATTAATTCCTTGGGCATCTTATCGGTATCGACAAGGAATCGTTTCAGTCGTTCTTTCATCCGTACACTCTGTTCATATGCATCAAGCTCCTTGCCAGGATCCCCACCAGCCTTCTCTGTACGTGAACTCGACCCGTTAGCCTGCCCAATCTTCACAGGCCGCATCAGGATAGCACTCGCAAACAGCCCCGCCTCGCCGACACCCCAGCTTTCGGTGACATTTCTTATTGTGTCCCAATCCGAGGTGAGGAGTGCGCGCCAGAGAGAGGCATACTGGCGCTTGACGGTAGGGGGTATGGTGACATACAAGCCATGATCTAGTAGCACCAGCTGAGGGTCGCGGAGCACGGGTTTCGACGACGATTTAGATGACGACGAGGAGCCTGGGCGGGCACGAATAATGATGTTGCCTGGGTGCGGGTCGCAGTGGACAAAGCCCCAGTCGAACATTTGTGCGCTGAACAGCTCAACCTGTACGAATAGGAGGCATATCAGGCATAAGTCTACAGAAAGGTAGAAATACGGACCATCGTATGCATTATTGCGCGCATCCCGCCCTTTAATTTAACATGATTCATGCTCTCCGGGATGCCATTTTTCTTCTCTCCATGCACCGTATCCGGAAACATTCCCCCACCTTTTTCAGGTAGTTTCTCACCGACAACGCGACCTAGTGCCTCCCGGTCGCTTAGTCGCACGCCATCGATCCACTCCGCTGTTAGCACACGCTTGGTTGATAATTCGGGGTAAACCTTCGGAATGTGAACTTTTCCAACTAGGCGGGGCTCAGATGCAATGAGAGATGCAGTCCGCTGTGCATTAGAAGCCTCAGAAATGAAATCAAGTTCAGCATGGAGGTGAGATGAAATAAAGTCTAGTGACGCGTCAGTTCTGTATTTGATTGCCGTGGAAGGCAGACGCACCAACAGCAAAATAAACAGGTAGGTCAAACACCCACTTCTCGAATGCCCACATTACAGCTCTAAATGCCATGAGATCGTAACTGGTCTGGCGCCCTACATCTGGCTTCTGTACTTTCACCGCGACCCAGTCGCCATCCCATGTGCGTGCTTTGTGGACCTGTGCTACGGAGGCACTGGCCACGGCGTTTTCATCAAAGTAAGCAAACAGTTCTTGAGGGGACTTATTAAATTCGCGTTGGAATACGCGGGCAATGGTAGGATAAGGAATTTGTGGAGCATCATCGAAGAGGCGGGCGAACTTTTGCTGAAATGGTGCGGGCATGAGCGCGGCATTCGCGCCTATTGCTTGACCTAGATTGAATGAGATGTTATGAAGGGGGACAGAGTGAACAGAGTAACGTAACGTACCAATCTTTATGTACAGTCCGCCATTGCTGGTGAAAAGGTCATACATTCGATCCGCAACGCGCTGGTGGATGGCAGGTATACGATCTGCATGCTCTGGCGTGAAGTTCAGCTTATAGTCTGCTGATATGAGTGCACACTATTCGTCGTCAGTCATAAATTTGAAAGCGCTCGGAATCATGATCAGTCTCACAGTCCATAGTGTGCGGAGGTTACGGGTTACGGCGGACGCATTGAGTTCAGTATCTGCAAGGTAAACTGCACCAAGACTGAAGGTAGTGTATACTGTCCGTTTAACCAGGCGAGAGCGAGACAGGCGGAGGAGCATTGAAGAGCGGGTGCATCAATTACTGACCCGGTATCCCAGACTTTTGACTAAGATGCCGCTGAGTTCATCCCGTGACGTGGACGGCTTCGTTCGGGTAACCGGTAATCTAACTAATGTACACGGTCTCTCCGAACTCTACTCTACTTCAACAATCATTCCACTTCATTGTACGTTTATAACCGTCAGGGCGTTTCATTGAAGTTGGCTGGGATATGACTGATATCGTTGAAAATATCCTGTAAGTACTCCTTGAAGGGGCACCATAACCATGATACACCCTGCGTAATTCCAATGTTTCCACTCCAGGCTGTCGTTCTACTCCACGCCTTTCGAGGTCTTCTCCCCCGTAATGTCCCATTTGCCGAACAGAAGACTGCGCGTGTTTAGATTAATAATTGCGTCTCCAGATACCCGAAAAAACTTACTCAAACGCGGCCATGATGGTCCACTTACGGTTGTCTGCTTCTGGGAAAACAAGAGACCGAGAGCCATAAAACACCTAAAGCACGCGTCACATATCGAATCAATCTCCAAATGAAAATTCAATCGAAAACTAACCTCATCGTCTACCTCGTCCTGCTTTCGTGGGAGACAGTGGAGGAACTTCCAGTCTGGATTTGCACCGCCTTCGGCACAGAGAGCTTCTGTAACCTGATAACTAGCAAAGTCCTTCAAACGCTGTGTCTTCTCAGCTTCTTGGCCCATTGAAATCCTATGACGTCAGATGTATAGATAACCACATGCCTAGGCGGGGATGGAGTGGCGTACCAGGTATCAGTGACTACAACATCTGCACCTTTTACAGCTTCCCGGGGATCGTTGCTCCAGACAATGTGCTTGTCACACCCGAGCTCAACGACACGGTCCCAAACGGGCTTGGGAGGGTTGTATTGGGGTTGTGGAGGTGTTGCGACGCGAACCTTGTGACCTAGACGGGGGTAGGTCACGAGCATGTCGTGGAGGACGTTTGCAGAGTCACCGACGTATGCAATCGTGAGTGGTCGTAAGGGAGGAAGAGGCTTTGTAGGAGAGGGGGCTGGTGTACCGGGCGAGAAGAGGTGAGCGTGCTCATGAAGTGTCAAGAGGTCCGCAAGAACTTGCGTTGGATGCCAAAATGACGATAAAGCATTGAGCACAGGTACTGGAGAGTACCTCGCAAGCTCCTAAAATAAACTAATTAAATATAGGGACAGTAGGTGAGGGATTTTCGGACCTCAATTTCTTCGTGAGCACCGACGCGTGCGAATATGCCTTGGCACATACCACCGATGACTCGTGCTGAGTCACGAGGAGATTCGTTCACACCAAATTGGATATCGCTGGAACCCAGGAAAAGGGCGCGTCCACCCAAAAGAACAGCAGCGGTCTCCGCCGCGATACGAGTGCGCGTGCTGCGTTTTGAAAAGAGAAGAGCAATAGACTTGTTGAAAAGGGACTGAGAGGGCATACGAAGATTACTCTTTTTCTTGGTCGCGTGTTGTGGGGCCAACCAAGGCATAGACAGATGCTTCAAGTGATGAGCATGGTTAACAAGACGATTAATTTGAGGACCACTGAGGTCTGCGAGCGTCATAAGACGTGGAACGACGGACATCCTTTGGTTAATAACCTGTTATAATGCTTAGAACCTCCATGTCTATCTATCTATTCTGTTAAATAACTAACCTTGGAGCGAGGAAATTGAAATTTGATTGAAGCTTTTAACTGAAAGCATATAATTTGCAGAATTTGATAATATATTCCATCTGTGGCATCTTACATAATGTCTTCGGTGTTAGCCGACTTCCTTTGGCAGCAGTTCCGCCCCTTCACGACTTCTATAACTACGACAAGTTCAGCATCGTCCTCAACAGTCACAACGTTCTGCTCACTGGTGCTTACATCTTACTCGTTGTTATCGACGACGAACTCTATCTTTCGGTCTCCATTTACTGCAGTGTTAATCTGATTACATTCCACGCGTCGTGGGAGATTAACCGAACGCGATGGAGGCAACAATGCCTGCCGATGCCAACTCAAGGTCACGCTCTCCAACTCCAGCTCCACTTGTTCAACCCGACCATTTCTTTGGTTCAGAAGGTGCACACCTCCCACCATCTCCCAACTCAGACGGGAGAACATGGCTCGAGCCCGACGATGACCCCCTAGCCCATAGAGGCATACCAGTGTTCAAACCGACCATGCAAGAATTTCAAGATTTTGAGGGATACATGAATAAAATAGAATGTTGGGGTTTGAGAAGCGGTATCGTCAAGGTAATACCTCCTAAAGAGTGGTGAGTGTCGTGAGATCCTTTGACTTCATGACACAAGCCCACATATCTACATAGGGTCGACGCACTTCCTAGAACTGAAAATCAATTGGGAGATGTCAAGATCAGAACCCCAATCGAGCAGCATATGCTTGGTCGTGGTGGTCTGTTCCGCCA